CAACACAAGTTATCTATTGGAAGCTCAATGCTCTCTTCTCACGGACGAGAAGGTAATATATCCGATCATAAGAGTAAAATTACACCAATAACAGAAGCATCACAATGACGCTTATCGCACGTGGGGGCGATTAAAATACCATACACATTAAAACCGTAGAGGTAAACTGAAAATCTAAAACGTAACGAAAAATTAAGTTTATTAAATTCCACACTCATTTTATTTTCAAATGGAATGTATAAAATCATTTATAAAACTGAATAGAAAATGATTCTGTCAAAGAAAATTTTAATTATCCAACAAGTGTTTCTTTTTTTTGCCCGCCGGACAATAATATTTAGTTACCACAAACTAAATTGAAGTTTCGGATATCCAATCTTCTCACACTATAGGAATAATCTAGCTGTAATTCAATATTCACAGTCTGGCTACACACACGCTGTTAAAATATTCCGGCGAAGTCTTGCAATCAAGGAATTACAGAGACAGTAACAGATTACCGAATGCGAATGCATAAACCATTGGATAGAAACAGAGAGTAGCGAGAAATGGAGATCAGTGCAAGAAAGGAAAATTTGAGAAAATGAATTTAAAAAAAAAAAGAAACGAAAGAAGAAGTAGTAGTAGTCGATAAAGTGCTGAGAATATTCGACGTTGTGAAAAGAACAAGTTTTCAAAAGTTCCAACTGTCAACAGTAACGCAGCAGTCAGAACTAATAAATATTTTATGCGACATGTCCCTATCCTCTCTCTCTCTCTCTGTTATGTTGCTAGAAACGAGTAAGTAGTGACGAGAATTTACATATTCAATCAAGCATCTAACTCGATGCCTTCGGCTAGAGACTACAGATATATGTACACTTTATAACTTTCTTCGCGAGACGCCTTCGATTGAAAATCCCTTTTCTATGCTTTCTTACCTCCTTTTACCTCTTCGTAAAAGCTTCAGTAAAATGTAAATAGAAATGAAAAGCTACTTTACCAGGAAAAAGTTATAAATTGACCTTTTGATTCCTTAACTCCAATTTTGCATTTCCTATGTTAAGGTTCTATTTCTAAATTTAATAAAAAAAAATGGAGAGAAAAAATGCTACAACTATTTGTAATAAAATTCGTGATCTGGAGATGATTTTAATTTTCACGAGCACTATACTAAAACTTCAGATAAAGCACTAAAATTACTACTTTCAATAATATTCATGGAATTAATTCCTGTCACTTGTTAAACCTGCATCCTTGTTTGCATCTTGTGTGCTCACATTACCACCAAGTTCAAGATTTAAAACAGATTTTTACGCTTTACAGCTTGGAGGATGGGTGTTACCGTAATAGTCATGATTACACTGAGCTTAGAAGATTCTTTAAAATTACGACTCTTTCATCTAGATTCTTATACAATGATTTATTGTTTTTATAAAAACTTATTAACTGCATTATAAACTGTCCTTTGTTAGCACTTATATTAACTTCTATATGCCTAATAGAATGCTTAGAAATACTTCTTTATTTAAGTTAGAAAGTCATAGATCTGTTTACAGAAAAAACCATTGAATTTATAGAGGCTGGCTACACTGAGAGCCAATTAGGAGGGTTAAATTTAATCCTCTAGCGTAATAAACAAGTGGACTAAATTTTACGTCTGCACAGATGTACACAAACATTCTGCGCAGACGCAAAATTTTCTATTTTTTTTAGATGCGCGAGGTTATGTTCAACAATAACCGAGTATAACTTACAGATAAACAATGAAATTGTCTCTTCATCCATTCACAATACTTGCAATAGATTTCTCACTTTAACCAGATTCATTATTTAACAACACTTTGTCATTTTTTTTTTTTAATTAATAATAAAAGCAAAAGTGGCACATGTACCAGAAGCAAATGATGCAAAAATAATTTTTCTATTTTTGTTATATTAGTTCTAGTTATTATCTTTTGTTAAGTACTTTGTACGAAAGAACTTTAGGCCTATTGAAGTGTGAATAAATAAAATAAAGTATTTACCTTAATAACAAATTTTCAGCTTCAACGAGATTATTTCAAACTAAATAGCCCTCGGAGATCCCTACTTTCAAGTTAAATTTCCATTCAGAAAATGTGAAAAATAACCGTAGAAATAGACCGAGTTCTAAAAAGTCTGAATATGAAGAATTCTGTAGTCCTCACAAGATACCCTTTTTTTTTTTACTTTCGCCCTTATTTTTTGAAGTACGTAACACCACAAGCCATCGATGATAGAATCTGCAAAAAAAAAAAATAATTTCATTATTGAATAACAAAAAAAAAAAGCATTGAATATCATCTATAGTCTATATATCTATATCGACAATTGATGGAAAAGCAGTTGAAACAGATTCTATTGATATTGATATTGATATAGCCATCGATGACGAAACTCATTTCTCACGAGTTTTCATCGACGATGAGTGCCAGAGAGAGCTTTTCAATTACATCATATACACAGACTCACGCAGCAAGTGGAAAAGATTAAATTGCATTTCCTCAAACACAAATGTTAACCTCCTAAATTGTGACTACATTAGTTTCATAGATCATAAACTTTTTTTTTTTTTTTTTTTTTTGGATCCTCTCTCAGTAATTGAAAATATCGCTCTCCGAAAATAAAAAAGATATTGATGATTGTAAAATAAAAGATAAAAAGGAAAAATATAAAATCTTAATAATTTATGGACCATTTAGCATTACGTATCTTTATAACAGATTAGTGTTCTGTACATGACAGTAATACAATACAAAGTTTTAACCAACGTATAACTGTAGCATGGTATTAAAATTCAAGAAGATACGAAACTTTAAAGCATGAATGTTATATCCAGGAAAAGCGCCCTCTAACTACACTCATTCAATGGAAACTCTACTCCTGTTTAAGTAAGTGATTAAAGTGAATGAAGACTAAAAGTAAACTCTATTAAATTTGCAGTGGTGCGCCACTAATGACACCTTATATTTCTCCAAAGTGTGTGTGTATATATAAACTGATTCACTAAAGTAATATTAAAATAAAAATTTTCCTCATCACAAATATTAATTAAATCAGTACTAAATTTTTCCTACAAAAAGATTATTGGCCTCAAGAAAAATATTTCATCTCAATAAAGAAATCAAAGTACTTAATATATTTTTACGGACAAATAGAAATTTTTTTAAAATACAAATCACTTCTTGAAGTTTGTTATTAGAATTTCTTTCTCCTAAAAAGACATTAACGCAAGCCATTTCTCTCTTGAAAAGTGAAGGTGAAAAGAAAGGAAAATAAGTTCTGATCAGTGGTAGTAGTAGTAGTAGTAGCAGTAGTAGTAGTAGGAAGGAGGAAATTAAGACGGGAGCAATCAGAAAGGCAAGGAATGAGGAAAAAAGGGCGTCGCCGCGGAAACAACTACTGATGTAAATCAGCGGATGATAACGGCATCCATTCTCAACGAATAGGATGCTGAGTTCCAAATAAACAAACAAAAAAAAAAAACAATGCGAGGTTAAATCTATATCAGAGAAAGGTGGATCGCGCACTCAGTGAGAATTTCTTCCTACACGAATTATTTATTTTCCTACTTTGGCAAAAATTAGGTTCTTAACGGAAAATCCCCCAAGAGAAGAAACGACAACTTTTATTTTCGTCTCCAGCTATCTTAATCATTTATTTATTACATCCTTAAAGAACTATGGAATAAAATAGGATCTCTTAGCGTAAATATTTAAAACAGATTTTCTTTACAAAACCTATTTTGTCTTTCTAAATTTAAAAATCTTCTTTTCGAAACTCATCCTTAAAAGTTTAATGAAGAAAATGAAAAAATGACAACAGTTAAATATCACTTCTGATTCCCTTCCCCCTAGTATCGGCATTCATAAAAAAAATGTTTCTTTTCTCGAAGAACAGTAAAGCTCATCCTTCTTCTTTTTTTTCTGCAAAAGTTTATGCGAACAAAACCACTAAAAAAATAACGTGACGGCTGTACTAGAACATTTACGTCAGCTATAAAATTCTTCATTCAACAGAACGTGGTTCGAACAATATATATATGGTGAGAGAGAGGGGGGGGGAGAGATAGCTCAAAACGATAGCCAAAACTTGGAAACTCAATTAATTTTTCATTTTTGATCCGTACTACCAACAATTCTAAGTTCCTTCTCTTTTAAACAAAAATATATTTTGTGAAAAACCACTTTATTTTAAATCTGTGGTAAATGTATTTTAAATCAAATATATATTTTCTTTGAACTTTTTTTTTCTTTTTTCGAAAAATATCAAGAAATTCTCGAGGGAAAATTCTTTGGGTTAATTTTTAAAGTCTTTTCCTGTGGAAAAATTTATTCAGTCGGGAACTTTCACATGGAAATGTTGATGTATATATGTATACACATACTCAAAGAGCAAAGAAAAATCTACTGTCCAATGAAAAAGAAGAAAAAAATATATACGATGTTTTTTTCAACTAATACCAACCAGGTGAGAAAAATATAAAGAATTTCATCAAATTTCTCACGATAATTATATCGATTTTATATACAATATATATATACACGTGCGGTAAAGAGATGAAAAATTCTTAATCATCGCTTTGAGAATTAATAAATAATTTTTGAAAATATACCCAAAGAAAATTAAATATATCATTTTCTGTTTTATTTATAATTTTCATACAAATATATTAACGCGATATTTTATATATATATATAGTAGAGAACAAATTCGTTTATTTTTTAACTGGAACATTAAATTTATCTGGTATAATTACACATAAATCTCGAGACAAAATATTTTCTCGAGATTTTAAGCATTTAAATTTTGTTATCCCAGAGAATTTTGTAAAGCCGAATAAAATAAACGAGGATATTATCAAGATTTACAGTATCAGTGCTCTACTATCGTCGTTTCTCTCTTTCCTCTATATTTGTGTGTGTGTGTGTGTTCGCACTACTGACTGACGGGGGGAAGCCCCGCAGAAAAAGTAATTAACGAGTTTCAATGCGGTACTATATACGCAGAGCCATTCGGATAGAGCAATTAATGTGTGCAACAACAATCGTTTCAATCGAGACTTTTCCAATGTTTTCAATGCTTACGTGGGTCTTCCCCTTCTTCCACCTACGCGATTAAATATATTCTAAAGAGTTTCCTAGTCTCAAGCATGTATTGTGTATGTTAACATCTGTAGTGTGTCAAGCAATTCATTTTTTGAAATTCAAAAAATTTCACTTGCCGTTAATTATTCACGTGAACAAAAGGTAAAACACAATAATTATGAATAATTTTTAAAAATCTATTTTTTATCTATTGAGATTATTTGTAAAAAATTATTAATGTTGCCTTTATAAATAGACTCATGACGCGTGAGCAAACTGTAAAAAAAAAAAAAAAAAAAAAAACATTGATAAGGAAAGAACATATGGAATAATAATTTTGCGCACAATTTACAAGAAATTAAATTTAATTTGGAAGAAAAATTGATGAAACAAAACTAAATAAAAGGTATAATTTTAAAATACCGATTAAATGTTAAATATTAATCTGTCATTGCTGATAAAATTCAATGCCACGTGTTAATGCCACTGTTGTGTAAATTTTTACTATAAAAAAAAACTTACTACAAAAGCAAAAAAAGGCATTAATCAGAAATTTTGTTACTTGTATTATAAAATTAAAACAAAATATCTTAATTTTTGAAAAACTCTTTCTTGTCTGGTCACGTACGAGAATTTGTTAAAAACCTTTTTTTTTATTTAAAAAAAGAAAACAAAATTATTATCCCATATGTTCTATATGCAATTCCACAAAAGTACTAAAACTTGTTGACATTAAATTTTCAAGAACATAAAATTTTTGTAAAGGATGTAAAAATACGCTTATACGATATATAAGTGATAGTTACGGTTTGAAGGTATAATGTTAGGTTAGAATAGAACGATAAAATAAATAAGAAAATTTATTTGCCTTGGTTTTAGAAACAATCCTGACCATTACACTAAAGTCACGCTTTCATTGAAATTATATTCGTTTTTATATATTATTGTAGTTGAAAATCCGTAAACACATTTAAAGAAAAATATATTTAAAAAAAAATTGCACAGAGTTTTATATCATTTTTGATAATTTCGATTTTATAATGAATAATTACACTATTTGCCAGGATATTTTGCAAAGAAATGCAAGCCGAGGAAAGAATAGATTCAACATTAACACACAGAAAAAGTGAGTAGTAATCACGATAAATCTAAAATTATTATTATAATTATTTTTTAACAAATAAAATTAATTTTGTTTTACCAGCTACAAATGAGAAACCTACAAATGAAGATAAAGAAATTGATGTAAATTCATCGGAAAATGAAGTTGAAGACGAGAAATTAGAATCTTTGGAAACAACTGATCCACCTAAAATTCGACAACAAGAAGATTTTACCACATGGGGAAATGTGAAATATAAATTTTATTTATTCAGATATTATCACTATTATTATGCGGATAAATTAGATAAATATTTAGCTGCCGGTTGTTTATGGATTATGCGAGTTTATTTTAGATTTCTTGGCCTTGTTGAAGAGGCCGAAACAAGAGACGAGGAATAAATTATTTAAATTTCTCAAAATTCTAACAAAATGATTTTAAAATTATAGTAATAATTTTTTCTACCATATATATTAAATTATATTCAAAAATTTTAAATATTCTTTAATCTAAAAAAATTCTGTACATTTTTCTCGTAAAAGAAATTATATTATATCTAACTTTTTGTATATATAATATCAAGAATATATTCTATGTTTCAAAGCGGAATATTCATTTTTTTTTGTCCTATTCGTGAATTTTAGGTACAGATTTTTTTTTGTGTGGGTATTAAAGACGTGACCTACTTTTTTTTTTTTTTTTTTTTTGCAAAGTACGCCTTAAAGTTGGCGCAAACGTTCAAAGCAGGTTACTAAGAAATTCAAAGAACTTTGCGTATTCAGCCGAGCAGAGAAGTTGTACGAATAGTTGCTTGGTACAAGTACTGTTTACTACCATTTATAAGAGTGAAAATATGGAAAAGATGGATTCTGTATTGTAAATTCAATCTTTCTTTACACACAATTCAATCAAATTCGCCCAACCAAACATCCAATTTAAGAAATCCTTCAAGCTGATTTAAAGTTCAATTCCAATAAATTGTATTGTGTTTACAGAAAGTGGAATTTTCCTATAGAATATTTTTATCTCTCATAAATACATTTTTTTTTCTCGAAATATTTGTTATTTGTATATTCACGTCAAAACCATTAATAAAATATTGATATCTCTATGTAAATTTTGATATGAAAATACTATTCTTTTTTCAAAAAGGATATATATAAAAATTCTAGAGAAGCCAAATAATTTCACCCTTTTCTAAAATCTAGTAAATTTTTTTCTCTTTCATAAATAAACCCCCCCCCCCCAAAAAAAAGAGTCAATTTTGCCCCGAGGCTTGACACTGAGTAGTGTAACGATTGCGGCAACGAATATATGTCATTGTTTAACGACAACTGGACACAAGAGAATAAGGTTTCACGAAAAATCGAGCAAACCAAGTTAAACGAAAAAATTTACATATATCCAGAGAGGATCGACTGTGGAGACTGTATACACAACCAGATATTGATATCGGTATTTTCCATACTCAGTTTTGTCACAATCCATGTTTGATCAAATGCGAAAATACGAATGCCGAACATTCACAATACCAACTATTTTTGTTTTTAAAAAGTTTAATGAAGTCCAGAAAACATTTCATATTCAAAAAAAAAAAAAAGACAAAACTGTTTTCGAAATATTTTTTCAAACTTCCATGGAATATTAATTTTTCTGATCATTAAAAATATGATCATAAAGAACAGAAAATAAATCCGATTCTAAATTGTTCTACAATTTTAATGAATTAAAAACACTTTTCTATCGTAGCTAGAAGAAAAATGGCGCTGAAAGGTAATTTTAACAAATTAAATTGCTCCGTTGAGCAGCAGTTAGTTTTTAGTTCAACCAACAAACTGCACTCAAAACTTGACGCACAAAACTCGAGTTTTCGTCGAGATCTCTCGTCGCAGAAAAGGAATGAGACGACACGGGGCCGCAAAATGAAATCAAACCCAGCGCTAACAATCTCGTCCGACTGCAAATAACACTCAAGTTTAATAATCATACCAGTCGTCTTTTGCTTCTTATATAAATTTAAAAGCAATTCCTAACTATCAAAACTAAATTATATATATATATATATATAAATAACGAACATTAAATATCATCAATTTGAAATTTAAAAAATAAACCTTTTTTAAATTCATTATTATGAAAACATGTTATACAAGAAAATACTTTAGTGTGAAGGAAGGCAGTTCAAAGTTTAAAATTGCACATGTGTTGCTACACTTAATCACACTTTTGCCTCCAATATTCGAGATCAGAGACCTAAGAGATATCAAAGACCCATTTAACTTCCTCGTATGAGGGAAGTAACTACCAACGAACAGTGCCAAAGACTCATTTCATATTCAAGAATCCTTTAGCAACTACTTTACGAATTTACTATATATGTATATATATATATAAAGTCTACCTCAGAATGCAACACGTGTATAACTTTTTTTTTTTTTTCTCTATATATATAAACTCCAAGGAAAGGAAAAAGAATTCTGACAATAAGATTGCCAACCAGTAGAAAATTATTCTCAAGTGGGTTGCAATAATGCCTCTTGTCCAAGAAAAACAGAAAGAAGAATGCAGCTGTGCTCTACATTTCACAAAATGCTCGTAAAATTCAAAAGACTTTGGACTTTTAGACGGAAAAATGTCCTTAAAATGCATTTTATCACACTTTTCTTTACAAGGATAATAAAAATTCCCCCACAGTACTGAAACTTTCCTAAAGATTTTCTAAATATTTATTTCAAATGTTCGGAATATTTATTGTTTAGTAAAAATTGTGTAAAGATTTAAATGTCCCACTTGAATAAATGTTTAGGAAAGTTTCGCCCTAAACATTTATTCAAGAGGTACATTTAAATCTTTACATAATTTTCACTAAACATTGAACCCTGTGGGCAAAAAACCATGTTCGTTCTAAAAACGTTTTAAGGACGTTCTTAGAACGTTTCATGTCCGACAAATAATGTTCTGGAACATTTTAAGAATATGGATGTTCAAATAATGTTCCATTATTTGGTGGACATGAAACGTTCTTAAAACATTTTTAGAACGAACATGGTTTTTTGCCCACAGGGAAATTAAATACTCCGAACATTTCAAATAAATCATTAGGGAAAGTTTCGGTGCTATGGGGGGTTTTCTTGTGAATTTTTTTCCCCCAAATTTTGAGTTGAAATTTGTTGTTAAATAATATTTAATATACATTTTGTATTTTTTAAAGTGAGGTTATGTTCAACAATAACCGAGTATAACTTACGGATAAACAATGAAATTGTCTCTTCATCCATTCACAACACTTTCTCACTTTAACCAGATTCATTATTTAACAACACTTTGTCATTTTTTTTTTAAATTAATAATAAAAGCAAAAGTGGCACATGTACCAGAAGCAAACGACGCGACGATCTGTTTGCGAGAATTCAAGATGACCACGTGACATGGAACAATAAACTTGTCAGTTGAACAAATCCGGATTGTTCCATCAGCAGTCGACAGAGAGTTTGCTTCTGCAACTGTACGGAATTGCAAACTGAACAAAACTCACAACAAAAAATTCGTATTGTTGTTTAAACAACATACATTTGTATTGACAACAATCCGAATTGTAATATTAATATTTCGAATTGTAAAATCAACAATCCAAAAATTGTTTGCACCACAATCCCATTTTCTCCGTATTTATGCTATAGAATTTGTAAAATTATAGCACATATGCTTTTGAATCAATAATTTTTAATACTGTTGATTCAATAGCATATTTTTTCCATTGTAAATAAACTAATTAGAGAGTATATTTATCATCTTTTAAAAGTGGTATAATTTAAAAAAAATAGATATATTCAAAGTTAATATATTGAGAAGTTTATAAGCATCCCTAATTCTAGGATTTCAATGTAAGTAGAAACAGATATCACTGATTCGAATCATGCGCATGGCAAATTACCACGATGCCATTTGCCTAATACCGTTAGAAACTATAGAGAGTTTCAGTGGTGAGCCGCATTTAGCAAGTTTGCAACCATAATAATAAGATTATTTAACTGTGAATCTATATGTAATAGCTTCATTATCTAACGTAATACTATGGCACAAAGCACCTAATTCCCCACCCCCCCAAAAAAAAAAACGATAAATTTTTTTTTCCCCTATAATTCGTCGATTCAATCGCGGTTCTAAATTGTTTCGTTACAGCTTTAACATTACTTTGTCCAAAGCTTTCAAAATACTTTTCGACATAGTTCGAGCAAATTACAAAACTGCAGGAGACTATATATATATATTGAACGTTCGATGTCGAACGATTTAAATACTTGGGGAAAAATCCGATAATTACAGTACCTTTTTGCTATCTGCTTTGATGGGTTCCGATCGTTTTTGTTACATTGAATTTTTTTTTTCCAAATAAAAGAAATGCGAAAAAAATGCACACATCGGTAAATAAAATTGAAATAATTGAAAACAATTTTTAACAAAGGGTACATATAAGCTAATTGACGGGGGGAGGGGGGGATTAAAATGAAACATTAATCGTAATTATGTCATGTCTGCAAATTCATAATAAATAATAAGGGGAGGATGATCAATGTAAACGAATGCCAAGGGGCAAATTTCTACTAATGAATAAATGTTGTTTTAATGAAAACGAAACTTGATCATCAAATAAATCAAAACTATGATCGCAAATAAAAATTTTAAAAATATTTAGATTTTAAAAACATTAAGAAATTATTTGCAGAATATAGAAAAAAAATCTAATTATAATGAGGTGTTGTATTTAAAGTATATATATATACTTTAAAGAAGAAATAACAACAATAAATAACAAAATAAAAAAAAAAAAAGTGTAAAAATAATGAAGAATAAATGAATATTTAATGCGTCTTCCTCTCGCCTAAGAAGTCAGCTGTGAAAGCTTTTTCGTCTCCAAATAAGGAAAAATTTCTCTTTAACTACAATCTTCCTAAATGCTCTTAATCCAAATTGAAAAATAATACCGTTTCTTTTCTCATGGAAAGAAGAGAAAGAGAGAGTGAGAGCGTATATATCTAGGAAAAGAAGCAGATTGTATATATACAAAGAAATTTAAATACTCGAAATGTAAAGCTACAGGGATGGATAGTGGTGGCAAAAAAGGGGTGGTTTACTGCATTTCTTTTGCGAAACGATAAGGGGCACAGTTTTTTTTTTCTCAACTTTTTGTCTTATATACCTATATATCATCGGCTTCAGCGTCTTTTCTTATGCTCAAAAGTTTCATTAATTTTACATTAAACTATATCTTATCGCCTAAGGGTTTAAACTCATCGTTTAACACACACACATATATATATATATATATATATATATATATATATATATATATATATATATATATATATATATATATATATATACATATATATACATACTCTATGCTAAAACTCTTCGCACTAATATTATAATGGTTATGCCAAGAGTTAGCACTTTCCGAGTTTCGATTGAAACACCAAATGACGTTAGAGAGACGTATCTTTTACTATATATATACTGTAGTCATATTCCATAAAAATTATTTTCAAAATTAGAAACAGAATAATTTTATTAAAGGGAAAAAAATAGCAATAAAAAATTTTCAGGTTTAAGTAAAATAATGAATTTCTCCGTTTTTCCTTTACTTTTTCCTAAAACTAGAGCAGAAATTAAAATGGAAACATTTTTGCTCTAGTTTTTCGTGAGAATAAACCCGAAACTGTGACATTTTAATTGCGGCTCCAGTTTAACCGAAAAATAGAAAAAAAGGTGCCATTTTAATTTCTGCTTTAGTTAAACGGAAAAATAGAGGAAAAACGGCGCCATTTTAATTTCTGCTCTGGGTTTTTGTAAAATTTAGAGCAGAAATTAAAATGGCGCCCTGTTTGCTCTATTTTTCCGTTTAACTAGAGAAGAAATGAACACGTTTTCGGTAAAACTAGAGCTGATATTAAAATGGCACTGTTTTTGTCATATTTTTCCTAAAACGAACGCAGAAATTAGAATGGCGCAATTTTTTATTTCTTTTTCCGTCTAACTAGAGCAAAAATTAAAATGGCACAGTTTTGGCTATATTTTTCCGTAAAAATAGAGCAGAAATAAAATGGCACTGTTTTTATTCTATTTTTCCGTAATATTATAAAGCAAAAATTAAAATAAAAACGTTTTTGCTCTAGTTTTTCGTAAAAATAAAACCGAAACTGCGCAATTTTAATTTCTGCTTTAACTTTAGGGAAAATATGGCAAAAACAGTGCCATTTCAATTTCTGCTCTAGTTTTACCGAAAAATAGAAGAAAAAAAGTGCCATTTTAATTTCTGCTTTAGTTAAACAGAAAAATAGAGAAAAAACTGCGCTATTTTAATTTCTGCTCTAGGTTTTTGTAAAATTTAGAGCAGAAATTAAAATAGCACCGTTTTTGCTCTATTTTTCCGTTTAACTAGAGAACAAATGAAAACGTTTTCGGTAAAACTAAAGCTGATACTAAAATAGCACTGTTTTTGTCATATTTTTCCTAAAACAAAAGCAGAAATTAGAATGACGCAATTTTTGATTTATTTTTCCGTCTAACTAAAGCAGAAATTAAAAAGGCACAGTTTTTGCTCTACTTTTAAGTAAAAATAGAGCAGAAATAAAATGGCACTGTTCTTGCTCCAGTTTTTCGTAAAAATAAACCCAAAACTGCGAAATTTTACTTTCTGCTTTAACTTTAGGGAAAATATGGCAAAAGCAGTGCCATTTTAATTTCTGCTCTAGTTTTACCGAAAAATAGAAGAAAAAAGAGGTGCCATTTTAATTTCTGCTTTAGTTAAACGAAAAAATAAAGCAAAAATGGCGCCATTTTAATATCTGCTCTAGGTTTTTGTAAAATTAAGAGCAGAAATAAAATGGCACTGTTTTTGCTCCAGTTTTTCGTGAAAATAAACCCGAAACTGTGCAATTTTAATTGCTGCTCTAGTTTAACCGAAAAATAGAAGAAAAAAGGTGCCATTTTAATTTCTGCTTTAGTTAAACGGAAAAATAGAGAAAAAACGGCGCCATTTTAATTTCTGCTCATGGTTTTTGTAAAATTTAAAGCAGAAATTAAAATGGCGCCATTTTTGCTCTATTTTTTCGTTTAACTAGAGAAGAAATGTAAACGTTTTCGGTAAAACTAAAGCTGATATTAAAATGGCACTGTTTTTGCCATATTTTCCCAAAAACGAAAGCAGAAATTAGAATGGCGCAATTTTTTTATTCATTTTTCCGTCTAACTAGAGCAGAAATTAAAATGGCACAGTTTTTGCTCTATTTTTCCGTAAAAATAGAGCAGAAATAAAATGGCACTGTTTTTGCTCCAGTTTTTCGTAAAAATTAACCCAAAACTGCGCAATTTTACTTTCTGCTTTAACTTTAGGGAAAATATGGCAAAAGCAGTGCCATTTTAATTTCTGCTCTAGTTTTACCGAAAAATAGAAGAAAAAAGAGGTGCCATTTTAATTTCTGCTTTAGTTAAACGGAATAATAGAGCAAAAGCAGTGCCATTTTAATTTCTGCTCTAGTTTTATCGAAAAATAGAAGAAAAAAGGTGCCATTTTAATTTCTGCTTTAGTTAAACGGAAAAATAGAGCAAAAACGGCGCCATTTTAATTTCTGCTCTAAATTTTACAAAAACCTAGAGCAGAAATTAGAATGTCGCTGTTTTTGCTCTATTTTTTTGTTTAACTAAATCAGAAATTAAAATGGCACCTTTTTTCTTCTATTTTTCGGTAAAACTAGAGCAAAAATTAAAATGGCACTGTTTTTTCTCTATTTTTCTTTAAAAGAAGAGCAGAAATTAAAATGATGACATTTTGCCTCTATTTTACGGTAAAACTAAAGCAAAAATTAAAATGGCGTAGTATTTGCTCTAGTTTTTGATAAAAGTTAAGAAAAAAAATAAAATTGCTTAAATCAAACTATTGGCTACTATACAGGCACGATCTTTTAAATTAAGAAGTAACAAAAAATGTGAGAAAATAACTAAAAATAGTTTTCTATTTCTCAAAAGTTATACGTATAAAATCATTTGTTTCAAAATTACAGAAATTGAAGGAAATTCTATGACTTTTCTCTGATCTGGAGAGTTTCTCAAGACTTGTTAAACAATCTGCATTTAAATATAAAGTAAAATCTCATTATTTAGAATTTTGTCCTAAGAGTGAGATAATAATTTAATGAAAATTTCCAAACAATTTACTGGAAAATAAAGACCAAGAAGAGGGTTGGTCGTAATTTGCCAATGAGAAGTCTAGAAAGTACCGCATGAGAGAGTACACCACTTTTCACCTTGCACAGTGAATTCTTGGCTGTTACTTCTTAGGGACTCAGTAATAAAAGCAGTAATGTCAGCTTAACGTTATCCCACAACGAGAAAAGGGAGTAACTGTTATCTTAAGACACTGAGAATAGGGGTATAAGAACAAACAAACCAAGATGAAGAAGAAAAAGAGGATCTCTTCTCACACTACTTTTTTTCCAAGGACAACGAAACATAAATATTACTCAACGAAAAAACAAAAATTCCTCTTATTTCACATCATCAGAGAGAAAAAAAGTGATTTACATTGTTTTTTTTTCTTATTCCGAATTTGGAACTCCAGTAAATACAATATACCGCGCACAAGATCTTGTAATATTCTCTTTGCAGGGATTGTTCAGTGGTGTGATAAGACCCTGTTTCAACTTCTTGTAAGATGCTAATCTTTATCCACTAACAAAACACATATAACTATATTCCTCTTATGATGATTATGTTAGGATCAACCGTGGTGAAAAGAAAATAAACTTTTTTTTTGTCAATTTAATTATTTTTGGGATTAGTGTTTAAAAATAATTGTTCAATTTTTGATTTAAAAAAGAAAAAGTTAATTTATTTTGACTCACCGATCGTTGAATCTGTAGGGATAATTATGGCATCGTTTTGAATCATTCCCGAAAATTTCACCTTTTGATTGGACTTTAATAAATGTCGAAATCCACATTATTCTTCTGATCCCTCGGGTTGTTTGGGGATATACTGAAAAAATAACAAATTTATTAAATGGATTTTCCCCACCAAAAAAAAGGAGTTAATAAAATTTAACGAACAGAATTATAGAAAATATTTCAAAGAACAAAATGAACTATTGTTTGTACCCTAATAACACAAGATATCTTGGGTTATATTTGATAATATCCCGCAGATATCCTAGGGATGTCCTATGGATATCAAAAGGATCTCTTAAGGATATCCAAAAAATCGGCGGTTTGGATATCCTTTGGATATCTGAGGATATCCACAGGATATCTTCTGGATATCTCTATAGACTTTCATAAATGTCCTCCAGATATCCCATAGATATCGTCAGGATATCCCATAGATATTTTCAGGATATTCTCAGTATATCTTCTGGATGTCAAGAAGATATTCTCAGGATACTGTTTTTAAAGTCATTATGAGACTACGAGTGAGAATATTCTGTGAATTAAATTTTATATAAATAAAATAAAATGCAATTTGTTTTTCGAGAAAGTTGTTTAATTTGAAAAATTATTAACTAATTTTTTTCTCATTCGTGATTCATTCCTTTATTAATATACTTAATATTGTCAGAAAATAAATTGGCTTTAAACAATAGAAATTCTTCCCCGCAAATAACGAATAACTATTAATATTAATTATACATTAAGTGCATGAGTTTTATTATTTTAAAAACTTTGAAAAATGCGTTTCAAATCTTCATTTAAAATAAATTAGAAGCTCATAAGATTTTTGTTTTTATTATATTATTATTATTCATTATATTAGCTTAACAATTTTAACCTTTAAAAATATATGTTGAGATATTAAATATCCCGTGAATATCCTAAGAATATCCCGTGAATATCCTAAGAATATCCCACGGACATCCTGAGGATATCCCATGGATATCCTGCGATATAATATCTAATAGATATTTTGTGGATGTCTTAGGGATATCCTATGGATGTCCCACAGACCGGCGGTTTGGATATCCTAGGGATATCCCAAGATATCCTGGGGACCATTCTAGGATATCGACCATTGATATGGATATCCTAGGGATATCCTTTTGTTATGAGGATAAGAATTAAAAATTATTCACCAATTTTAAACAAAAATTATAGAAAGTAAAAAAATTGTTATTTAACAACAAATTTTTACGTAAAATAATTTATTTATATCGTAATTTTAAAAATTTGTTAAAATTAATTTTATTTATATTTTTATTTGTTAAAAATAACTTTTTAATTTATTTCAATGTATAATTTTAATTGTGTAACTTTAAAAAGCGTTCAATAATTCTATTCTATACGCATACAGTCTGGGAAAACGTGAAATACTATAAAGAGAATAAGTACCACAAACATATACAAGGCACTCTCATGAATATTTGCGGCATACACATACATATATATATACATATTGAAAAAATCAAGCAGCGCAGTGCCACAGGAATATATTCTGAGCAGATATTTTAAAGCGCATGCGCTATATATAATTCCGTTCATCTACAATTCGCTAGACGACGCTCTCAACACAACACTTTCATCGAATGTGTCTCATATTCGTATAGTAATTTACAACGAATTCAACAATGTATAACAATTAATACAAAACATTATTGTATTCATTACCAATGTGTATGTGTAATTATTACCAATTATATATTTTAAAATTTCGTATACAATGAAAAATATGTTTTAATTTCTCTTTTAAGTGAATTTATAACTAGTGAATTTAAAAGAAAAACTATAATATAAAAAACGTGGTGAGGAGACGTCCATTATTTTCTATACTGCTGTTTTTGATAACGAACATAAAATACAAGTAAGCCTATAATAAATACTAGAAAATCTAATTTATTAATTATATTTTTATTTTTTTTAATAATTGATATTTGTAATTTTTCTACGCAAACTGATATCAAAATAAATATTCTATATATTTATAATTTTTTTAATAAAATACAATTTAAAATTTATTATATTACAAAGTTCCTAAAATTTAAGAAGATTCAACTCATTAACATAACCTCAAAACTAAAAAAGTAGTTTTTAACAGAACTAAAAATATAGTTGAAAATTTATTACACCAAAATTCAACAGAACCAATTGTAAAATTTTGGAAAAAAAAATTAGTTAAAATTTGTTGTTAAATAATAATTAATAAACATTTTGTATTTTTTCTTAAAAATTTGGTAAACAATTCTAATTTTTATAAACAATTGCCCCTTTTTTTTTAGAAAGATTCTTGTTCACTAACAAAGAAAAAATACAAAATATTTATTAATTATTATTAAACAACAAATTTTAACTTAAAATAATTTTTTTCCAAAATTGTACAATTTCATCTGTTTGAATTTGGATGTAATAAATTTTAAATATATTTTTAGTTCTGTTAAAAACGACTTTTTAGTTTGAGGTTATGTTGAACCTCCTTAATAATTTTGAAAATTTCTTTTAAATTTGAGATACTTGCATTTTCTTTTTTTTATCAGTAATCAAAAGCAGCAAACAGAAATGTTATTGGGCGATCTTAATCAGGGGCCAATGTTAAAATTTATAGATATTAAATTTCGCTAATTGTATAAATTTTTGAAAATTTTTTTAATTTAACCATTTATTTTACAGAATTACACAAATTTTTCATTAAAATCACCGAAATAAGTAGGAAAAAAAAAAAAATCTCAAATGGATGACATTAATGTAAGGAAAAATTAAAATTTTCTTAAACTGAAAAAAATTTATTTGATTCAAATAATTGGTTACTTGACTATTATCAAATAAATATATTTATTTTTATTAAATAAATTATTAAAGATATTTGTTTCAAATACAGAAATTATTGATTCAAATACTATATTTATTATAAGGTGTTAAAATAAGCTGCAACACTTATTATTTTAATTCAATTTTGCTTATTTTAATACCAAAATGAATTAAAATAAGCAAAATTGGATTAAAATAATAACTTATTTTAATGCCTTTTAATTTTCTGTGTATTTAATTCAAATAAAAATTATTTGATTCAAGAAAATATTTAGTTAAGTAATTATTTGAATATCAAATAAATTGTTTTTTTTTCAATATAAAAAAAATTTCTATTTATAAAATATTAATTTTACATGAAATTTAAAGTTGTTTCAGTTACTTCCGGACGTTACTGTTATAGATCCTTTAAATATAAAATCAGAAGTTAAAGAAGAAATTGATACATGTGAATCAAATCAATTGGATATAAATGATATAGTTAATGAAACTAATTTCAATGAAGGAACATCGAATCAAAATAAAATACGAATTATTGATGCTTCTGTATGGTTACTTTTCTTTTATCTATTTGCAAAAAAAAAAAAAAGTACCACAGTAAATAATATTAATTTTTTTTCCAGAATTTTCAATTTATAACACAAACCACTTCATCTCCATCTTTAAGAATAAATCAATCTAACAAAAGACCAGTACAATCGGCATTTATTGTCAAATATCAAAATACAGAATCCAGTATTAATAAAGAATCAGTAATGTATCTTAATTAGAAAATATTTTTTTTTTGCAATTTTAACTAAATAATTAATATTTTCGAAAAATTAATTTTTGCAGGAACTTGATATAGCTCTTAAAAAAAGTGGAGATGGTAAAATAGTTAAAAGATCATACATAACTAATGGAGGATTTCTACCAGATACAATTCGAACTATTCTTGTTCATCTTATCATTAAACATGAAATGGATAAAGCTTTAGCAACTTTATCTGACGATGGTTTCGATAAATTAGATGAATTTGTGTAAGAAATTTTTACTCCATGTTGAAATGAATCAACAATTTTTAAACTTTTTTTTTTCACAGAATAACTTCAGCTCAAATGTCGGCTTATGCCAGTGATATTGTTCGGGTATTTCCTAGTGAAAAGGCAGAAACTTATTTTGGCGGTTTTAGAACTGTAAATGGTGTACGTATATTGGCTAATGGAAAATTATGGGATCATTATAATTATGTGAAATCAATTTTAAGAGATCAGGGTCTATTGGAAGGTCGAAAAGTAAAAAGAAAAAAAGTTGAAGTTACATACGAAATAGATGGTTTGTATTTTTTTTTTATCATTTTGAATTTTAAAAATTCTATTTTAGTAATTTTCTCTTTTTTTCTTTTAGAAAAAACAAGGAATAAATTAAACTGGTTAAAAAACAATTCGGAACCTTGGTCAGAGGTTTTTCAACAATGGACTGAAACTTTTGCGGCAAGAACAAAAGGTCATTCAGAACTTGAAACAAAACAACTAAGTGAATATTTTCAAACATTTCCATGTCTTCGCGATAATCAAGCAATTGTTTTGGTAATTAACAAGAATAATTTTTTTTTTTTTAAATCAATAATATTAATTTATTTTTTTCATTAATTTAGATTCAAAATGATTTTGAACGATTGTATAAGAGAAAACTTTTTAATATTGCCGATATATGGAATAAAATGAAACAGCATATAATTTTGAAATTACAACAATGTAAAGGAATAAAAACATTAGATGACAAGGCATATGTTCATTTGTTACCATCATTAACTTCAGGTAAATAAATTAAAAATTAATTAAATTTTAAAAGAAAAATTTTTTTCTAAAAAATTAATTTTTAAACTTACAGAACAACAGAATGGTGTGATTCTATTTTTACTTCCCTTCTTAGTGCCAAATGGACGTAAAAAAAGACGAAATGATGATGAAGAAGCACGAAAAATGTCACCTGCTGAAAGAAGAGATACTTTTATTATTTATGTTTCAGTAAGAATTTATAAATTTTGTTTTTACAAATTTTTGAAATAAGAAATTAATTTTTTTTTCTAATCATTTACAGAAAGAAGATGAAGTTGATGTGATATTAGAAAAAAAACGAATGGAATTGAAAAATAGTGGACGAATTTTACATCCAACGCCTGTTTGTATTGGAACAAAAATGGGTATAACTAAATCTTATGTTGTAGTTGATGATGTTAAATATGAGGTTTCATCATTATTAAGTGCTATTGATTTAGCTTTTAAAATTTATTATTCAGCTCACTGTGATTTTCCCGAGAGCTGTTATAGTATGTGGCTTTTTATTCAAAAAGCAATATTCGACATTCATTATCCCACCGATAGGGCAAATCCATCCTTACATGCTTTAGCTGGCGAATTAAGAAAAATCGCCGAATCAAAAACATAAACATATTAAAAATAATTTTTTTTCACAACAAAGATGACAATTTTCTAATTTTACTTTTCAATTTCTTTTCTTAAAAAAAAATTTAATATAAAAATTGAAATATAAAAAAAAAAATTGGCAAATATTGTGAATATAGAAAATATATTTATGAAAAAGATATCCACTTTTTCTTATAAACAGTATTATATATAGTTTTGTAAAAATATATTTTAATAAAAAAAAAACAAACTTTCCTTATTAATCGAATCTTTTTTTCATTCTCCAAATGAATTCAAACATCCTTGTATTTTGTTAAAAAAAAATATATATATAGAAATAAAAAAAAAAAAATTTTTTCGACCGTGACAGGACTCGAACCTGCAATCTTCGGATCCGAAGTCCGACGCCTTATCCATTAGGCCACACGGTCAGTTGAAATCAAAATTGATAGAACCGCAGACGAGGGCAAAATCAGATTATCGCGAAATTTTCCCAATGTCATTTATATTAAAAAAAAAAAAAAAAAAATGTTAACATTTTCTGCACGTCTCTCGCGTCATAAAGTATATATATTCATTTACTCGTTTTACAAAATTCATGTATTTTTATTAGTCCCGTTTTCGCATATATATACACACACAGGTGTCATGAATGAGTCTCATATATTTCTGAATTTTATTCTCGACATTCTCTCTGACATATAAAAACTTATCACAAATACGTACATTCTTTTTTGTCATATGATAAATTCTGGACATAAATTTACGTTTCCTTAAATTCGCCAACTTGCAAAAAAAAATAACGAAACCCTACGGGAGGGGGGTCTTAAATCCTAACGAAAAACCTTATAAAAATAAAAAGCTTGAATAATTTGAACATTTCATAAAATATAAAACTAGAAATTGTGTATTTTTGTTGTTTTTACGATATGATAACAAAATCAAAATGTAGGAAACATTTTTTTTTTTAGAGATTTGAATATTGTTTTTGAGACTTGATTTTCAAAATGAAAACAAATGAAGAGATTTTGCTACGTGACGTTAATTATCGTTCCGATGAACACTTCCGGTCGACCGGAAAATAACGAAAAGCCAAATCCTCATATTAACGTGATAGCAATCCCGCGATGTGGTATAACATAACAGCAACGATACGATAGGGATGAGGAAAAGGGCCAGACGCGATATATACTATAATCATTATATCGTTGAAATTCACTATAGATATCTCTATATATATATACACACGTCATTCTCATATATAGGCTTTGACATTCGCTTATTATGTTTTAGATGTGTGTTTGAACTCTAGAATCAATTGCGTTACAGATTACTGAATTTGATTGGATTCTGAATAAGCTTAATTTATTACACTCACATCCGGCTAATATTTGTATATATATATATACGCGAGAACTTGTATCAAAATACAAGCAAACTATAACCAATTTGTTATAATTATAATAAGAAGATTCAAATAATAAAAACCTAATTATAAATTATATATTCCTTTTTTTTCCGATAATTGTAAAATAAACTAAAACGAATTTAATCAAGAATTTTACTCTATAATTATTGACCACGCAAATGAAACATATTCATCATTCATAAACTAATAAAACATATATATTATAATTAATTAAATTATAAATTATATGCTTGAAAATACCAAAATTAATACGCATGGAAAATAATTAGAATCTGAATTTATGAAATTGTTCTTAATTATCCTTAATTTAGCATATATATAGAAATAAATCAGTTTTGAAATTCAATTATTAATAAAATAACCATATCCAAAATTAATAATTCAAATTTTATTAGAAGAAATTTAAAATATAATTAAATAAAAATTCTAAAATAAATGGAAATTACCCCTTTTTCATGCTTTTTTTTAACGAATTTTTACTCAACCGAATTTTTAAAATAACGAATTTTTGACAGAATTTTTATTTTACAAAATTTCTCTTTACTTAACTGTTTCTTGAAAAAAATTCTACTCTCTAAATCTGAATTAGTAAAAATGTTTACTAATTTAAATTAGTGACTCACTTTTTGCTTTAGAATTAGTTAAATTTTACTAATTGTTAGTAAAAGTTACTAATAATTAGTAAAATTTCACTAATTCAGAAGCAAAAAGTGAGTCACTAATTCAAATTAGTAAACATTTTTATTAATTCAGATTTAGAGAGTAATTTAATTTATATTTAATTTATTAAAATTCACATTTAGTAGAATTTTAAGTAATTCTAATTTTTAAATCGCTTATTTAAAATAATTAGCATTTTAAAACAAAAATTTTAATTAAAAAAATCATCAAAAATTCAATTATTTCTAAAAATCTTAACTCAAACTCTTCCAAAATTCAATTATTTCAAAAATTTGTATCTAAAATTCTTTGCTAAATTAATAATTTCAATAAATTTTATCCAATTATTCAAAAATTCAATTAATATAAAACATTTTTACATTCTCATCATAATGAGAAAAGGTATTACATTTGGACGATTTTGAGCCTTCTCTAATTCCAGTGAATCTTGACGTTTTGAGACTTTCAGATGCCGAAAAAATGGGTCTTAAAAAAATGTCTGTCTGTATGTATGTATGTAGACAAAATTTTGTCCGACGATAACTCGAAAAAATTTTAATGAATCGACTACAAATTTGATATACACATTAAGTGTACCAAAATGTCGCCTGAGTTCGTTGGCCAGATGATTTCGTCAAAAAACAACAAAATTATTCAAATTTTGAATTTTTAAAAATTTCCAAAAATTTGCATTTTTCAAAAAAAAAAAATTCTTTCAATTTTTTTTCGAAAAACACGACTAAAAATAATCATTTTTTTCCTGTAACATTTTTTAATAGCGATTAAAACAAAAAAGTTATACTTTTTTTTAAAACTAATAAATTTACAAATTTTCTTTTTTTGAAATTTTTAATTAAAAATTTGTTTTTACATTCTCATCATAATTTGAGCAATTTTTGTTTAATTAAAAATTCTGTAAAATTCAATATTAATGTTTAAAACTTTGTTAATAATTTTCACAGCAATTCTAATTTATTTATTTATTTATTTATTTATTGAAAGTATATAAGGGGAAAATTTATTAAAATTTTAATTCAAAATCTCCTAAAATTCAATTATTATTAAAAATTTTGATTCAAATTTTTTGTTGAAATAATTATTTCTAACTTTAATCGAAATCTTGACATTTCAATTATTTAAAACATTTTTCAATTCAAAATACCCTCTAAAATTCAATTAGAAAAAAAATTAGAATTATTTCTTTTTTAAAAAAAACCAGTTGGATAAAGAGAAATTTTATAAAATAAAAAATTCTATAAAAAAAAAAAAAAATTTTGCCAAATTAAAAATTCTATTGAGTAAAAGATTGTTTAGAAAGAAATTATTTTAAATGCAATTTTGAAAAATGAATTATCAAGCTTTTAGGAATAAAAAAATTCCCTAAAATTTAAAATTCTTGAATTTTGTCATTATTTTTTGAAAAAAGTAGCATTTAGTGACTTTTGGCCAAAATTAGTAGTAAAAACAGTAGCCTTGTTGAAAAAAAAGTATCAAAAAAGTGTGTCACTTCGAAGCCTGCAATTAAATAAAAATGAAAATTATTCTTTTTTAAAAAAAAACTAATCTGTTAAATATTTATCTTTTTTTATATATAATAGAAAACAAAAAATTAATGTATTTTAGTTTAATGAAGAAAAAAGAGCTGTTATTGTATTATATTGCATATTCTGAGACACAGACAACGCTTTAAAGATTTTCTTCATATTTCGCTTCAAGCTTTGGTTAAGCGAGCGGTAAATTTAAGCACTCTTTCTCTCTCTCTCTATCTCTCACACACACAATATAAAGTAAGAAAAGAGTGGAAAAATCGTCTCCGCATAAATTTCCACATCCTTTCGATTCGCTTTCGTGTCGCAATAAATTCGCGTCTCATAAATAAGAAAGCAAAAGTATGTGCGGTCCTCTTTCGTCTTATACGCGCGTAAAGTTATATATATACAAAGATACATATTGTCCCTTGCACTTGCACAATCGTTGAAAGCAATTGTGCAGAAAAAAAAAATTCCCTTTTTCAACATTAAAACAAATAAAAGTGATAAAGTTTAAAATCTACTAATATAAATTATATTATAATTATTAATATTTAATTTTAACTAAATAATTAAAATAATTAATTATTAATAATAATTGAATTAAATAAATAATGATTAAATAAAAATCACAATTTTTAATTTATTTCTCCAAAAAAAAAGTAATAGCTTTCTTTTTAATTAATTAATATTATTAATTAGTAAATTGAATATTTTTTTCTTTTTCAGTGGTAAAATAAAAATATTAATTAATAACAGAAGCAAAATGCAGAATAGTTAAATTAATATTGACAAGGATATTAATGTAAACATTATCCTTCCTATGTAGTCTCACTAAATTTGCAAATTCAGCAAAAGCTGTTTAACATCTTCTATATATATATGCGCTATTTTGCAGATCCGCAAATGACTATAATTAGACGTATCTAAGCTTAAGTCAATATTATTTAATAGGAACATAAAATCAAAAGACATATATTTACAGCAAAAAATTTATAAAAAATTTTATCATTTTTTATGTTTTTAAATTTTAAAAATATTAAATCAACTTTAAATCACTGAAAAAAATAGAATTCAAATAAATATTCAACTATTATTAAAAATATATTAACCAAATAATTTTTTTTTTTTTTTTTAAATCAAATTAATAGTAAAATAATAAAAAGAAAAAAAATAATGCAAGAGAGAAAGAGAGAGAGAGAGAGGAAAAGGTTAAAAATCTCTAAAGTATATTTAATACTTGAGCTTTTTAACAAAAAAATAATACGAAGCTAAAAGGGAAGAGTTAAAAATCTCCAAAGTATTTAATACCTGAGCTTTTTAACAAAAAAAAAAATAATGCGATGGGAAAAAGAAGCAGTTAAAATTCTCTAAAGTATTTAATACTTGAGCTTTTTAACAAAAATAATACACGAGGGGTGAAGGGTAAATCTAACCTTGAAAAAAAAATTATTATTTTGATATAAATTTCTCCATTTGCTGTATATAAGGATATAAGTTTAATTATTTTTACCAAAAACTTAACGTTGACATATTTTTCACTTATTTTCCCAAAACTTCCATTTTATATCTTTACTTTTTTAATTCTCACAAAAATTTTGAGCTTTTTACCAAAAAAAAATATGGGGGAGCGATGAACTTTCTTCATGGCAAACAATTGTCACCAATTTCCGAATTCGATATAGAAATTTTAGGTTATATATGATAAATAGATAAAACACATGAAAATAATAAGTAACACAACTAAAATTATAAATAATTTTGCTTACCACAAAATTTGTTAAACAAAAATTATAATATATTGTGATTCTTACCACACGATGACAAATTTTTTTCGCGTATCTTTTCTCCTTGTTGAATACAATAAGATTAAATCAATTCTTACTGTTTTAGATTTCCAGCTTACTTTATTTGACTCTTTTATTTTTATATTCAATTAAATCACTACTTATTTATATAGTTTTTTTCACAAATAAAACACTGAAGATCACACTTTGCAACAATGCTGAACAATGATAAAAATGGCGTCGTTACCCGCCAACGGTGAATGGAAAGGACGGAAATGAATGCTCTATAGTCATGCTCCAATTGGCTGATTGGAAACAACCAATAGCGTGCATTTGAAATATGTCCAACTAAGAGCGGGATAATTTAAATGTATGATTATTTTTATTAAGAGATAATAATTATTTCTTTTGTTATTTATTTATATTCTTTATATATTTATTAATAATTTATATCAATTAACACTAATATATAAAAATTTAACCTTATATGTTCATTAATTGTGTAATAAATGTAAAAAAAAGGTTATTTTCTATTTCCCCTCATTTCAAATAACAACCGGAAGTTAATCAATAGCTTTTCTGTGATTGGTTGATTTGCAATAAAGCCGGTAAAGTCGAATTTTAAATATTGAATAATAAAAATTTGTTTAATCAAAATTTTTATTACGATTAATTAATTAATTAAATAAATTGCATTTTTTGCTTAAATTTGTATGTAATAAATAAATATAATGATAATAATAATAATAATATTAATAATAAGATTAATAATAATAATAATAATAATAATAATAATAATAATAATAATAATAATACAAAATATAAAATAAATGTATATAAGTATATAAAAGAAAAAAAATTGTTGCGTTTTTATAAATTACTTAATTTGTATGTAAAACCTTTTTCGAAGGACAAATAAAAACCATAAATGGTTTTGTTTCCCAACTGGCAGATTTATCTCATTATAAATGAGCCGATAAATTTCATTAATACCTTCTTCCTTGTTCTCATTCTTCTCTCACGTTCTGCAATGAATTTTAAACTAATTTCTTGTAAAGCTATTTTTATTTTTTTTCCTTATATTAAAAAAATTTGTTTGTATTTTCTATTAAAAAAAAAACATTTTTTTTTTATTTAATGTATATAATTTTTGTATTTTTAAAAATATTTTAATAAAAATTAAAATATTAATTTTTTCCAAGAAAAAAAAATAAAAATTTTTTTATATTAATGTTTTTAGTAAAAACAAAATTTTTCTATAAATAAATAATAATATAAATATTTCAAAACAACTTTTTTATTTAATATATGTAGAAATTGTTTTACATTTTGGTAAATTGTTATTAAAAATTTAATTTATTGTTGAAAATTATTGTTTTAATAAAAAAAAAAAAATTGAAAATTAACATTAAAATTATTTTTTTTCCAAAAAGAAAAATTTATTTAGTAAAAAAAAAATTATTTAAATAACAGGAAAAATCAAATTTCACGAATTACACGTAAATTTGATTTATTATTATTTTTTGTTTGTTACGATTTCTTACTAAATTACTCTAAATAATTATCGACGGATGGCACACGTCTTAACATGAAAATTAAATTCGTTATAAAAAAATAACGACACGCTAATAGATCTGTTTTTTTTCTTTTTTTTTGGTTACAAATATTTAGTGTAACAAATAACTCCTCAAGACATAATATTTATGTATATTTTTTATAACAAGAGATCATGTTTCCTACTGTTTTGCGATAAACCATACTAATTAAAACTTTTGGCTTATAGCTTTTTCTTATTAATTATTATTATTATGTATAGTGGCACGAGATTCGAAGAACAAATTACAATCGTTGAGAATTTTGACTGACATTTCCAAGAAAAATGTAATCCTTTCTTGTGGCACTTTTTTTTGTTCTTTAAAAAAAAAAGGGTGGCAATGAGCTTTTTTAACCTTCGGCTAAAGGTGGTGTAACCCAACCATATTTCTCATGGGTTTTGACTAGACTTCTGAATGACTCCTCAGCTGAACGTCGATTAAATTCTTTATTTGTCTTTGGTTTTCTTGCAATTCGACCCTAAAATAAAAAAAAGAAATATCAATTTCATGGAAAATATTTTAAAATTGTTTTTTTTTTTTCTTGAAGTTAAGTAAAATTTTCTTTGACGTATTTTTTTTTTTATTCTTTCTTAAATGTTAAAAAAAAGAATTTGATTAAAGAAATTATTTTATACCTGGCCCTTAACAATACTTGCTGCAAATTGCATTATCACAGCTTCAACGGTGTAAGCACTGGCCCATCCTCTGGGCGTGAGCAATTCCATACAAATTGCACCTCCCTCCATTACAAAACCTTTTTCAATTCGTGGTGAAATCACTCTCATAAATGGAGGTGCAAAAGGAAAATTTTCTGGGAAGACAACGTGAAGAAGAATATGATGAATATTTAATTCCTTCATATCGGCCGCTAATTTACTCTCAGGATCAATTTTATGTAATCTGATATGCCATTCATATAAATTATCATTCACAAGTTCAGCTGTAAAAGTTGAATCCTTACGTTGTTGAGTACGTTGAATTTCACTTAATTCCTTCATTAAACGTCGCATTCGAACTCCTCTCTCAGGTACTGCAATGGCCTTTGAAAAAAAAAATGAATTAATTATTAATTTACAAAAATTTAAAAATTTAAAAATTTAAAAAAACAAAATTTTACCTGTGAACAATGTGCGGTGGATTTTTTTGATTTAAAGAAACAATTTGCATGACTTGTGTGACTAGCACCGGGATTTTCAGATAATGTACCTTCTGCAGGTGTAACAACATCTGCCCGATGATGACGACTCAATAATCGTCGTGATGGTGAATTTGTTGAACTTCCACCAGCTCCTTCTTGTTCATTTATTTTCTCTGTTGTACGAAATAATTTTCTAAAAGCTGCAACAACTTTTTCCTTCGATCTCCTGGACATGGCTACTTTATTATCCATTCGATTTTTTAATCTAAAATTTAATTATTAATTATCATTTTTTAAAAATTCATATAATTTATTTTCATAAATTATAATTAACTATTTCAACAATTATTTTGAAAATAAAATTAATATGAACAAATAAAAATTTCATTAAAATTACAAATTTTGTTTAAAAATTAAAATATATCAATAAAATGATTTGTGAAAACATAAAAGACAAAAGACACAATGAATTCATTGTTGTTTATAAGTATTGAGAAATGACAAAGGTTACACAAGTAATATTCTAATGACAAATGACATTGATTTTCACTGTACATATATAGTATACACTCAATTACAATTGTTTTATATCGAGCATTGTTTTAAAACTTTATATATTTATTCTTCTATATAATAAAACAAATAATTAACCTTGCAAAGTAATTGGTAAAAATCCTTTGTGTGCTTCAAAATGTAAACACTCCTCTTATGATTCACTTTTGTAATGGAGTAAATTTATCACAATAATTGTTTGAAAAAAAAAAAATTATTTCAAAATAAATTTTGAGGTTAATTTATAACCAAGATCTTTGACGTATATTTCTTTTTTGAATTGAAAAAATCATTTTGCTTCTTTGTTTGAAAATTGAAAGAAACTAAATTAAACACGATGATGATAAAAAGAAAAGAAACAAGAACACACTGCAGCAGACGAAGCTTTTTTTGATATTAAAAGAAATAAAAAAAACAAGAAAAAGAGATGACAAAAAAAAAATCCTTGGTTGCTAGGAAGCCACTCCTGATATTATGCACTCCGACATACACGCATGCACGACTCGTCGTCAACCTTAATGCGCTTTGCAAAAAATCAATAAATTTCAAAATGTAATTGTTATAATTTATTTTCCCCTCATAAAAAGAATAATTTTTCATTTTTCATAAAATTGTTCTAATTTTTTGAAAAATTAAATAAAAATAAGTTAATTAAATTAAAATATGTAATTAATTTTTGGAAAAACAAAACAAATAATTTTTACAATTGTGTTTTTTTCTCTAAAATTTCTTTATTAATTTCTTTATTAAAAATATCAAAAAAAATTTTTTTTTAATAAAATAAAATTTACTTTATATATTTGAATTAATTTTATAAAAAATTAAAAGTGAATCATTAAATTAAGAAATATTACAAAATTGTTTAGTATTTAAAAAAGTATTTCACTTTTTTTTTTAAATTTATTTAATTTTTGTACAAAATTGTTGAATAAATAAATAATTTAAATTATATCTAATTTAATTTTGAAGATACTAAAATTGTTCAAAATTGAAAAACAATCTTACAATCTTTTTGTGTATATTTTTCTTTGAATTTTAATTAACTAGAATGTTAAAACAATATAAGTTTAACTCTCAGAGAATAATTCATTATTCATCGTTCAATAATATAGATAATGTATAAAGTAAAATCTCAAAAATTTGTTATAAAAAAAAAATTCTATGTTTACTCACCCATTATTGTAAAAATAATGATTCACTTCAGCTTTTGTACAATGTCGTGAATAATTAATTTTGTTAATAAAAATCCCGAATGGCACACGTTATTAGAATATACAAGTTTTTCTTTTGCTTTTTTTTTTTTAAGTAAAAATGGAAGGATACAGCGCAGTCTCCGTCTTGAACTGAGTGGACAAACTGACTGTGTGTGAGAAATAACAACCAAGAGGGATAACGTGCGGAGATAGCGCGAGAGTTAAATGGTAGGGCGAAGGGTGGCTGGCAACCAGACTCTTCGATCGATTCACCTGTGTATTGTTGATATCAAATGATGCTTACATCCCTTATAAGCCAATTCACAAAAAAAAAAATTCTTCTTTCTAAAATTTCAACAAAGAAAAATTCACATTTTTATCGAGAATAAAAAAACAATAATTAAATTAATTTAAAAATAGTAAATTAAAAAAATTTTCTAAATTATTAGATTTCAAAATTTTGTAATTTCGATTATAAATTATTTAAATAATTACAAAATATTTAAAGTAGCAAAAAAAAAAATACCTTTAATTTTGGTATTTATTTTTCTTTTCCCATGGAATTAAAATGTAACTTCTCAAGTGTCGACTCGAAAATAAATAAGTTAAACCGCATTTTCCCAAATAAATCAATATCAATAGTAAAGATAAATATTGCATCCAGGCCCACTTCAATTCCTCAAGAATTCCTGGTATATATCTAATTGATTGTTCCGTATAAAAAATCTCTCCTTCCAATAAAATTTCTTCACTATTTAAAAATCCACTTTGCCAAGTTATTTGAGAATTTATTATTCTCCCTGAAACTAAAAATTATAGAAAATATAAATTATTTCTTTTTTCCATTTTATAATTTTACAATTAAAATCCAACTCACACATTCTATTTGAATTTTCCGACAATAATTCTGACAATGATTGAAAATTTCCATCGGCACTGAAATTGTATAAATTATAAACTCCATCGTGTCGTAAAAGACCTTTTTGTCGTAATGTTAAATCGCCTAGAAAATAAATTTTTTGCACGTCATGAATTAATGAAATATCAAAAACTCCCATTGTTTCCATTGTGACATGAACGTATTTCTAAAATGAAAAAAAAAACAAATGTAATAATTTAAATAAATAATAAATTTCCAAATATAAAATCTGACCTTCAGCTGATGATTAAAAAACAATAGAATCTTTAAAGATCGTATCGGTTGATTACTAAAGAAGCGTGCTTCAAATTTTAATACATCCTTTAATCCATCTTTATTTGTATCGATTTCTCTCACCTGAAAAAAAAAATAACAACAAAATTTATTAAAAATATAAAATAAAATTTTCTTAAAATATAATTATTATTAAAATATTAATATTTATCAACAAAAAATTGTTTCTTTTTTTGCATTATATAGGGGGGAAAAAAAGTATCAAAGTATATATGTATTATTAGAAATTAAATTTTTATTATACCTTTATTAAAAGACAATCATCCGTAAGCTCATTGCCCTTGTAGCTAACAAAAGAAGAACAAATAATGGGATTAACGTCAGACTCTTTTTCAGCGATCAGTAAATATTTATGTTTAAAATTCACTTTTGGATTTTCATGATACGTTCGACTTTTTAACCAAAAACCTGTATAAAATAAAAAAAATTTTAAACAAATTAATATAAAGCGCAAAAAAAATTATTTGTATTTAACTGTAGAAAATATAGTTAATTTCTTAATACATTAAATAAATAAATAAATTAGTCAATAAATTAATAATTTACTTAATAACAAAAATAATAATAATATGCAGATTAAATTCATTACAATTTAAAAAAAAAAGTAATTCTAACCTAAAAATTAATTTTTATATATAAAATATTAAAAACATGAATAATTAAATTAATTTTTCCTTAAATTTACATAAATATATATTTATAAATTTAAATACCTCCTGCATGATAAATAATATAAACAGGAACAAAAACAACAATTAAACAAACGAAAAAAACAAGAAAAGAACTAATAGAGCACAAAGTTGTTTTATATTTATATTTCACAGAAGTTGAGAAAATTTCAATTGCTCTCATATTTTCACGTCTATTTTTTACAATTTAATAAATTGTAATAAATTCTAAATTAATTTAAAAATAATATTAGAAATTCGTATAAATATTGTTTGTTTATATCTTTCGTTTCCATGGCAACAGGATTCAAACTGGACTAAATGTAACTGCGCTTGCGCCATCTTAAAATAATGGAAAAAAGCGCGCTTATTTAAAATAAAAAAATATATAAATATATTATATGAGAAAATTGAAATTATCGTATATAAAAATATTTACCTTTATTTAATTTTAATTTTAATTTTGTATTTTTTATTTTAAATTAATAAACATTATAAACACGATCCAAAAAGTGTTAATGTCTTTTGTCACTACCATTTATGGACGTGGAGTTGTCATCAGTTGTTATTGTTACGTCGCTTGTCACACGGCCTTATATTTCTTTTTGAAAAAAAAAATACAAATTCCATCTTTTTTAATAAACAAAATAACGTTTATATTGTAAATTAACTCTTTTACCGATTATTATCAGTGAATGAAAAATAAAGTAACAATATATAAATGAAATGTGTGTGGAAAAAGATTTAAAAAATTTTCTATGGCTGCTCTTAATTTAAAAAGATTTTCCCCTTTTTGTTAATAATTAAATAATATTTACGTGAATCAATTAAAATTTATTTATACACGTGTTAATTCTCCATCATATTATTCATTGTATAAAAAAAAATGAAGGTAATTATGCAATATTTGCTATTTAGTTTAAGGTCATTTACATTTTTAGGCCAGAAGATCTTATTTTTACTGTTTATTTTTTCAAAAGAATAAAAATTTTCAATTTTTTGTAAAAACTATTCTATCTGTTTTATCAATTTTGTCAAAAAAAAAAAACATATTTGTTATTCTTTTTTTATATTTTCTTTAAAAATTTGAAAATGTTGAAAATTTATAACCTCAAAATTGAAATTCATTTGGAAATATTTTCAATTTTATTAATTAAATTTATTTATAAATAAAATAAATGATGAGTATAAAATTTTTAAAAATGATTTTAGCTGCAAAATTTAGTGTAATTAATTTTTATTTTGCTTTTAATTTCTTGAACAATGTTTGTTTATGTAATAAACTATATTTGATTATTTTTTTTTTTTAGAAATTTCTGCCTTGTGGACTTTGTGCGGCCGCTCCTCTTTTAAAAAAAATGTCAAATGAAGATGATTCAAAATTATCTAGCAGTGAAAAAGTGTTAATTCGTCCCTCTGAACTTCCAATTTATTCTATTGAAACATGTACTATAAAGAAATCATGGTAAAGCGCAAGTATAAATTTTAATTAAAATAAAATATGAATTAAAATTAATTGAATTTTTTCTAAATATTATAATTATTAATTTTATAAAATATTAATAATATAATTTATAAATATTAATTTTATGTTTACAGTGAGAAAAAAGAATGTGAACCATCATATTTAGAACAAGGTTTTGGATCAATTCGTAAAAGTTTAAAGGGAGTTATTTCACAATATGAGACAATAAGTGATTCGGTGAATAATACAATTAACACAGGCAAAGAACACAGTGAACGTGAGTATTAAATTTCATAGCAAAGAAAATTGAATGGGAGAATTTTTTTTAAATGGTTTTTTCCTTTTTTTGTTTAAAAAAAATAGTCTTTATTGATTATTTACGAGACGACGAAACTCCTTGGCCTCGAGTTGGTGCCATTACAATTGGAGGATTGGTTGGTTTTCTCTTAGGAATTCGTGGTGGAAAATTCAAGAAAATAGTTTACACAACCACTGGAGCACTTTCGGTTGGCGCTTTTTGTTATCCACAAAAAGCACACGATGGTTTGGAACTAGGAAAACATTACACGAATATTGGATATAATTTCGTTTACGGAGGTAGATAAAAGAAATTAATAATTTTCTTTGTTAATTGAAAATAATTGTATTTTTGTTTATTATTAATTTAAAATTTAAGAATATAATTTGATAATACATATATATTTTTTTTAGACGAGGAATGTCCTGAAGAAATACCTCCAAAATATTGATCCTTTTTATCCACAAAATCACATCTTTTCCTTACCTACAAATTATATGCGTAAATGTTAAATAAAATCGAAAAAATATGTTCAAAAAAAAAATATGGCTTTTTTCGCAGTGAAACCAGGTGATGAAAATCAATTAGAAATTCAATGGCCAGAAGTGCCAACTTCCTTTTCGGAGCTTGGAGATTTAGTGATTGAATTTGGTTCGAATACTGCTGAAACTGTTGGAAATTTGGTTTACAAAGCTGTGGATATTGTACAACAAAAAGAGGTAAAAATTAAATAAGGTGATAATTTTTTCTCTCAAATTTAAATTACATATATTTTTTTATTATTTCAGTCGAAGCCTGAAGAATCCACGAAATCTAAAACAAGTTGAATTTTCCAAAAATAAACGCCAGTAGTAAATCCGCTGAAGAATTATAAATATTCAATTTTAATTTGAATATTTTTCGAAAACAAATGGAAATAAATTCATTTTGCTAGAGGCTCAAGATCCGAATCAATTGTAAAAAAAAAAAAAAAAAACAATAAATCGTATTAAATTTAAATTGTTTTCTTAATTTTAGAATTAAGTTAATTATTAATTATTTATCATTAATTTAATTTTAAAATTAGAAAAACATTTTAAAATATTTCTCTAAAGATTACAGTTTCATCAGCTGATGATAATACATATATATGGGTGAGCGTTTCTTTATCTAGTTTTTTTTTTTTTCTTGTGATTCATTCCGTGTTTCGTCACACACTGTTGTGCCTTGTCGGTGAAAGTCAACATTAGAGTGACAAATACAGAAAAAATTAAATCACAATTTTGTGGAAATATTTTCGATACATAAGTAAAAAAACAATTATAAATTAATAATTTTTTTTATTTGGAAATAAAAATGGGTCGCGCATTACATTTTGTGTTTAAAATTGCCGAACGTAAATTAACTGCAAAATTCTACCGGGAAATACTTGGAATGAAGGTTAGTTAAAAAAAAAAATGTCATTGAATAAAAGAAAAAAAAAATTTTTTAAATATAAAAAATAAACTAAAATATTTAAAAATAAGATTAAATATATCTATTAAAATGAAATTTATTTAATTTAAAAAAAATGATTTCGAAACTTGATATCTGTTGTTTAATTATGAGATTATAGCCTAAGGCAATTATAATTATTTTTATTACAGGTTTTAAGACACGAGGAATTTTCCGAAGGATGTGAAGCTGCCTGTAATGGGTATGTTTTTTTTTTTTTTTTTTTATTTTGTGAGTGACGAACAATTTTTTTTTTTAATAATAAAAAATGCTAATGACTTCATATTTTTTTATTGTGATTTTTAACAGACCGTACGCTAATCGTTGGAGTAAAACAATGATTGGATATGGACCGGAAGATTCACATTTTGTCATTGAATTAACATATAATTATGGAATTAATTATTATCAATTGGGAAATGATTTTCGTGGAATTACCATTAGATCAAAGGAAGCGATTCAACGTGCAAAAGCTGATGGTTGGCCAATGAAAGAGGAAAATGGAAAATTCGTTCTCGAAGCTCCTGGTGGTTATAAATATATTCTAATTGATGAATCTCAACCACAAGATAGAGGTTGGTTATAATAATTTTTTTTTTTTTCCACGTGAATTCAATTTCAAAAGAAATTAATTTTTTTAGACCCCGTGGAAAAAGTTACATTATCAAGTTCAAATCTTCAGCGCAGCATTGATTATTGGAAGGGAATTTTGAAATTAAAAATTTATAAAAAAAATGAAAAAAGCGTCACCTTGGGATTTGATGAGGATCAAGCAAAATTAGAATTTGAAGACATAGGTAAAAATATAATCAAAAATTTATTTTGAAAATAAATTAAAAATAATTTAACAAAAAATTGAAAATAATTAATAATTATTAAATAAGGTGTTGAAGTAAATCATGCGAAAGCTTATGGTCGCATTGCCTTTTCAATACCATTTGAACAACAACCGGAAATTCAGAAAAACATCAAAGAAAGTGGAAACAAAATTTTAACAGATCTAATTACACTAGAAACACCGGGAAAAGCTTCTGTTCGAGTTATTATTTTAGCCGATCCGGTGAGAAAATTTTTTTGCATCAAATTAAGAACTAAATAAACAAATATAAATAAAAATTCTAAAAAAAAAAATTTCAGGATAATCATGAAATATGTTTCGTCGACGATGAGGGATTTCGAAAGCTTTCGGTAACAGATTATCCAAGTGAAAAAATTTTGGATAGATTTATTTTAAAAGAAGAAAAAGCTGGACCAGATGAAATTCAAAAAACTTCTGCATAATAAATTACAAATAGTAATTAAAATACACTTTTTTACAAAATTCGATAATTTTAAACATTTCAAGTATTTAGCTAACAGATAATAATATTAATTTAATATTTTTTACAAAAACTATTCAGTATTAAATAACTCAACAACTATTTTTAATTTTTAACTATTATTAACACTGAATAAATTAATGTAAATATATTCTTCTAATTAAATAATTTGTAATTCTGGACAAAAAAAAAAATAGAAATTAAATATGAGCGTTTATGGAAAAATGTTTTCTTTATTATTTATGTCTTTTAATATACGAGAATTGTCAGAGTAAAAAAAATTTTGTTGATTAAATAGTTCATTAATCTGCTCTGACCTTTTAACATTTCAAAGACGTAACTAGGAATATCCAGTCCCGTTGACAAAGATATAATGAATGATTTCATAAAGACGTAATTCATTCTTAGAATTATTTCAAAATTATGTTCAGCCTTCGTTTATAGTCATCTTTAAAACGAGACAGTGATGCCAGTTGTGTCAGTTATTCAAGATCATACAAAGGCTTTATCATCATGAAATTAAATGTCTTTTTATTTATTTTCATTTTAATCTTTCTAATCCGTAAGTAATTATTTATTTTTGTTTTATTTCTTCATTAAAATGAATTAAATAATAGTTAATAACAAAATGAAGAAATAGAGTAAAAATGTGTTAAAAAATTTTCTTTTATGAAAGAATTATTAATGTAAAAAAAAAAAAAAATTGTTAGAGGACATAAAAGCGAGAAGAAGTGGTGGCTCAAGTAGAGGAAGTTCTAGTAGAGGAAGTTCCGGTGGAGGATGGTTTGGCAGTAGTTCCGGATCAAAAGGATCAAGTGGAGGATGGTTTAGTAGTAGTTCCGGTTCAAAATCGTCAAGTAGTTCCGGATCAAAAGGATCATCAAGTGGAGGTGGTTTATGGGGTTTTTTCAGTTCAAAAAGAAGTAAGTTTTCTGAAAATAATTCTATAAATAGAATAAAAAATAAAAATAATTTAATAATAAATTTAATTCAAATATTTATTGAATGAATATTTTTTTTTTTTTTTTGCAGATGATTCTCCGAAACCGGTGACTTCTGCACCAATTCCAAAATACAGGACACCACCATCAGCTCCTATTTTCGAAAATAATCATAAACATGTGCATTTTTCGCAAAATAGTAGTAAGTTTTTTTTTTTTGTATTTTAATTTAAAAATTAGATTTTTTTTTACAAAATAATAATTAATTTTATAGAGCCATCGTCTATTAATAATAAACCAGGAAATTCCTATGTGACTCCGCCATCAGCTCCTACATTAGGTGGTTCTTTTGGAGGATATCAAAATCATGGACAGGGTAAATTTTTGTTAATTTATTTCAAATTGGTATAAATTTTTTCTTTTTTTTGGTTAATTTACAGGAATTGGGACAAAAACGAAAATTCCTGTTAAAATATACGCTCCTCCGTCTTTGTCGAAGCCGAAAAAATTTAATCCCCCATATCCTGTGGGACAACCAAAAGGCTCACATCCAATACCCCATAATACTGGATCTTTGGGTAAATTTATTTTTGTTTTCTGAATAATAATTATAAATAACTATTGAATTAAATTTGGAAAATTAATTAACATTTTCGAATTTAAATGTTTTAAATTAATTTCCAGGTTCGTCAGTCTCGTCTTCTAAATATCCACAAGTTTCGTCAGGCTCTAGTCCATACAATCCTTATTACAATAATGTTGGAAAAACTGGTTCCAGTCCTTATAATCCGTATTATTATAATATTGGATCAAGTCATTACAATGCTGGTAAATAAATAAATAATACAATTTATTTTACTGAAATAAAACAAACTGATTTTTTCCCCCCATAATCTATAGGAAATCCTAAAACGGGAATTCAGTCGCAAAATTCAGGAAGTCATCAATATTCCTCAGGATATTCAGGACATATTCCACAAATACCTTCTGCTCCACATCTTTCACAAGGATATACCTCAGGTATATAATTTAATTTTGTATTTTATAATTTAATTTAATTTGTATAATTTTTTCTAATTCCCTTTTTTTAAGGATATCACCCGAATTATCAGAGAGGTGGAAATTCATTATCTCAACCGGGAGTGATTTATGTACCGAATTCAGTTTCCACGAGCCGTGGAACGGGTGATATTTTTAAAGAAGCCTTAATTCATTCGACAGTGAACGCTGGAGTTAATGCTGCCGCTAATCGAATTTTTTATCCAAGTCATTTTTCTGGACATAATTATGGTTCGAATTCGGGATATGGAGGATCTACTGGAGGTGGTACAACTCACATTATTCACAATAATTATTATTACAATAATAATCCATCCAGCGATTTACAAGGAACGGAAATTAATGGCTCAGATAATTCAAATAATTCGAATAATCAAAATAATTCAAATAATTCGAATAATCAAAATAATGAAAATAATTCGAATAATGAAAATAATTCAAATAATCAAAACAATTTGAAAAATCCAAATATTTCCAATCATCAACATTATGGAAATACAGCGAGTAATTTGAATAATTTAAATAATAGTCAACCAAGAGGAAATAACATAAATAATAATGAATTGAGTGAAAATTTTTCATTACGACAATTAAATATTACTGACGAGGAATTAAGAAATTTAACCGAGGATCTTTTTACTCGGCAAGAATTTGACGTCAACAAATATATTAAATTGAATCTCCAAAATAAGGTCAACAGCACAAATATCACTGATGAGTCAATTGAGCCGTAAGCTATTATTAATCTTTCAACTATGGGGGTGACATTTCTTTTATTTGATTGTCAATTTATTTAAAGAAACGGAAACCTTTTTTCTTTTTTAAATAAATATTTTATTTTTAGACTACTGGAAATTCAAGACGATGTAAATCAAATTCCAACAATTGAATTGATTAAATTTTTGTACGATAATTATGAATATAATTCGCAAATAAAGGAAAAAATGACAGATGAAATGATAAAGGAAGAAAATAATTTTTTGGAAGTTATTTTACAAACAAATGTTATGACACATTTAATGAAATGGTTAACGAATAAAAATATAATTGACGACGATACACTTTCAAAAAAGGAGATATTAACGAGAATTTGGTTTACTTCAATTGAAGGTTCAACGTCAGCCTTTGAAAGGACATTTATGATGGAAAACTATTGGAATACAAGTATTATGGGTTTGCAAAATTGGATTTATTTCAATTATATGGAAATGAGAAAGGAAATTAATTATCTCGGCTATATGGAAAATTTAGATCTTGGATTTGTAAGATTTATTAATTTCACTATTATTTTTATAAAAGTTAATGAAATTTAATTTTGGAAATTAAATTTTAGAAAAGAAAAATAATTTTTTTCTTTTTTTTTTTTTAGAAGGGATCACTTTTAAAAATTATTGTTAATTCAAAAGGAATTACTCAGCCAACAACAATGTTTATTGGAACATTACCCGAATTAGAAATGGCATTGTACACAGTTTGTTATTTTGTTAGACCAAACGAATCGTGTCCAATTTCCCTAGGTGGAACAAAATTTAATATTTTCACACATACTTTTCATTCTTGGGGAAAGGATCTTTTGGACGTTGCTGTTCCTGTTTTATAAAAAATTAAAAAAAAAAAATTTATTTCTCCATTTTATTAATTTTTAAACAAAAAATAGTATAAAACAACCTATAAATAAATTATTGATTTATAAAAAAAAATTACTACTTTAGTTTTACTTTTCCCAATGATTTATCAACAGCTAGTGAAAAATAAAACTTTATTTTTAATTTAAAAAAAAAAAAATCAGTTTCTATTTAAATTGGAAAAATTATTTTTTATTAATAGAAAGAAATAAGTATTAATTAAAAAAGAGTTTTTTTGATGAAAATCAAATAAATGTAAATTAGTTGCAAAGATTGCATGATTGATATATTATGAAATATTTAAAATAGTTCCTAAAAATAATTTTTGTTAATGTGTTTATAAACAGCTTTATCGGTGAAAACGTCATGATTATTAGCTCATTATTCACTCTGCACTGTCGTGGTATAACTAATTATGCGAAAATCCCAAGAAGTATAGATAAATGTTTATAATAAAAGTATTCTTTTCTGTCTTCAATTTCTTATAATGATAAACACATTAGTATAGTGAAATATCTATTTGTCAGTTCCATAATCTTTCTCGTTAAGAGACAGCCGTGCCAGTTTGTCATTTAAGATTGAACGAGACAGTTCGTTCTCTTCGATCATGGAGTTAAAAGTGCTTTTATTTCTCTTTCTTATTATTTTCTCGCTACGTAAGTAATAATTTTTTTTTTTTTCAATAGAATTAATATTTTTTTTCAAACATTAAAAAAAAATATCTTAATTAATAATGTGGAATTTTTTTTTCTGAGAATTTATTTTGACAATTTGAATAAAATATTTTGATTTTGTTAGCAGTAATATTTAAATATAAAAAATTGAAAAACATTACATAAATGAAAATTTTTTTTTTATATTTAAGTTTCTTTTGTGAAAATTAAATAATGAAAAAAAATAATTTTAGTATACATTTTCGAATAGAAAAGAAAAAAAATGATAGAAATTTTAAATACAGTTAAATTTTTATTACGTGGCGTGGAATTTACTTAAATTCGTCATCTATGTCATCGTCATAATTCAAATTTCTCGTATATTTGTAATTTAAAAAAACATTGTCATTTGTTTATTTTTTCTTAATTATATAAACAATTATATAAAAAAATAATTTAAGTAAAAAGTTTTTAGTATTTTTTAAAAAAATAATACAAAAAATAAAATGCCCTTTTTTTAAATTGTATGAAAAATAAAACAATTTCAGAGGACACAAGAGGTGTAAGACTTGGGGGTGGAGGACGTAGAGGAGGTGGAAGTAGTCGTGGTGGTAGTAGCGGAAGAGGATGGTTTGGTAGTAATTCCGGTTCAAAAGGAACATCCAGTAATACTGGCAATAGAGGATCAGGTAATATTTTTAATTATTAAAAAAAAATAATTTTTTTATGAATATATAAATTAAATTTTTGAGTTGAATATTTATAACAAAACTTGTAAATTTTATAGTAACATCCTCGCCTTCAACTGGTGGCGCTTTTGGATCATATTATCAAGGCAATCCAAAAGGTAAAAATTTATTTTCTAATTAATTTAAATAATTTTATTTAATTTACATATGAGAATTCGATTTAAATTTTTTTAATTCTAAAAAATAAAGAAATATTTGCTGATATTTTTAAATTAATATATTTTAAATTTGAAAAAAAATTTCCTCATTTTTCTTTTTAACAGTTTAGAAAAATAAATTTAATTTATTAGAAAAAGGAAAATAGACTCTAGATCGAATCATATTTGATTAAATGCGTAATTTACATCAAATTCTGAGTCATCACAACGAGAGCGTTCTAAGTAATTATATTGCACAATATTTTTTTTTTAATTCTAATTGAATTTTTAATTTACAAGAATTGAATAATAATAATAATTTACGTTATATTATAATTAATTCTTTTCAATTAATTTTAAATACAGGAAATTATTATTTCATTTTTATCATAAAAAAAAAATAATATAATTAATCAATATTCAAAATAACAATGGAAAACTTAATATTTTACATAGAGAGAATATTCTCATGTGAAAAGTAAACAAATTTATAACAGCAAATAGAGAATAAAATTATAGATAACGAACTATATAAAATAGAAAGAAAAAAAAATACCTTTATATTTCCGGTCTATGAAAAAATGTACGACGAATTTATCATTTCTTCTTTATGAATTTTTTATCATCTTCTTTATAAACAAAACTGGAACTTAACTTTTTCTGAAATTGAAAAAAAAATTGATTACTAATTTGTAATAATTTAATATTCAATTAATGATGACAAAGAAAAATGATAAAAAATATTTACATTTATAATTTTAAAAAAAATTTTAATTCCTAATTTTTGATGATTCATAACACAAATAATTGTAATATAATTATTTTTACCTTTTTTTTCATCAAAGAAGCAAAATTCAATTTATTCTGAAACAGAAAAAAGAAAATTTTATTAAAATTAATATAATTAGAAAAATGTAATTGCAATTGTTATATGATGAGATTTATTTAAAAAAAAAAAGAGAATAACAATCGTAATTATATTAATTCCCCCCTCCTACTCAACGTAGCGGAAAATTGAATAAAATTTATTTTCAGTGTTATATTTTTAATATATTGTGAATAGAGAATATAATATATAAAATATATTATAATAAAAGATGTTAACTCAATGGAAACGTTCAAGGGAAACCTAAACCAGTAAGTTGATAATAAAAAGAGAAAGCCTACACTTGATTCACTCGCTCACCATCTCAGTTTAGTGAATTCCTGATTCAGTATTCAAGTTTATATACATTGAGTTTAAAACCTTCAGTACCACATTGACCATCACGTCTAAAGCATATCAAAAAGTTCATTATTTTTTGAAAATAAAAAAAAAATAAATATAAAAAAAATGGAGCTTAGGCTAGCCCTAGTCAGTCTCCTAATTATTTTCCTCATTTCCGGTAAGTATTTTCAAAAACAAGGATGTCATTTGTTACGCAAGTTTATAACAATTAATCCTTTCTTGCATCACTGATTTCATATATATATTCTTTTTCTCACTTAAAACACCTGTAAAACGTTTGTCAACACTTTGTCTAATATATTTTTTTTTTAAATTCAATTTTTCAAAATAACATTATTTATTTTTATAATCAAATTAATTATTTAATTAATTCATTTTCATTAAATAATAACATTATTTATTTACAAATAAATTGCACAATAATAAATAATATTTATTATTTATAACGAATTACTTAACGATTAATCGATAAAAATACAAAAAATATTATGTTTTTTAGAAGACTGTTTTTTTTTTGTTTGCATTAACTTTCTTGTAGTGTTGATGAAATCATTTGGCAGCTGACTTTATTGCGGTAAAAGTAACTGTTTTCTGTTTCAATATAGACAAAAACTATTTTCTCTTTCAACTAATTTCATTCAAGAAAATAATTTCATTTTTGAAGAAAATTAAAATATATTGAAAATTATTATAATAAAAATCAATTAAAAATTATTCCGGAAGCTTTTTTTTTGCAGCAAAAATGTTTATTGACCTTTAAAATGACTCTTCCTTATTTCTTTAAGGTCTTGAATTTCCATTTTAAGTAAAATAATTAACAATCTGGAATATGATTTCCTTGAAAATACGTATTTACGTCTTAATGTTCAGATTTCTATTATGTATTGTAGTTAACAATAATTATCTATGAACTATATATTTTCAAATTTTTTTTTTTTTTTAATTTCTTTTTTACGGAATTTTTACTTTAATGAATTATTTAAAATATTGCGGCAATTATATATTAAATTCAAATTAAATTATCTATATTAAATTTTTGTATTAAATTTCCTTAAAAATTTTTCTCCATTTAAAATGGAAATTCAAGATCATGACCTTTGAAAGTAAAATAAAATAATTGTTAAAAAAAAAGGGTCTAGAGTGCATTTACAATTAAGGGAGATGCTATCATATATATATATGTGTGTATCACAATATTCGTAATAATAAGAGCTTGTAAATTACGTGAATGATATCGTGCCAAATTGAACGTACATATTATTCACTTGTCGACAACTGGTACAATCCAAAGTCAACTGTCAAAAGGTTTATAAAAATATAGAGGTCATTTTCTCTTTCCTTATCACGAATGTCAAATTCCATTATAATAATTTTTTGTTTTTTCAATCACCAAAAAGAATGAATTCTAAAAAATAAAAGAAAGAAAATTAATTTTTGTTCTATTTCAAAAAATAGATGGAATCAACGCTAAAAGAAGTAGCAGTGGAGGAAGTCGAAGAGGAAGTGGAGGCTATGGAAGCAAACCAAGGACAACACAAAGACCCAATGTATCTCAAACGCGACCTCCTCAAAATTCAGGTGTTAATAAATTATTAATTTTTTGAAAAATGAAAATTTGATTAATATTAAGCGAATTAATTTTAATCAAATTTATCAAATTTAATAACAATTTAAATTTAATTTATAAAATAGAAAAATTTTATTTAAATTGATTTATTGTTAAAAATTAATTAATAATTTATTACCTCCCTAAATAATGAAGACTTTATTTGAAGTTGCAAAAAATCTGTTTTTGGGAAAAAAAAAAAATTTGTTTCCTTCAATTCCCATCAATGGATCATTTATGAAAATCAATTTTGTAATATATTAAACGAATTTATCTGCTACCATATCGGCTCTATTTCATTGCGCAACATAAAATAATAGGCAGTGATCTTTCAATCTAGAACTCAATTCTTGTTTGCTATATCGTGTTATATCAAAAGCCCAATCATGAATCAATTATAATAATTATAATGTTTCTCCCACAAACACGTCACCCATGACACCTCTGCAAACAAAATTTTACAATAATGATTATTATATTTGAAAAAAACAAATTTGCAATTTCTTTATTTTTTTAAAAAGTATTGGAATTCATTTAAAAAGGAAGCAATGAGTAGAATATTGAAAAAGTGGGAAAAATTGTTTTTTTTTTGAAAAAGAAATAAAAATTTAAATCGAATTTTCTCGAATAGGAAAAAATAAATTTTTTGGAAAAAAAAATGTATACTAATGGGATAATTTTTTTCAATTAGGATCACAACCTGTAGGATGGAATGTTAATAATAAACCATCAGCTCCGGAGCATACGGCCTCAAAAGCTACTGCAGTTCACACGCAATCAAGTACTTAATTAGTTTTAATTAGATTTTAATTTACTGTAAATTAAATTAAAATATCCCATTTTTTTCCAGCAAAAAAAAATCCCTATTTTGCAAATTTCAAAAAAAAAGAAAAATATCCATTCAAGAAGAATTTTTCCAATTTTTGAAAAGAAAATGAAAAATAGAAAAATTATTTTCCAGGCAATCCTTATGGTCAACAACATGGAACGAATCCTTACTATCCATCGGGAACTCATCAATCGGGTGGATATAATCCATCAGGAGGATATAATCCCTCATCAGGAGGTTATCATCCACAAGGTGGCTATAATCCCTCATCAGGAGGATATCATCCACAAGGTGGTTATAATCCCTCATCAGGAGGTTATCATCCTCAAGGTGGTTATAATCAACCAGGTTACAATACTGGACATTATCCACAAAATTATGGTCAATCACATGGTTTACCTTATCAGCCATATCAACCACCGCACAATGGTTATTCATCAGCTGGTCATGGCTATAATCCATCAGTTGGTACACCAATAATTGTTCAAGGTAGCAGTAAACCAGGAATTGGTCAAATTGCAAAAGAAGCATTTGTATACGCTGGTGTTAGTGCCGGTGTTAATGCAGCTGTTAATCGTATTTTACCTGGTGGAATTTATGGTCATTCAGGTGGTAGTAGTAGTCATGTGAGTCCAAGTGGTGTTGTACCAACAAATACACAAATCACTTATAATAATTATTATAATAATGGTTCAGCACCCACTCCTGATGCAACAGTAACACAAAATCAAAATAATCCCCCTCAACCTGCTGTCCCTTTAGCGACACAAACTCCCGCAGCTAATTCAAATGCATCTCCTTCAAATAATAATAATAATAATAATAATACACCACCACCGGCAAATCAAAATTCCAATACTGGTGTAAATAATTCACCGCCTCAAGATTTTCTCACTTCTGCTCATGATATTCAACAATTGACCGAGGATCTTTTCAAAAAAGACACAAACAATGCCAATCATCACATCACCGTGAATCTACAGGGTCAAAAGAAGGACGACAGCACAAATGATGATGCACCTGAACAGTAAGTTTTTTTTTAATTCTTAAAATATTTCTAAATTTGATTAATTATTACATTTTTTTCAAATTCCACAATTTCAAAATCTGAAATAAAACAATTTTTCTATGAAATTGTATTCGATTTTCAATAAATAAAATAAGTGATTAAAATTATTTTCAGTTTATTGTCTGTGAAATCAGAAGCCTACGAAATACCAACAATTAAAGCTGTTCTTGCATTACATGATAATTATGAATTAAGTGTGAAAACTAAAGAAAATGTAACACCACAAGAGAGAGATGAAGAAATTGCATTACTCGATAAATTTCTTGAAACAGATGTTATTAAAACAGCAATGAAATTTCTTGTTGACAAAGGATATATTCCAAATGATGAATATGAATATAAAGATATTTTAAAATCAATTTGGTTCACTCAATTTAAACGAATTGAAGGTGATTCCTCAAGTTCAGGATTCGAAACTGTCTATTTAGCTGAACAATTTGATAATGAAATAATTGGCCTTCACAATTGGATTTATTTCGCCAAACAAGAAGAGGCAAATAATCTCAATTATTTGGGTTATATTCAAGAAAAAAAACTTGCGAGTGTAAGTATAATAATTTTTTTTTCCCCCCCTAGAAAACTATTAATTTACTTATTTTAATTTTTTGTATTGATTTACGATATTTTCTTTTGTTTTCAGACTGCCTCTGTTATAAAATTACGATCGACATTAAACAATGTCCTACAACCAGTGTCATCAATTTTTGTTGGCACATCACCTGAATTAGAAATGGCACTCTATACCGTTTGCTTTTATACAAGACCAAATAATTTATGTCCAATTTCACTTGGTGGCTCACAATTTTCAATAATTGTTAATCGAGTAAATTATTACGGAAAAGAAATACTTGTTTCCGCCTATCCGGAAATTTAGAAATATTTTCATTAATAATCGCTATTATTTTATAACTCGAATTAAGAAAAAGAAAGTCCATTTTTCAGAAAAAAATACTCATATTTTAAAAGTGGCGATAATGTAAAAAAAAAAAAAAAATAGAAACATTTAAGTCTTTAATTTATAAGTAAATAAATAATCAACTTTTTTTTTTGTTACAGAATAATGAGATTTTTCTTTTTTTTTAAAAAAATTGACAACTGTTTAATAATATTGTGGCAAATAAAACCAATGTATGTGATATTCAATCTATGTAAATTATAGGCAATAAATGAAAAAAAAAAAATTGAAATTAAATACCTGGTGGGATTTTTGTTGTTTCTTTTTGAGATCAGTCAAATCTAATAGTGGGAATATTGACGGTCGACCATGAGCACAACGATTTGGAGCTTTAGCTTTTCTCAACGATTTTATTAATAAATTGCATTGATCATTCGTTAATATATCGCCAAATTTGATTGCACCTGAAAAAAAAGGAAATTTAGAACAATTTTTAAAATAGAATAAAATTTAAAACAGAATTTCTTTTTTTTTTTAATTGTTTACCTCGACAAGCTTCGGAGGCAACAGAATTATGAATAGATTTTGGTAAAATAGAAATGCCATTTGTAGTTTCAAGACTCTCGACAATATCAGTAAGAAGATTTTTTACCGAACAAAATAATTTAAATTCGCTGTATTCACTTTTTCGTCGGAGAAAACAACGAGGAACATTTGTCACCATTAATGAATTATTTGAACTGAATTTTAATTTAATGCCAAATTTAGCGATTAGCTTTTCATTGAGAAAAAGTAATTTAATATTTTTTTCTTCCATATCATTTATCAATATTGGATGATCCAAAACAATTGAATAGTATTGTTTTGTTTTTTCGATTCTATAGCCTAAAAAATAAAAAATTATAAAATATATATATTTTAAAAAAATTCTTATGAATAATTTTTTATCTACTTTGAAGAAGATCTTCATAGCGAATTCTTTCATCAGCCGCATGTTGATCAATCATTAATAATAATCGTGAATTATCTTGAACTGCTAATGCTGCTATAAATTCGGAATTAATTTGTCTTAAGATCTGTGAGAAAATATATATAAAAAAAAGACACATTTTATTATTATTATTATTTTTTAATTATATTTTTAGAAAACAGAAAAAAAATTCTACTCACTTCAACGGAATATAATGTTTTTCGATTTAATTTAAATTCATTACGATGTGGAACAATGCAAAGTCTTACATTTAAATTTTGATAACGACTAACAATTTGATCAGCTGAAACAAAATATTATATTTAAATGTATAAAAGAAATTATATTATAAAAAATTATATAATAATAATAATAATAATAATAATAATAATAATAAACTCACGTTTTATTTGCGGTTTAAAAATAGTTGAAACATTTTCCACATTATTTTGAATATTTGCATCCGATAAAATATGTGATTTTCCAAAACGTAACATGGAATTGAATATCGGTGGCAAAAAATAATAAAGACGATGATTGTCTATTTTTTTTGATTCAGAAAATTGAACATAATTTTTGGAAATTGGGACGACGTAATTCCAGTCAGACCATTCAGAAAGTTGGCTACAATATTCTAAATCAATTATTTTTCACATACAAAATTATTTAATATTTGTATTAATTAAAAAAAAAATTTTTTTTCTCACCTGTAACAAATTGATTAACAGTCTCTTGATTTGAAATAGTCGATGTTTGTTCATTATTATTTGTGACAATTTTTTGATTCATCAAAAATTCATCATCATTTTTGTCAAAAATTTTAATTGATTGATGATAATTTTCTGGATGTTGAAAATAATTTGTCTCTTTATTTTGTTGTTGATGAATAACTTTTTCCATTGAATTATAGTTTTCTTCTTGTTTTTCTTCTTTCTCTAAAAATGAATTCTGATCTTTTTTATAATTATTTTGATTTTTTCTCTCAAATTGAAATTGATTATTGATAATTGAACGTTTAAAATTATCATTATCAATATTTTCGTCTAAATAATATTTTTCATTTTTTCTTAAATGTTTAATGACTGTTTGGCAATTATTTAATTTTCTTAATTTATCAACATTGATAATTTTTTCTTCATGACAAATTTTACAATTATTTTTCATTTCTTGTTGTTTATTTATCCAAAATTTTGTCACAATATCATCGATATTTTTCACAACATCGGATTTTAATTTTTTTAAAATTTCATCTTCAAAATTTGATTTTAATTCTGAAAGTGTATTAATTTTTTTTTGATTTCTTAAAAATTCTTTCATAAAATCATCACGATTTTTTTGTGTTAATGTAACATGTTCGCCTTGTTTGGTTTTCATTTTTTTCATAATTTCATCATTAAAGAAAACTTTTAAATCCGAATGTACTGTAGGTTTTTTTTGATTTTTCAAAAATTGTTCCATAAAATTGTCATTTAATTTATTTTCAGAAACATTAATTTGTTGTTGTGATTTGTTGTTAATTTTTTTCTCAGGAAAATAATTTGAATAAGAAATTTCATTTTTTTGTCTTTGATTTGAAAAAAATTGTTCATTAAATTGATTATTTTTTAAAATTTGTTCATTTATTCTTGGCTGATTAAAAAATTCATCTTCTGAAGAAACAAAATAATTGGGTCTTTTTTCCTGATTTTTCAAATATTTTTCAACAATTTCATGATTTTTTCTTGAAAGAAAAAATTGTTCTTTTAATTTTTGATTTTCAATAATTTCTTCTTTAGGATTGTTGAAAAATTTCTCATTAATTACGTGATTTTTTATTGGAGAAATAATTTTTTGATCATTGTTGATTTTCATTTTTTTGATAATTCTTTCATTGGACTCAAATTCTGAATCTGATAGTTGGTTCATTTTTTCTTGATTTTCTAAAAATGATTCCTGCTTTCTTTTTAAAAGAATTTGTTTTTCTACTTCTCTTTTTTGTTTTTGCTCACGTAATTTATCACGACGTTTCATTTGAAGTAATGAAAGTTGCGTCATTGTTATTCTATGACTTCCAAATGGTTTTTTAAATGAATTATCATTTTTTTGCAAATTTGAATTTTTTTTCACTTTTAATTTCCTATCAATTAAAGTTTTTTTTGTTTCTTTATCTGTATCTTTTTTTACATTATTGACAATTAATGGATTATTAAGCGTTGAAGATTTACTGATTTGTCTGTCAAAAATGTCTTTCAAGCTTTTTTTTTGAATTTGAAGTGGCTTTAATTTTTTTAATTTTACTTTTAATGGATTTTCCAAAGTTTCCTGTGAATCATTTATTAATTTTAATAGTTCTTTTTTCTTTTTTCCATTTGCTTTAGAATATGGTCCTTTCTTTGGGAATGGCTTTTCAATTTTTAATCCTTTATCAGGAAACTTTTTTCTATTATGCGAAATTTTGTTTGTTTTTGATTGTTTTTCATGATTAAATTTCTGCGCTGAAGGTGGTAGTGACGTTTGTGTAGCTATTGATATTCTTCTATCAAGAAATTGATTAGAAAAGTTGAAATCATTGATTGATTCCCGAGTTAATAAATTATTCGTTTTTTCTAAATAATCTTCGTCTTTGTTTTTGTCTGAAAAAAAATATATTATATTATTATTTTATTTAAAAATTTAAATTGTCAATAACTTACAATAGTTGTAATGTTGAAAAGCTTCTGTAAATGAACTACTTCCCGGTTCAATTAAATTATCAGAATTAATTCTTAGAGTATTTAGAAGACAATTTTTTACAATGTCAGCAAATATTGACCATTCTTCAAAAATGACAAAAGTTCTACCTTCATAGCTGGATAATAAAAAATCCAATTCTGAACATTGAATGAAAATTACAAAATAAATATTGTCCATTGAGGAAATTTTCAATTCATCACCAAGTTCCTTCATTGTGTCGAGAATTAATTTTTGTATTTGTAAACAATTAGCGGGTCTTCGATTTATAAAAATATTTCGAACAAAAATTGAATTCATTTCTAAAAATCCAATATAGCCACAAATTTTGAAACCTGATGAATTATGACTATTTAAATGCCAGCTTGTTTTTAAAGAGATTGTCTGTCGACAAATAATATTCAAAATACTGTATGGCTCGTGTGGTTTACTAATTGCAACAGTGAGTTTATCCGCTTTTTCATCTTGAAGAGTAAATGAAACCTAAAAAAAATTTTCTTTTACACGAAGTTGTCAAAAAAAGATTATTAAAATAATTTAAAAAAAAAAAAAGAAAATATTACGTCAGTGTAAATTAAAGCCAATGATGTGACGACAAAATAAATTCTATGTAATGCAGATTCCCAACCGGATCCTTCATATCCATAAATTGTCACCACCGTTCCTTTATTAAGTAAATTACTTTGAATAAAAGTTGGATCTTCTCCGATTTTGAAAACTTTTTCATAAGTCGATGTCTCGCCATGTTTTGAAATGATAGTACAAATTTGTGAAAGATTAATAATTTGTTTTAAACTTTCACCCTTTCTTGAATGAGTATAACATGTTTCTCTTGTATTTACATTCTTTTTTTCAATTTCGCCAATTCTCAAAAATACATCCGGTGGTATTCCATCACCGCTATCAATAACTTGAATTTTTTTCTTATCACTGTCAAAACGAACTGCTATTCCAGTTGTTTTAACATCAAGGGCATTTAGAATCTTACAAAAAAAGAATAAAAAATATAACAGGTAATTTGCATACCTATAGTTAAATGAAAATACTCACCAATTCTAATACACATTGACCGACAGTTACAATTTCCATAGCTCTATATCCGAATTTTATATTTTAAACTTAATTTGCTCATTTTTTACTATGTAACTAAACAAATTAAAAATACTTCAAGAAAAAGTTACAGTGTAAATAACCTTAAGCCCTTTAAACTTCCTCCGCATCGTTGTATGTTCGATATAATATATATCGATTTGGTAGTAAAAGCTAACTTCACGCAAGTCAGAAATTTCTTGGAGGTTAGATTTTTCTCCTAAAAATATAAAAATCTTAATTTAATATATATAGTGAAATGGATAAAATATTATCAAAATATTCGATATCCAGGTGAAATAATAATGAAAAAGTAATACAATTTTAAGTGTATCAACAAATATCCATGTGGTAAGTAGTGTTGACAAAAAAGTATTTTTAAGAGTAAATTTGTCATTACTAATTCGATAAAATTTGTATAAAGTTAATTGTTTCTTTTTTGTTTTTAATTTACAAAAGGTTATAAATTACAGATATTGTCAAAATATTACGACTTTCTTGTTATCTCTCTCTTGCATTTTTTTTTTTTCAACAAAAATGAGTTTGTTATATAAAGGTCAAACCTATAATTTTCTAACAATTGTGGTTTTTTTTTATTCTTTAAAACATTTTTTTTTCTATATAGATAAAAGCGACTTTTTTTTTAACAAAAATGGCAAATCCAACAATAAACGGTGGTCAGAATTATTATTGGAGTACGGAGACAGTTTCAACACAATCGACATTATCACAAAATCATGATTATTATTCATCGGTAATGGAAAATTTTTCACTTCCCGATTTTACACAACCACCGCCAAATTATCGTTTACCACAATCAACAAATATGGAAAATAAAATTGTCAATTATCAACAATTTCCATCGACAAATATAAATCATATTAATTCATTTCAAAATGGTAATATTTCATCGTTAACCTCTAATTATCAACAAATGAATCCTCAAAATTATTCTCATCAACAATCAGGATCGTCGATAATTCAAGAAAATTGCAATTACACATATTGGTCGTCAAATTCAATAAATGTAAATAATACAAATCGTGTGGAAATGAATTGGTCAAAATCAATGAATCATAAAAAATGGAGTACACCATCGACGTCGAATGAAATTATTTACACTCAAGAATTGACGAGAAATGATGATAAACGTTCGTCAAGACATGAATTTACCAAAAGATCCGATTGGCGACGCGATAAACGATCAAATAGTCGCGATAATAATCGAAGAAGATCCAACAGTTCTGAGAGTAGATCACGATCAACTAAATCATCCAGGTATTCTTTTTTTTTTTTTTTGTATTCAATTCATATTTTGATTAATTTTACAATTTCATGATTTTTTCTTGAAAGAAAAAATTGTTCTTTTAATTTTTGATTTTCAATAATTTCTTTGGGATTGTTGAAAAATTTCTCATTAATTACGTGATTTTTTATTGGAGAAATAATTTGTTGTTCATTGTTGATTTTCATTTTTTTTTTTGATAATTCTTTCATTGGACTCAAATTCTGAATCTGATAGTTGGTTCATTTTTTCTTGATTTTCTAAAAATGATTCCTGCTTTCTTTTTAAAAGAATTTGTTTTTCTACTTCTCTTTTTTCTTTTTGCTCCCGTAATTTATCACGACGTTTCATTTGAAGTAATGAAAGTTGCGTCATTGTTATTCTATGACTTCCAAATGGTTTTTTAAATGAATTATCATTTTTTTGCAAATTTGAATTTTTTTTCACTTTTAATTTCCTATCAATTAAAGTTTTTTTTGTTTCTTTATCTGTATTTTTCATTTTTTCTTAAATGTTTAATGACTGTTTGGCAATTATTTAATTTTCTTAATATATCAACATTGATAATTTTTTCTTCATGACAAATTTTACAATTATTTTTCATTTCTTGTTGTTTATTTATCCAAAATTTTGTCACAATATCATCGATATTTTTCACAACATCGGATTTCAATTTTTTTAAAATTTCATCTTCAAAATTTGATTTTAATTCTGAAAGTGCATTAATTTTTTTTTGATTTCTTAAAAATTCTTTCATAAAATCATCACGATTTTTTTGTGTTAATGTAATACGTTCGTCTTGTTTGGTTTTCATTTTTTTCATAATTTCATCATTAAAGAAAATTTTTAAATCCGAATGTACTGTAGGTTTTTTTTGATTTTTCAAAAATTGTTCCATAAAATCGTCATTTAATTTATTTTCAGAAACATTAATTTGTTGTTGTGATTTGTTGTTAATTTTTTTCTCAGGAAAATAATTTGAATAAGAAATTTCATTTTTTTGTCTTTGATTTGAAAAAAATTGTTCATTAAATTGATTATTTTTTAAAATTTGTTCATTTATTCTTGGCTGATTAAAAAATTCATCTTCTGAAGAAACAAAATAATTGGGTCTTTTTTCCTGATTTTTCAAATATTTTTCAACAATTTCATGATTTTTTCTTGAAAGAAAAAATTGTTCTTTTAATTTTTGATTTTCAATAGTTTCTTCTTTTTTTGGGATTGTTGAAAAATTTCTCATTAATTACGTGATTTTTTATTGGAGAAATAATTTGTTGTTCATTGTTGATTTTCATTTTTTTTTTTTGATAATTCTTTCATTGGACTCAAATTCTGAATCTGATAGTTGGTTCATTTTTTCTTGATTTTCTAAAAATGATTCCTGCTTTCTTTTTAAAAGAATTTGTTTTTCTACTTCTCTTTTTTCTTTTTGCTCTCGTAATTTATCGCGACGTTTCATTTGAAGAAATGAAAGTTGCGTCATTGTTATTCTATGACTTCCAAATGGTTTTTTAAATGAATTATCATTTTTTTGCAAATTTGAATTTTTGTTCACTTTTAATTTCCTATCAATTAAAGTTTTTTTTGTTTCTTTATCTGTATCTTTTTTTACATTATTGACAATTAATGGATTATTAAGCGTTGAAGATTTACTGATTTGTCTGTCAAAAATGTCTTTCAAGCTTTTTTTTTGAATTTGATGTGGCTTTAATTTTTTTAATTTTACTTTTAATGGATTTTCCAAAGTTTCCTGTGAATCATTTATTAATTTTAATAGTTCTTTTTTCTTTTTTCCATTTGCTTTAGAATATGGTCCTTTCTTTGGGAATGGCTTTTCAATTTTTAATCCTTTATCAGGAAACTTTTTTCTATTATGCGAAATTTTGTTTGTTTTTGATTGTTTTTCATGATTAAATTTCTGCGCTGAAGGTGGTAGTGACGTTTGTGTAGCTATTGATATTCTTCTATCAAGAAATTGATTAGAAAAGTTAAAATCATTGATTGATTCCTGAGTTAATAAATTATTTGTTTTTTTCTAAATAATCTTCGTCTTTGTTTTTATCTAATAAAAAATATATTATTATTATATTAATAAATTGCAAAAATTTTACAATTTAATTTTGATAATTTTATAGATCGAGATACGATGATCGAAGGGACGATCGAAGAGAAAGGTATAATAATTATGAGCGAAGAAGAAGATCATCGAGGGAACGATCTTATGATAGAAGAAACGAGAGATTATCACATCGTGCAAATGGTTCCTATAGTTCACGTTCATCGACAACAAATTTAGATCGTGTCAATGAGAGTCGAAGAAAAAGAAGATCCAAATCTCACGATTCACCACCTTCTCGTTCATCATCTCCAAATAAATTGTTGACAAAAAAATGTCTTTCCGAAAGAGAACTTATTTTAGAAAAATACAGGTAACATTTTTTTTTCTTTAATATTATTTAAAAAAATTTTATTTTAATTTAAATGATAAAATTATAAAAATATAAATTACAGACGAAATTATTGTGCAACGAGTAAAGATATTGAGAGAAAAATGGGCGAATTGAGTGCAATGGGTACTGAGGGAATTCTTGAGAATGAGAGAAAAATATGGACACGAACAGCACCTGCCGATTTATATTATTCGAGGGATGAGAAAAATCCAAAAATAATGCGCGCCACGATAAAATTAAATGAATTGTGTGAAATTTTCAAGAAATTATTTATAGAACGCGCAGCAGCCGCCAGAGCTTTACAGGTAATAAAAAGAAAGAAAAATCTTAATTTTTATCAAATTAAAATTTAATTAATAATTTTTCTTTAATTTAGCCGGCATATGAACCACCGCCAAGAAAAACAAGAGCTCGTTTATGTAAACACAAATCCGAAGCTTGCAGTAGTTCATCATCGGATAGTGACAGTTCATTAGAAGAAGACGATAGAACAATGGAGGAATTAATGGCTAAAAAATCACATCCCCAGAGATTACATCCTGAAATGTGGTTCAATGATCCCGGAGAGGTAATTAATATTTTATTTAATATAATAAATTAATAATTTTCTAGTAAAAAAAATAATAATAATTTCTTGTTTAAGATGAATGATGGTCCACTTTGTAGATGTAGTGAAAAATCCCGACGTTCTGGAATTAGACATGGAATATATGCAGGCGAGGGTGTTATAAATAAATGCAATTTAGATACAAATAATGCGGATAAACTCTATCATTATCGTATTACAATAAGTCCACCGACAAATTTTCTCACAAAAACACCAACAATTATAAAACATGATGAACATGAATTTATATTCGAAGGATTTTCAATGCTTTCACATTTTCCACTTGTTAAATTGCCAACATGTAAAGTTATTCGTTTCAATATTGAATATACAATTCTCTATATTGATGAAAAATTACCTGAAAATTTCACTGTTCGTGAACTTGATTATTTTCGTAAGTCTTCATTTTATTATCATAATTTTTAAAATCATTTTATAATAATAGAAAATTATTTTTAAATTTCAGATGAATATTTTTTTAAAGAAATACTTGAGTTGATGGATTTTGATTTACAATCAGCGCAAGATAAAACGGGATGTGGACAATTTCATTTTATGCCACGATTTGTACGTGATTTAGCTGACAATGGACAGGAAATTTTATCAATGAATGAAGTTCTTAATTATTTGATAAAAAGCAGTAAACCATTAATTGATGCTAAAGATCTTTTACAAACTGCTGAAATGCCACAGTATAAATGGCAAAATTATGCCGATGAAGTGAAAGGAATGGTTGTTACTTATCCGGGTAAAAAACCATGCAGCGTTCGTGTTGATCAATTAGATAGAAATCAAAATGAACAACCGCCTGGAATTGTTGCTTATCCGGAAATTGTTCATTTTGGAATTAGGCCACCTCAACTTAGCTACGCAGGAAATGCTGAGTAAATATTTTTCTATTCAATTCTATTTCTTTTTTTTTTGACACTCATGAATTAATTTATTAATTAATTTCAGTTATCAAAAAGCTTGGCGAGATTATGTGAAATTTCGTCATTTATTGGCGAACATGCCAAAACCATCATTTGAAGATAAAAGAAAATTAGAAGCAAAGGAAAATAAACTTCAAGAATTACGAACACAAAGTAAAATGAAACGTGATGTTACTGTTGATGTCTCATCGGAAGGATTTTATCGAACTGGATTAATGTGTGATATGGTACAACATGGAATGTTAATACCAGTTCTTGTTTGTCATTTACGTTTTCATAAATCATTGGATAATTTAGAAGCGACACTTGATTATAAATTTAAAAATCGCTATCTTTTACAATTGGCATTAACACATCCAAGTTATCGTGAGAATTTTGGTACAAATCCAGATCATGCACGTAATTCATTGACAAATTGTGGTATACGTCAACCTGAATATGGTGATCGTCGAATTCATTATATGAATACACGTAAACGTGGAATTAATACATTAATTAATATAATGTCACGTTTTGGTGCAAAAAAAGAAACGGAATCATCAATAGCGCATAATGAACGTTTAGAATTTTTAGGCGATGCTGTTGTTGAATTTCTTACGTCAATTCATTTATTTCATATGTTTCCCGATCTTGAAGAAGGTGGTTTGGCAACATATCGTGCGGCAATTGTACAAAATCAACATTTAGCAGTGTTGGCAAAAAAATTGAATTTAGATAAATTTATGCTCTATGCGCATGGCAGTGATTTGTGTCATGATTTAGAATTAAGACACGCAATGGCAAATTGTTTTGAAGCATTAATGGGTGCATTATTTTTGGATGGTGGAATTGATATTGCCGATCGTGTATTTGGTGAGACATTATTTAAAGCGGAAAAAGAAGGAGGCGCAGGCGCTGACGATGAGGATACTTTAACGCAAATTTGGGTTAATTATCCAAAACATCCACTACAGGAACAGGAGCCATTGGGTGATCGGCAATGGATCGAGAGATTTGAATTACTTCAGGTATTTCTGTTTGTTTTTAATTTAAAAAAAAAAGAATTTTTTAGAAATTTAAAAAAATGGTTCCCTTTTTTTTCAGAAATTAACATTATTCGAGGAATCAATTGGTGTTGAATTTAATCATATTCGTCTTTTGGCGCGTGCTTTCACGGATCGAAGTATTGGCTATACAAATTTAACACTTGGTTCTAATCAACGATTAGAATTTTTAGGCGATACTGTTTTACAATTAATTGTTTCGGAATATTTATATAAATATTTTCCAGAACATCACGAAGGTCATTTATCGGTAATTAATTTCTGATTATTTTTTGAACTATTTTAATTATTTTTTTTTTTTGAATTATTGTATTAATGGAATGTTATTTCAGTTATTGCGAAGTTCCCTTGTAAATAATAAAACACAAGCGGTAGTTTGTGACGATTTAGGAATGACGCAATATGCACTTTATGGAAATCCAAAAGCTGAATTAAAAACAAAAGATCGTGCCGATTTGCTTGAGGCATTTTTGGGTTCACTTTATGTTGACAAGGGACTTGATTATTGTCAAGTATTTTGCGATGTTTGCTTCTTTCCTCGACTTCAGGATTTTATTATGAATCAAGATTGGAATGATCCTAAAAGTAAATTGCAACAATGTTGTTTAACTTTGAGAACAATGGATGGTGGTGAACCTGATATTCCTGTTTATAAGTAAGGAAAATTTTGGAGAAAAAAAAATTTCATAATTTACAAAATTTGAATAATTTTTAATGACTTTTTTTTTTATTTTCAAATCAGAGTCATTGAATGTAAAGGACCAACAAATACAAGAGTTTACACAGTTGCGGTTTATTTCAAAAAAAGACGATTAGCCAAAGCTTCGGGTCATAGTATCCAAGAAGCTGAGATGAATTCTGCTAAAAGAGCTTTGGAAAGTTCAGAAGGTATTTTTGTACTTTATATTTAATTAATTTTTTAAATTAAATATATAAAAAAAAATATAATTTCTAAATAAAGAAATTGTTTTTAAAATTTTAATTTTTCCACCATTTTCCAGAACTTTTCCCACAATTGGATCATCAAAAGCGAGTCATTGCAAAAAGTATGAAACTTCAACAATGGTCGAGAAATAAATCAAGAGCCGGAAAATCAAAGCAAATTGAACGATCTGACGATTCGGATTCAAGTCAACATCATCATCATCATCATCATCCTCCTCTCAAAAGAAGAAGTCGAAGTCGTGAAAATCGTTCTGAAAAAAGATCGTCAAGAAATCGTTATGACAGTTCGGATCGTCGAATGAGAAACAGTAATTCTAGTAGTAGAAAAAGAAGTTTAGAAAATTCAAATAGAAGCCCAGGAAAATTAAGAAAAAGTCCCAATAATTTACGAAGAAAAAAATCTTTTGAAACTTTGAATAAAAGTCCCGAAGTTTTGGAAAAAAATACAATAACAAGAAAAAAAGATAATGAAAATTTATTTAAAAATCATCGTGAATTGAGTCCTGAAATTGTGCGAATAAATCGTGATTCAAAAAGTCCTGATGATTTAATAAAAAAATTACGTAGCGATTTAAATTCAAGTACAGATGAAAAACAATTGAATCGATATTTATCAGATTCAACTGATTATGATGATGATGATGATAATGATAATATTGAGAAAAAGGGATTATTAAAAAATAAAACAAAAAAACGAAAAAGAAATTCAGAGGACAGAGATTTAAGTAGTCAAGAGGAATGTAATATTCCTGAACAATATAGAAATAGTAATTTTTCCAAACATGAAAAAAGAACAAAGAGTTGAGAAATATTAACAAATAATAATAATAATAATGCATTTTTTAGAGCTTTTATTATTGAATGCGTGATATTAAAGAAATATTTTCAAGGAATTATTTCAATTATTAGAAATTGGAAATTTTTTCTTGAAAATAATAAAAAAAACTAAATGAGTTACCGTTATTATCCGTAAGATTAAAGACTGAGTTTGATTGATGGACTTTAAATCTTTAAGAAAAGGTCTTTCAAATGAAGAAGACGAGAGCAACGTTAAACAAAAGCCCTGAATAATTTTTTTTTGGTGTTTTTCATTAAATGATATAGAACAGGTGCCTTCTTCCATTTTTCTAAAACAATTTTTTTTTTTTCTTTCCTTCAAATGAATTTGTCATTTATCAAGCTTTGAAATTTTTAATTTTTCGTTGCTTCTCGGAAACGAGTTTATAGTATTATAGATATTGCTATTTCAATAATTATCATTAAAAACAAAAAATTGTAAATTTGAAAATTTTAAATGTTGAGAGATAACTCACATTTAATATTGTAAATAAAAACGTGCTTTTTGAAAATCATGTTTTTATTATTAATTAAATAGTATAATTATTATTAATGAAAATGTTATTTCCACTTTAGAAAACATTTTTATTTTAGAAAAAAAAAAACTCTTTTTGTATAAAAAATAAAATAACTAATTTTCTCTACTCTCCAATAAATATTGACGTTCTTGACTTTCAATTAAAGACACATCCTCTTTTTGTATTAAATTTGGATGATATTGATTTAATAAATGGGGATTTTCTTCTAATATTTTTTCAGAATTTTCGAGATTTTTCATAATATTTTGCAAATTCCAATGTTTCGATAATAAAGCATGATTCAAATTAAATAATCCATATTGAAAACATTGAATTTGTGAACATGTCGCTGTACTACGAAGTTCCATTCCAAGTTCATTGATTAAAGTTGTAAAATATTTTTCGTCTTCATTAATGCAAACAATTTCTGAAAAAAAAAGACAATCATTTTTTTTTTTTTTTTCTTATTTAAAGAAAACAAAATTCTATTCAACATACCTAATGTAAATTCTGGGGGAATGAAATTTACACATTTTATCGAATATATCATTGGAACATTATTGTCAACAGGTCTAATTAATCCTTTAACTGCTAATTCATAAGCGGCTTGACTTTGAATATCAACTCCACAAAGTCTAAAAAAAAAAAAGAAAAAGTAAAATAATTTTTTGCAAATTATTTTTATAGGGAACTTTTAATTTTCTTTAAAAAAAAAATACTCACTCGAACATTTTTTTTTGATGAGAAGATTGCATTGCAGCACAAATACGATCAATGTGTGATCTTCGGAGAAATTTATAATTTGATTTTTCAACTATTCGTCCTGTTATAAAACAATTATCAGTCGCTTGTCCTAAAATTCCTTTAATTCTATAAGATCTTGTTGAATTTGTTTGTTTCAATTTATAAGCGAGTTTTGTGCCATTATTTAATCCACAAACAATAATTCCAGAACTATTTTGTTGTAAATGATTCGCATAATTTATTCTAATATCACTCTCCTGATATCGTGGACCAACAACAAGAATATTATCTGCATAACTAGATCTTACTGATACAGTTAATTGTTTATTACTTTCGCCCTCAATTAAAACGTATGGATCCGGTGGTCTAACTTTCATATTATTTAAATCTTGAATATTAAAAAAAGAAATTTCAATATTTAATTTCGAATTGTAAAGTAAATTAATTATTTTATTAAAAATAATTATTGTGATTGAAAACTAACCTGCACATAAATTTTTGCAAATTGTTTTTCTTGATAATAATAATGGAACATTTACTGGTTTATAAATAACGAAAAGTCCGTTTAACATTTTCCATACTACCCTCGCGTCATTTGTGTAATTAGGCATTTTAATAATTGTAAATTAAAAAATTTTTAAACAACAACAAAAACAGTGCATAACCTATAAATATACCACGTTTAATTTTTTTTTTAGAGAATATTTACAATTAAGTAGTTAACAAACTTTTTTTAAATGAAAAATTTTTAAATCACTTGAAATTTGTATTTTTTTAGAATAAAAAATAATAATTAAAACAATAAACAATGTTTTTTGTTTACAACACTGTTATTATTGGTTATATAGTTCTGCCAACTGAAAACAGATGGAGCAACAAAAATTTTGCTTATATATTTTGCAAAAAACTAAAAATCGCTAATTAATAACAATGAATAAAGATTAATTTACATTTATCCTTTTCTATCTTATGTGGAAAAAAAATTAAATATATCTCAATATAATAATAAGAAAAAAATGTTATACAGTTTAAAATATTTAAATTTTGCGCGAAAAATAAAAGTTGCGCAGAAATGTCCGCGCATTTTGGGATAATTTTTTAAAAATGGCGTTATTTATTTTAACAATAATCATTTCAGTCAACAAACGACAATCATTATAAATAATAATTTTTTTTTCTTATTGAAAGACTATATAAGGAATTTTTCAATCTAAACGGAAAATTAAATAAAATTATATTCAATCAAAATGATAATTGTATTTGCAAAAATTAAGTAAAAAAAAAAAACAAAGTGCCGTGAATTAAATCCTTGTGAAAATGACAATATTTCTATATGAAATAAAAATAAATAAAGGACATTTCTAATTGACTTTTATGAATGGTTTCACCATTGTTTATAAGTTGTCAAGGAGCGGGAGACACACTCTATTTCAGGAACCACGAGGAAGTGTATAGCTTGCTACGTGCAAAACACAAGAGGTCAAATATCGAAGGTCAACATTCAGGAACGTACACCAAAATCAAGTTAACAAGAAAATTGATTAAAATCGAAAAAGTGTTAAAAAATTTCAGTATAATTACAAATTTTCAAGTGACATTTTTTATTTAATTCTTTATTTTTCTGGATTGTGTATATTTTTCTAGTGTGTGTGTGTGTTATTTTTTTTTTTTTTTTTTTGCAAAGAACGTGTTTCGCCTTAAAGTTCAATGGAAGCGCTTGCGCAGATATCGCGAGAGGCGCACACAGTGAGGAATGACGCCATGTTTTGATGTCGTCATCCCCCCCCAAAAAAGTGTTCAACTTGTTCCGCAATTTTCTGTTGTGCACCCGTGATTCTCTCTTCTTGTGGGGGTGGTGGGTTTTTGGCAAACCCTCCTCAGCCCGATAAGAACAAGTGTAAATTGTGTTTCACCAGGAAGGTGTTTAAAAAAAAAAAAATTAAAAAAAAAAAATAGAAACGTCCGTCAAGGACGATAATTCACGGCGTTTGGATGTGCGGGAAGAAAGTGGCTCGGGCTGAGCGGGGGGGGTCAACGAGCGTCGTCTACGTGGTGATAGTGTCCTAGTGCAATACACTAACGCCAACAACGGTATTCTGTGTGATTACGTCACGTGCCGAGGTTTTATTTTCAAATACGACCTGGGTAGTTGAAAAAAAAGCATGGAATTACGACTACATTCCCCGGCCGGAGCTGAGCCTATCGTTTATCAGTGGCCCCTCACCTCGGGTTCAGGATCCGTAAGTTTTTTTTTTTCTTTCTCTCTTTTCCAAGTGTGTAATGGCAACACGAAAGCAAGCAAAAATGTACGTGTGCAAAATAAAATTTGTGCGTGAAAGTTTGTTTAATTGTTTTGGATAAATGGAGATTGTAATATTGTGGGGGGGGGAAGATTTTGACTTCTTAGCGAACGAGAGATGAGAAAATAATGCCCCACGACATGGAAACCCTTACGCGCATGCCATTTACCAATACACAGCTGATTCCTTTAGAAATCGCGCCATTTAATGTTTATCAGTGCAGAACTTGAGATCAACAACAAAAGATTCCCATGTTGTTTCATCGAAGGAGATTGTTCTATTCAGAATAAAAAAATATATATTTTCATTTTTTGTCATAATTTTTTCCCCCATTTTAATTTATAAAAAAAAAAATTGCAATTTTTTGTTTGTTTATTTTTGGTTATTCGCAAAATACTGAAATAATTGAATTGACCTACTTTTCGTTGATTCTTTATTATTTTGATTTTAATTTGGTTAATAATTTATTGAAATGGAAAATAAACATTTTTTTTAAATAGAAATAAAAATAACGATCTCGTGGACTTTTTCGTTAATTTTTTTTTTTTTTATGAAAACGGAAATATTATTAGAAAGTCCCATTCTTATAATTTACAGTCTTTTCCTGTGTCCGGACTTTTTGGCTTCGAGAGAAGAATAAATAAGTGAAAGTTGAATTTTAAAAAGAGCTTGACTAATTGTTGGTAATTCTTGTTTTCACAAACTTTATATTCTAAACATACTTTTACATATATATAATGTAACGAATACTGGGAAAATTTAAAATAAAAATTGTATTTTGTTATGAAAGATTGTTGATTTTATTTAGGAATTAGTGTATAAGTATTTGGAATTGTAATGCAATTTTCACTTTAAACTCAGTAAAAAAAAGGAGGTAAATAATTAATAGTTGAATAGGCGAAAAAAAAATGAATGAAAAAAATGCTGTATATCATCCTAATAATACAATTAGCTCCATGACTAACAAGGTTAAGTCATTCTTATACACACTTTCAAATGGAATAACTCAAATTCAAGGATTCACTCGGGAAATATTTACATTATTCTAGAAAAATTGCTAAATTTTCCATTCATTTGATTTATAATTTTTTTTTTTTTTCATTATAAATGTTTTTAATTGACATTCGAATTTCTTGGAATTATTTTAAAGAAAAATTTAAAAAGAAATTTGATAATTATTTGGTAAATTAATGTCTGTTTTTCTTTATTAGGATCGCCACGATGGTGCTTTGGACGTGGTTGAGACGATGCGATGGGTTTGCGAAGACTTACCTGACTTAAAACTGCCGTTAGAAAATAATATTCTTTGCAATTATGACACTCGCGATTTTGAGAGTATGAAAAGCTTGTGTGATAGATTTAATAGGGCTATTGACAGTTTAGTTCAATTGGTAAGAAATCTTTCTTTTTTTTCATTATAATAAATTTTTTTGCAATATTAAAAATATTATTTGATTTTTCTTTTTTTTTTTAAAAAAAAGGAAAAAGGTACGAGTTTACCGTCACAGCGATTAAATAAAAGGCCCAGTAGAAGTCTACTTCGTCATATTCTTCAGCAAACGTACAATCAAGCTGTTGTCGAACCAGATAAATTAAATAATTATGAGCCATTTTCACCCGAGGTTTATGGAGAAACAAGTTACGAGCTCGTTTGCCAAATGATAGATCAAATTGATGTTACTGAAGACGATGTTTTCGTTGATCTCGGCTCTGGAGTTGGACAAGTTGTCCTTCAAATGGCTGCGGCTACATTTTGTAAAATATGTATTGGCGTCGAGAGGGCAGACGTGCCTTCAAAATATGCTCAGGTAGGTTTTAAAAAAAAATGTGCTATTTAGAATAATTGTTAATGAATCTGTTTTTTTTTCCAGAGCATGGAAATAAATTTTCGAAAATGGCTCAATTGGTATGGTAAACGTTGCGGAGAATATCGTATAGTGAAAGGTGACTTTTTAGCTGACGAACATCGAGAGAGTATTACGGGAGCCACAATTGTATTTGTAAATAATTTTGCATTCGGCCCAAATGTTGATCATCAATTAAAAGAAAGATTTGCCGATTTACGCGATGGTGCACGCATTGTTTCGTCGAAATCATTCTGTCCTTTAAATTTCAGGATAACTGACAGAAATCTCAGCGGTAAATTTTCTATTTTTAATTTAAAAAGAAAAATTCAATTCTTTGTAATTAATTCCTTTTTTTCTAGACATTGGAACGATAATGCACGTATCTGAAATGTCACCGTTGAAGGGATCAGTATCGTGGACGGGTAAACCAGTGTCTTATTATCTTCACGTGATTGATCGGACAAAACTCGAGCGCTATTTTCATCGTTTAAAAAATAAACAAGGTGCACCTGATATTGAAAATAATGATTCTGTGATAAGTAACACTGCCAGCCATAGTAATAGAATGTCAAGTAGAAATGAACGTGGTGAACGCGCCAAGAGAGATCTCTCAAGACAATTGGATAGTCCAAATAATTCCGAAGCACATAATACGAATAGTGATTCGGATTTAGATGAACCATCAATGAAAACACGTCGTCAACCAAATAAAATGCGTAGAAAATTAAATCGAAAAGCGAGCAATGGAATAACAAGACAACCAGCACGTGGTGGTCGTCAAAGAGGACGTGGTGTTAAAAAAACAAAACCGAAAAAAGCAATAAATATCTCAGGACTTGATCTTCTTCATAGTCAAACATTACTCAGTACATCGCCTCAGGCGCTTGGTAAAAAACCACCACCAGCTCCTGGTTGCGTTGATCAACAATTATCATCACTATCGCTTTCACTTCAACAAAATACAAATAATGTTCATGAGGAGCTTAGTATTCCCGCTGCACCGGCAGCAACTCCTTATGCATTACAAATTCTTCTCGATCTCTACAGGTTATTATCAATATTATATTTTTCAAAAATATCTTTTATTTTACAAAAAAAAATTCCATTTTTTTTTTACAGGGACCAATTTATGGAAATGTTGGATTCAATGAAAACGCCCACTTATCGTGCATCGGTGAACGCTGATATTGCTAAAGAACGTGAACGAAATTCAAAATTACAATCAAGAGCCGCTCAACTTGAGAAACAAATTAAAGTTTTAATTGATGACAGTGTGGCATTATTAAAAGCACGTATGACTGAATTGGGAATTAATGCAACATCGCCTGGTGATTTATTGGCAAAGGCCAAAGAAATTGTCCTTAGACATAAACAATTGCAAAATAAAGCCAGTAAATTACAGGCACAAGTATCAAATATTGAAACAGAACAGGCAAAAGTAACTGCTCAACGTTATCATGAAATGCAAGAGAAATTTAATACAGGTTCAAATAATCTTCCCACACCACCACAACCATTAACTCAGGACTATATACTTAAAGAAATTTGTACCACAATGTCACAAAGAAAGAGACTTCATTCACAGGTTAGAAATCTTAATTTTTTTTTTTTTTAAATTCGAAAAACCGAACAAAAAATATTTTTTTTCAGGTATCAAAACTGGAACAAGAGTTAAATGTACTTGAACGAACGAGTTCGGAAAAACAATCGGCAAATTTGGCGCAACAACAGAGAGAGGCATTGAACGCAAAACATTTGAGTCAACATCATCATAATCAACAACAGCAACATCATCAACAGCATCAGCAGCTACAACAACAACAACAACAACAACAGCAAAGTAAAAATCCCCCATCGAGAAAAAGTCGTGAAAGTCGATCAAGATCGCAAGATTGGCCCGACGTTCCTGATATTGGGAAAATTCAAGAAAATAATCCGGAAATTTTGGCACAAAAAATACTTGAAACTGGACGACAAATTGAAGCTGGTAGAATACCAAGTAAATCGAGTGTTAATCCTGTTAATAATAATAATAATAATAATAATAACGGTAGTAGTAGTAGTAGTAGTGGTGGTAATAATAATATTAGCAATAATAATAATAATAATAATACGAGAACAAGATTACCGCAAGCTACATTGAGTTTTTCTACACCTTCAACGCAAGTTCAATCACAATGTAAAGAATCAAGAATTCAAGAACCGCCAAGAGTTGCTAATTTCGAGGATCGATTAAAGAGTATTATTACCAGTGTTCTTAATGAGGATCAACAAAATCGTAATAAACAACAGCAACAAATTCAAATGCAACAAATGCAACAAAATGAACCCGATAGAAAACGAATGGCTCTACCTGCGAATGTCACAGCTCCCGATTACACACAGGTTTGTTTCTATTAATTCCTAACAATAATTTTGACTTCTTTCTCTTTTCTTTTTTTTTTTATTTTATTAATTTTCTTTTTTAAATTTTAGGTATCGCCAGCGAAATTGGCGCTTCGTCGTCATTTGTCACAGGAACGTTTAACGTCGTCGCATATTCCAACAACGGAAAGAACAACAACACATGACACGCGACAATCAAATCATGAAAATCGAATAATATCAGGTACAAGTGGTTTATTGGGAACGAGGACAATTGGCGATTTAGTTAGCGGTGAAATTGAAAGAACATTGGAAATATCAAATCAAGCGATTATAAATGCAGCGGTTGATATGAGTGTTTTAATGCGGCCCGAAACTGTTTATTCGCCAATAAGTCGACCAGCGAGCGCAGAAGGTGACACTGGTTTAGCGACATTGGCGCATGTTGCAAGTTATGCTCCAACATCGACATCAGTTTCAACGCCAACGCCAACAACATCGCGATCTTCCGTTTTGTTTACGCCCTCGAGTCAACCGCAAAGGTATGTTTTTATTTAAATAATTTACAAACCCTACAATTTTTATTTTTATATTTTTGTACAAAAAAAAACTACTTTTTTTTTTTTTATTATTTACAGAATTATTTTAATAAAATATTAAAATTCTTCTCTAAATTAATCTGTTTTCAGTATAATTTTAATGAATTTACAAATTTAATTATAAACTATTATTGAAATTAAAAATTTTTTTGTAATTCAATAATTGTTTAAAACTTTACAAAAGAAAATCATAGCAAATAAAATTAATGAAAAATTTCAATTTAAAATTACTTGAAATTCAAATATTAAAAAAAAAAAATTTGAATCTTGGACAAATTCAACTATTTTAAAAGAAAGATTAATTAAAAATTATTAAATGATAAATTATTTTCAATTCTGTAAAATTTAATTATCATTTGAAACTTAATAAAATCTTTTTTAATTTAATTATTTCTGAAAATTTTTAACTATAACTCTTTCAAAATTCAGGTATTTGTAATGATTTCTTCAAAAATTCAATTATCTGAAAGAATTTTTACAAATTAAAATTTTTTTTTTAATTCAATAATTGTTTAAAAAAAAGAAAATCATAGCAAAATTATCGAAAAATTTCAATTTAAAATCACTTGAAATACAATTATTTTAAAAAATCTGAATCTTCGAAAATTCAACTATTTAAAGAAAAAAATTAATTAAAATTATTTTGTATACCTAAATTATTTTAATTATCGTCCGAAACTTAACAAAATCTTTTGAAATTCAATTATTGCTAAAAATTTCAACTATAATTCTTTCAAAATTCAATTATTTTTAATATGTAATTTCTTCAAAAAAAAAAAAAAAATTCAATTACCTATCTGTAAACATTTTTCAATTAAAAATTATTTGAAATTCAATTTTTGTCCATAATTTTTAATAAATTCTTCAGCAACAGAAATCACCAAAAATTTCAATTTAAAATCACTTGAAATTCAATTACAATAAAAAATCGGAATCATCGTAAATTCAATTATTTAAGAAAAGGCTATCTAAAATTATTTGATAAATTAATTTTAATTCTGTAAAATTTAATTATTTGTCCAAAAAATTTAACAAAATATTTTGAAAATTCAATTATTTCTAAAAATTTCAAAAAGAAAAAAAGAACTAAGCGAAAATTTTAAATTCGAATAAATTGTTTAAATCAAACTAAAAAATTTGAATTTCTTCCATTCGGAAATATTTGAAATTAATTTTCTTGATAATATTCTTATTAAGGAATTAATAAAAATTCATTTAATATCAAACATTAGTTATTTAAAGTAAAATATTTATTAACTAATTAAAATCTAAATAAATAAAATTGATTTTTTTCTTTTGGAAATGTAAATTGACATTATTTGCGTCTTGAAAGTCGATTCGAGGTCTGAATTTATAAAATATGAGATAATAGGGAATTTAATTTTTGAGATTTGTTTTCTTTTTTTTTCTTCAGGTATACACCGGTACAACTTCCACGAGCTGACATGAAGCCTTATCATGAATCATACTTTTCTGATAATCCAACACCACCATTGACACAATCTCACAATAATTCGTCTCATCATTCAAATCAATCGTCATCAAATCGTGATGGATTACCCGTTGAGGGTCTCGCTGCATCCTTACACGCGAGAATAATTAACAATCAAAATAGTAATATAAAAAGTGACCAAAGTTCCACGAATAATAGTCGAAGGTACATTTATTATTTATTTAAATATTTATTATTATTATTATTAATAATAATATTAAATTTTAGAAAAATTATATATTTAAAAAAAAGGAAAACTTCTTTCACAAGCTTAAAAAAATATAGATCAATAAATAATGAGAATTGAGAAAAAAAGAGTAGTAAATTTATTTTTGTTAATTTTATTTCAGGTATCATCCGTATTCGAGTTATTCGAACAGTAATGTTCCAACGACATCTCAATCACAATCACAATCATCATCAACAGGAATAAAAACGGAATCTGTGGTTTCATCAGTCAGCACAAGCGGAGCACCGTTGAGTCCACTTGTTGAACCACATTCAAATACCTCAACACCTTTAGTTGATGAACCACATATGAGCCAACGACAACGTAACGGAACCGGTGATGACGGTGAGTTTTTTTTTCATTTTTTTAAAAAAACTTTTTATCAACAATCTTTTTTTAAATGAGAGATTGCATGAGTTTGAATTTTATTTATATTTTTTTTTACCAGTAATTAGAAAATCATCCCTTTTTTCGTATTAGAACTTATTTTCTTTTTTCTTTCTTTCTGTAAAATTTTGTTTTCAATTGATTAAAAAAAAAAAAAAAGATTTTAAAAATACATAATCTTTTCTATTTCTATGCTATGCTAAACTTTTTGAATGTTGCATTACTAGTTTCTTGTTTTTTTTTTTATCTATTCTCTTTGTTTTTTTTTTTAATAATCATTATTTTATTAAAGGAGATAGAATTTTTTTTTGTTATTTTCATCATTTATTTATATTTATTTTTCACTTTTTTAATATATTTACTAGATGCACTGTAGCTGTTTGTTGGTTAGCTCTCTGTCACACACTCGATCTCCCTCACAAGTCCCGATGCTCTACCTATTTTTATTTCCGAGATTCGAGAAACACGCTGAAAAATAACGGAAGGGGTCGAGAGAATGAAATGAATTCATTCAAATATTGGCTGGCCTTTCAGTTGTTTCGTGGTTATGTGGTGAGTTGTCCCGCAGGGGTTGTCGAAATTATTTCTCCGTCACAAAAAAAAAAAAATAAAAAAAAAATTCCGTCGTTCACCATATTAAAAAAAAAAATATAATTCTTTTTTAATTCACACATTACACACAGACAGATTTAAAAAAAAAAAAAATAATAATAATAATGAAAAGAGTATTTCAAATACTATTAGTCGATCTCTCAAATTATTTTGTTTTAAATAATTTGTTTCGATATTTACATGAAAATAAGTTGTTCAACTAAACAAAATTCATCCTGAAATTTTGCAACTTAAAAATGAAAAATATTGGCTTTTTATTTTATTATTCTTCAATTTTATAATAAAGTTGCAAAATTCAGTCATTCTTTAGAAGTGGAACAATAATTTGGTAAGGAAACTGCACGTGTAATAATTAATACTCTAAATAGCTGTTCTTTTCTTCATTGGTATTTTTTTTGTAAGATTTCGCATGTTTGCATGGTATCAAATTTCGTAAAACTGTCACCTTTTTTTTTAGATTTTCATTACTTTCTTTTTAGAAAATAATAGAAATAATTAGTTCAAAATTTTGTTTGAATGGATAAATTAGTTTTAATTGGCCAATCATTAAAAACTCGAATTTAACTATTGATAATATTTTCCCCATCTTTGATTTGATAATTATTTTAAATTAGAACAAATCAATTTTTTCTCAAAAAAAACTAGTAAATATTTGTGAATAATTAAATAATTAATGAATTAATAAAAATTAATTAGAATATTTTTTTTTTAAACAAAATACGTTTTTTTTTTATTATACAATATAGATCTTCTTTAGATCTTTTTTATTTCAATTATTATTTATCAAATTTTTAACTAAAATTATTCTCTAAATTAATTATTTTAAATAATTTGAATAAAAATTCTTTAAAAATTCAATTAACTTAGATTATTTTCAATTCAATTATTGAAAAAGGTTTTTTTTAAATTATTTAAAATTTTTGAACGAAATCGAAAAAGAAATTTAAAGTCCCAAGATTGATCGCTTGAAAATGTTAAATTAATTATTATTATAATAGATATTAATAACAAAGTACATAATTTTGAATAATTGTATTTTTCATAAAAAAAGGAGATCTATTTTTTTTATTCATTTGTGTTAAATTTCCTTTTAAATTTTTTTTTTTATCAAAAACTAAAAATTTATTGAATTAAAATTCAAATGATTTAAAAAAAAATGAAATTGAGGCTTATTTTTATGAAAATATGTGAAAAAAAAGTGAATTTGAAGTGGTTTTTGTTTTTTTTTATGCTTTCAGATGGAGAGACAGATTGGCAGGACAGAATAAGTTCAGGATTCGATCGTTTGGTTGCATTTGCATCGACGGAATTGGATAAAAGACGAAGATCAACGGAAGGTGTTAATACAAGTCCCGATAGTGGATTAGGTTCAGATAGTGTTGTTTTGGGACCACCGCCTATTGTACCATCGCCAGATGAAGCGCTTGGTCCACCACGAACACCATCGCCACATAGTCCACAACGTTTAAATTCAAATGTTAATGGTGGTGTTACATTAAATGGACCAACATCAGTGCCATTGAAATATCAACGACAACAACAACAACAACAACAACAATCAGATTCCGAGAGACATCATTTTAAAAAGAAATTTTTTCATCGCGATTGGCATAATTCAGCGAGTAGCAGCAGCAGCAGTACAAGTAGTACAAGCAGTAATACTAATAATAATAATACAAGTAAATTTCGTCCCAAAGGCAAAGATTGGGATTGGAATCACACGGGTCAATGGCCTCCGAATGATGAACAACTATAACCAATAATAAATCGACGACCATAAATTTTCGATATAGGGTTTGAGAATTCTTTTTCTTTTTTTAACCTTTTAGGTCATCTTATGTTTTTTGTAAATGTTACTTTCTTTTAATGACACTATTTTTATTAATTTAGATTGACTCAAGTGAAAATTTGACAATTCGATTTTTTTTTATTATTATTATATATTAAGTTTAATATTTATTGAAAATGTTGATGTTGAATTTAGTTCCTTTTTTTCTGAGGCAGGTACTTATATATTTTTTTTTTTAGTTTTTTTTTAAGTAGTTATAGAAGTTTCTATTTTCCAAGTTAAGAAAAGTAAGGAATAAAAAGAATTTTTTATACTGTTCTTTTATTTCGTAGTCTTTCAATTGAGTTTTTTTTAACTGTTAGATTTTTTAAGGGAGGTTTTTTTTTATTGAAAGAATTATCTTTCTCTTGTGTATATATATTTTTTTTTCTGCACGTGAAATATATATTAATATATATATATTAATTTATCGTTGATATAATCGAATAATTGGAAATGTACATAAAATGTTAATTTCCTGTAATATTGTAAGAACTTGATACTCTGTTTTAATAAAAATAAAATGACTTGTGAAAGTAAGAAACATTTATATAAATATATGAATATAAGATGACAAAATGCCTCAAAAAATTGTTTTTGATACTTTGTTTTTTTTTTTTATTTATTATTTTCATTTAGCTGAATTTGTGAAAAAAAAACTTGATGTTCATTTTTCGAACCCTAATCGAGTATTTTTTTTTTTATTTTTAATTTCCAAAAAAAAAAATAAAATTTAATTTAAACGCCGTGATTAAATCTATCCTGTATACTTGTAATATATTATTAATAGTGTTCTTTGATTTAAGCACGGCTTTAGATTAAATAAATAAAAAAAATGAAAAAAAAGTGAAACTGTATCTTGACGTGCACCGTATAGTTCAAATTTCTTGAATTTTTCTATGCAAAACAAAAAACCACTTTTTTAATCCAATTCATACACAAAAGTAGAGAATATTAAAAAAACAAGCACTGATAAATAATTCAAAACTGCAATTATTTTTCTTGTGAACGACAAAGTAGAACAAAAATAAATCTAGATTTTAGATTTAGCTTTTTTTAGCGGTTCAGATACGGATTCTATAATGATTAAAATATTCAGTTTTCTTATATGAAAATAAAAATATTTAAATTTTTCCTTCGCAAATATTTCTTTTTTTATTTCGCGTTTTTATTATTTCTATTTTAAAAATTTCTTAAATTCCCTTTTTTCATATTTTTTTTTGTTATTAATAGCAATTTCATTTAAATTTAAATAATTATTGTTATTATTTTTGATTGTTATATTCTTGAATCATGATTTTTAATTTCTTTCCCCGAGAGAACACCAAGGCTCCCAAATCAATTAGTTAATGTAACGTATAGTAAAGAAAAAAAAAATCTTGTAACTATTAATCTCAATGTCGAATATTATAATGAAAGAGAAAAAGTGGAGATGCGAATTGCCTCTTTGAGGATCTAAAATTTTTTTCTTTGAATCGATTTAAAAAAAAAAAAATTGCAAAAAAAGTTCGATAAAGCTTTTCAATATTTATAACATTTGTACTTTATTTTGTTATTTCTATTCAAAGTACACGTGTTATTAAATTAAAAGCATTTTTTTTTCTATATTTCGCGATGTTTAAAGCGTTTAAATTTAAAATGAAAAATTTGTTTTTTTTTCAAATATTGTATTTCTAATTAAATGTTACGAAAAATTTCTATTTATAAACGCTTTGAATTGGGAAAACAATTTCGAACTTTTAGATCTCAATGTTTTTTTTAATAGCGCGTCGGAAAATTAGAAGAGAAAAAAAAAAGAATTTTTATAATCAAATGTGTCTGTGAAAAAATTGAATTGTTGGTAAATTTTTTTTTACGTCTTTATGCGAGAAAGTAAAAAAAAAAAATTCAGAAAGGTAAAAAAGAAACATTCGAAGTGTTTAATATAATAATTAATTAATAATAAGAATAATAATAGTTAATAATAATACTAATAATAATAATAAATATTAATAATAATACCGAATAATCATATTGCAATTCGCATCGCCTTTTGAGATTTTTATTTATTAATTATATTGATGTTGTATGTGTACGGGGACTGAATGAAAAAAAAAAAACGGTTTAAGATACTACCAAACCTTTGTGTGTTCGTTGCGAATATTGTTACAAAAAAAAAAAAATTTTGTAAGAAGCGTTTTACGATTTAAGAAAGCGTGTAAGATTTCTACTCAAGTGTTCATTATTAGTAACAACGGACAGAATTTTTTTTTTTTTTTTTCTTTTACTAGACATTTCTGGTGCAAAATGTTTTTTAATCTCTTAGCACAAAAATTGATCTTAAAAAAAAAGGGAAAAGAAAAGCTCGAATCGTTTGTGAATATAACGATTTTAATTTTGGAAAAAAAAAATCTCGTTTTAAAAAGAAAAACATTTTTTCTCTATAGAAAAAGAGAAACACGTTTTTTCTACAGGAAAAAATTTTTTTTTGCTATCACACCAAATTGTTGATATTTGATAACTCGTTTGGATGACATTATTATTAATTAATTATTTTTTTTTTCAACGTTGTTACATATATTTGTGATTAATGATTATAATTAATAAATAATTTATTATTTCGCTAGGGAAAAAAAAAAACAAAACAGAAAACTGCCGAGAAATTCGATCAAAACGATCGTTTGCGTAACTTTGACGTGAAGAGCATATCCAAAGTTTTTATTTATCACTGATTAAGTAGAACTTAATTAATTATCAGCGACGAATTTTTAATTCGCATATAAATATATATAGATAAGAATAATTCTTTTTGTATAGAAAACAAAAAGATTGTTCATCCCAATTATATAAAAAGGTTGGGAGAGAAAATAAGAATTATATATATATATATAAAATAATTTTTTTCTCACATTTTTTTTTCCTTTAAAAAGATGTAAATCGCAAATTTGTATACTCTCGCGATTATTGTAATAGTCACAATTAATTGTATATTAGAAAAAAAAAAATTTCTCTCATCTTTTTAAAGGGAAATTTGATTTTATTTTAATTTTTTTTTTTTTTTTTGTAAAGCTTTTACTGATTATGAAAAAAAAAAAAATGTAGAAATAATTAAATAATTTGGGAGTGACAAATTATTTGAGTATAGGGAACCATTGTAATATATTAATAATTAATTGGAAAAAAAAACCATTGTAATTAGCTTTTTGCGCATTAAAAAAAAATGACGAAATCGAATTTGACTTGTATGAATCGTCAATGTTAATGGTATTTTATTCTCATGGTTAATAAAAACCGAAGAGAACGAGAGAGAGAGTGAGAAACTATTAATTACTTGTCACTTCTTTAATTTTCTTTTTTTTGCAACGCTTTAGTTTCGTTGCATTTAAGATAATTCTTCTTCTTCTATTATTCACAGGGCGTTTATAACAACAGCATGTTTACCAGGGTCTTTTTCTAATCCCAATAGAGATTGAATGAACGTATTTTGTAATATATATATAATAATAATAATAATATTAATAATAATGAATTTTCCGTCTTTTGATATAAATCAATGACAAAAAAAAAAAAGAGAAAGAGAATTGTTCGTTTAAGTAGAAATTCGACATTTCTATAAAGACATCAACGTGTAATAGATTTAATAATTATTAATTAATTTCAGAGAATAGTTTTTCGTTATAAACTTGGTCTTTATTGTGTTATATGTAATAAATTTGTTTTTCAAGCGTTGATTTTATAATTTTAAATTAAATAATGCGTATAAATTAAATGAATAAAAAAATAGTATCACATTTAATTATTTCTTATTGTCCTTATAAAAATTAAATTATACTTTTATTTTTATCACTTCTAATTTTAATTTATTATTTGAATAAAAAAAACACAAACATTACTTAACATTTTATTTATTTATTTTTTACAAATATAGATTTATAGAACAGATTTTACTTAAAAATAAATAATCTATATTATTGAAACGAAATATTTAATTTTATATTTACAGAAATCCAGATTAAATGAATTAAAAAGTAATTAAACATTGATTAAGGATAGATATATTTTTTTTTTTAATAGACAACATTCGAATATTAAAATACTTTTTTTTTAAGTACAATATCTGTCCTTAAATATGTATTATATACTTTTGTTGTAATTATACAATAAAAATTATATTTTGTAGATAATCGTTTAAAATAAAGTTTAAAAACAAAATAATAATTGACTTATGAGCATCAGACAGAGAAGACGATAAAGGTTTTTTTTTTCTTTTTTTTAAATATTTATATATCTCGCTGTATATATAGATAGAATCTGATCGTAACTTAAACAATTATATCATATATATATATATTATATTTTACAATACTTACAGAAACAGATTCAATATTATTAACAAAATATTCTTTTTTTTTATATATTATTTTTTTTTTCATAAAGCTTTACTTTTAAGTAAACTAATTCGTTTTATGGTTTTTTTTTTTTCACTAAACCTTGGGAGTTTACAAAAATTTGTATATTTCTAATAAATACAATAACTATCTTTTATAATAATATACAAATTATACAATTGAGCCTGTCATTGTACTTTTCTTTTTAAAATTAAATTCCTATATTCAAATTTGAAAAAAAATTTAAATGGCTAAAAATAATTTTTGTAATAAAAAAAAAAAGTCAAAATTGACAATAACGGCTCAATTTTAATTTGTATATAAGAAAATAATAATAATAATAATAATTATAATAATATTGTGGTACTTGGGAATAATTATCACATTAGTTTGCTGAATATCGTGCATTGCCCAGCAAACACAGTCACATTTATAACAATTACGTATTTATAATTTTTTAATCAAAAATTTGAAAAAAAAATTGTTTTTTGTAATTGTTATACATTTTCATCATTTCTAATAAGCTAAATGTGTGTTTTCTGGGGTTTTTTCATTTTCTCTTTTCATTTTTTTTTGTTTTGTATTTTATAATTCAATCAGATTCTTTCTTTCGTTACTTTTTTTTTTTTTTTTAAATTGAATGAAGATTATAGGATTTCCATTCTACGAATAAACATTTTTTGAAATGCTTTTGTTGATTTAAAATTGAGTTTTAAAATTTATATTCACAATAGTGGAGAGATGGAATTATTCTCTCCTGACTTTATTCGGGCTAGGCCACCTGCTCATATTTCGCCTTATTAATATTATTAGCAAGACAACAGGCCAATAGAACTCCAATTAATGGGAAAAATGCAAATGCAATTGCACTGGCAGCGACGATACCAACATTATTGCTTATCAATTCAATCACTCGATTATAGCAGCCCTGGAAATTGTAAAAAAAAAAAAAATTTATTTTATATTTAAAATATTTATTTATTCTTTATTATTGAATAATTTTCCATCAAATGAAAAATGTAATTAAAAAAAAAAAAAAATCATTCGTTTATTCAATTTAAAGAAAAAAAAATGTTAATAAATATAATTTACCTGGGTGTAAATTTTGTTTGTATCATTGGTCAAGCATTCTTCACTTGGAACTTTGCAGCATGAAAGTGGAACAGCTTGCGGATGTTTTAAATTGTACCAATCAGTATAGGCCTTGTTACCACAACATTGTAACTGAAAATAAATTTTTTTTTTATATATATAAATAAACTATTATTTATTTAATATTAATTTATTTATATATTAATAATTTCAAATGTAATTTTTAATTTTTTTGAAATTTAATTTAAAAATTAATTTTACCGTGCTTTGCATAAAATCGACATGAGTTGTCCTTGGATTGGTGTCTGTATAAGCATCCAAACTGAAATTAAGTCCTTGATCAAATCCTTCAGTTAATGTGCTTCGATAAGAATAAACAGAAGCTCCAGCTCCCAATTCGAGTAGAGCAATTGCTGCCAAAAATGCTCCGTACTTGAAAAAAAAAAATATTACAAAAAAATAATAATAAATTAAATAAGATGTTTTAAATTTTTATCAAATGACCTTTCAATTAAAATAAATGCATAGTAAATAAAAAATTTTTTTTTTTTAATTGAATTGAATTTTGTTAATTTACCAGATAAAGCAGAGCTGGATGTCCTCGAGCTGTACAGCAACAGGCGAGAATCGCAGCAATAACGACAATTGCTCCTAAAAAAGCTAATGCCAATAAAGCAGCTCCACTTCCCTCCGTATTTGAATCAACGTAATCACGCAATTGCAACCTCATGGCAATCCCAATAAATAGCATTAATATTCCCGAGGACTGAAAAATAATATTCAATATTATTAAACAAAATTTTATATATTTAACAAAAAAAAAATTAATATAAAAATAATTCCAATTTCTCGTAAATAATTTATCAATAAATTTTTTTTTTTTTCAAAATCAAATTTTTCAATTTTATTTAAATTTCCTATATATTGAAAAAAATAATTTTTTTTTATACTAGTTTCTACAAAAAAAAATTCTCAAATTTATCTTTTTCTGATAAATTTTTCAAAAAGAATAAAATAATATATTAAAAATAATGAAAAGGAAAAAAAGTGATTTATTATTACTTCATTAAAAAATTGAAGGAGAATTAAAAAAAAAAAAAAAAAAAAAAAGAAAAATGGATTAATCCTGGGGGAAATCATCATCATCATCTCTCCCTCTCTCTCTCTCGCTGGACCAGACAAAATTGTAAATTATTTTATTTAAAAGATGATTTCTTACCAGAAAGACAAAATTGAAGAGCATCAATAATGTTGTCATGCATGCTGTCGCTGCAACATTTTCCAATCGTTTACCCATTTTTTTTTGTTGTTTTTTTTCACTAATTTTTCTACTTTTGCGCTTAAATACAACTTTGTGCACCACTCAACCTCGAGAGGAATTGCCTTTGAAAGTAATCGATTTGTCAACATCAGGAACGCGTGCGTAGTTTCATTCGTTAGAAACGCATGCGTCGCAAAATATAACAATTATATACATATTTCAATCTAAATATAAGATGTCTAAATAATAAAATTGAAAGATTTGCAAAAAAAAAAAAAAAAAAGGAGAGAAACTCTCCAAAAATTCAGAAATTAAGATCCATTAATTAAAAATGCTTCCATTACTTTTTTAAATCTCTTTTCAAATCCAAATCTTTATTTAGAAACATAATTTTTCATTTTTGCAAAAAAAGAATAATTCAATTACACTTTTTTTTGTTTTCATTTCAGGCTCAATTTTTGATTCCTTTTTTTAAAATTAAATTTATCTCCTTTTTAATTATATGGAACCCCCTTTTTTTTTGGGGGGGGGGGAAATATCGAATATTCCAAATCATTTTTAATAATTTATGATTTAGTTTTTTTTTTCTATATGTAATCACATCCCGGGAACGAAATAACAATCACTCCCACTCACTGATTCCACATATCGATGGGGTGATGAGGTTGGATCGATATTCTTCCTATAGGTCACTAAAACCCCTGGCCAAATTTCATCTCCCGCTACTTGTTGATATTTGCCAATTTTTCTAAAATCCCTCATTTTCCCATTATTATTATTATTCCAATTTTCTAAATTATTTTTCTCAATATCACTATCTTGATAGATATTTGCATTTTCATCAAATTTTTCAACATTAATTTGACAAAATTCTTCAATTTCATCATCATTTAATTCAATATCACATTTTTCATCAATTTTTAATGATGATTCATTTATAATTTCATCACGATTTCTCCTTAAATCGCCAATTGTTTTAAAATAAATACTATGATCGTAACTATAAGTCTCAAGACATGTGCTATCTAATTTTCCATTTGATCGATAATTTAATGTACCACAACAATTGAGTTTTAATTCTTCATGTTCCGATTGTCTCGCGTATGAACGATTTAATGGTTGTAAACGTGGATTAAATGATGTTTCTTCAATAAATAATTTATTACCAGCAATACTCCATCGTGATGATAATGAATTTTCTTCTTTTATAATTTTCATTTTATTGCGTGTATTTTTTTGCGAACGAAGACGATTATATCCTCTTGCACATGCTGCCCAATGTTCAATTCTTTGAAAGAAATATTCCGTTTCTTCATTCCACCATTCAAAGAGTGCTCTTTGTCGTGTTTCTAAATTCATATTTGTCATTCTCATTCGTTCACCGTTCACTAAATGACTGAATTCAATGAAAAACAAAGAGTTTTTATCAACTTTCATGAAGCACTAGAAGAAGTGAAGCCGTTAAAAAAAAAGGAGTTTGATGCGATAATCTCATTTTGACCTTCATCTCCAATGTCAATGACGTAAATTTCCCTTTTTCTCTTCCCGCCAATCAATCAAGGTGAATAAATTTTGTTCCCTGGGAAGCCAAAAAAAAGAACAAAATTTTTTTTTTGTATAAAATATGAAGAATTTTTCTCGAATTTAATTGAAATCTTTAAATATCAAAAGTAGATCCTTTTTTTATCAATAAAAAATTTAATTTAAAATCTAATTCGAAAAACGAAAAAAATTCTTTTCAATTGTAATATTAATCATTCACCTTTGTCGGTATGAATTAATGTGAAATTTCAGGAAAAAAATAAAATTTATAAGAAGAGAAATATTGTTTAGGAGGGCGTTTGATAATATTGTTAAAGAAGCTGTCGATCATTTTGAAAATAAAATGCGAGCATGGAATATCAATGAGATTACAAGTAGCATGTTAAAACTTGAAGAAAATTGTTTATCGCCGTTTTTAGATACAATAAAAAAAAAAAAAAGGGAAAAATTCAACTCTCCTGGGAATTTGCTTGGTGGGTATATAAGCTTATAAAAATTGGTCCAACTACCTCAGTCTCTCGTTCAAGTTTTCTTCTTCTAGTTCTTCTTTTCTTCTTCCAGGTGAGTTAGTCCCCTTTTTTTTTTTTGTGATTTCTCATTATTTTCTTATCACAAGTGCTCGAGTGATTATTGTAATTCTGTGAACAAAAAAAAGAACAATGATTAATAGTTCAAAAATTCTAACAATAAAATTAATATCGGATTCCCATTAAAATTTAGAATTAGGAAAATTTTAAGTGCTCAAAATAAATAAAACAAATAAAAACTTAAAATTGAAACAAAAAAAAATTCATACATTTATTTTTTTGAACAGAAAATGAACCAATTAACAACAATGTTTTTAACATTGGCGACAATTTGGTTACTATTTGGAAAAATTGAGACAAAATCAAATTCGGAACATATTGCAGTTCGTCCTAGAATCTTTCACAATGTTCCATTATTTCCCAGGTAATTGAAAAATCAATTTTTAATTACTAATTTTTAAACATTATAAAATATCCTTTTAAATTATTTAATTATAAGTTATTATATTGATTAATAAGTTATTCAAATGATATTAAAATAATTTCAATAAACGCTATTTAAATTGAATTTGAAAATTTTAATTATTAATTGAAAAAAAAAAATTGTTCCACTTTATCAAGCTTCGCAATGGAGGATCAAATTTTTGAAGAAGATGATGACATACCACATCCAAATAAGAGGCAAAAATTTGACGATTACGGTCACATGAGATTTGGCAAACGTGATCAATTTGAAGATTATGGACATCTTCGTTTTGGTAGAAATCAACAGTGATTGAAATAATTTTTAATAATCTGCGAATCATTAGTTATATATGTAAATTTTTAACTGTGGATTATGAATTTAACAAAAAAAAAATTGATTAATTTAACAATTTTAATCCAAGTTGAAAATTAATTTATTTTAAACTTCCTCTAGAAACACAAAAAAGAAAAATAAATCAAACCCTTGTAGAACATTGAAAAAATATTTCCGACAATAAATAATAATGAAAAAAAAATTGTTTTATTAAAAATATATCTAATTTAGATTTTAATTAATAATTTTCATAAACTTACCATTTTTATATATGTTATTTTTTCCAAAATACTTTATCTATTGTATCGTTTTAATTTAAATATTTTTTGCATAATTTCTAAATCATCGTCAAGAAAAGTTCTAATTCCTTCAAATTTTTCAAGATCTTCCAAAGAATATCCAAGTGTTCGTCTAAATATACTTTCTGGTAATTCTTCTATTTGCATATTTTTCAAAGAGTATTTCCCATCATTTGACGATTTTCTTTTTTCATCCAAACTGAGAATGAAGAAAAAAATTTTAATTAAATTATTAATTAATCAATTAAAATAATATTACCTGTCTTGCAGTGGAAAAGAATGAATATTTAGCAGCTGAGTTGATTTAGAACATTTTTGAAAATTTTCAATTTTATATTCTTTAATTTTTTCTTTCGTTTCTGTTAAATAATTTTGTGATTCATTAATTCCCAATTGTTTATAAGTTGATATTTGTAAATGTCCTTTCGGTGGAAAAAATTCAGTATTATCACGTGGTTCACGTAAAAATTTATTTTGCCTAAAATATAACGTTTTTTTTTTTATTTTTTTATTTATTTTATTTATTTTTGTCAAAAAATAATTTTTACCAATTACTAATTTTCACTCGTGAATCATAAGAAACTTCATTTCTACCAAGTACAAGAGGTTTTAATTTCATTTCATTGTCTAAATCAGGAAACACAGACTAAAGACAAAAAATTATTAATATGTAAAAATAAAATATTGTGAAGTGAAAAAAAATTGGAATTTTTCTCACATTTATTGTTCTTTTACGAAACATATTATTTTATTTCGTATTATTTATTTATTTCAGAATATTATTTAGAAAATAAAAAATACAATTATCAAAAAAAATATCATTTCGAATTTTTGACAGTTTTGAAATTTTTTCCATATTCAATTGTTTTATTTTTTTGAAGTTTAATAAAAAGGATTTTTAATTCAATTTTTTGCCACTTTTTGATATTTATTAACTTTATTAAAATGTCAGTGAGCTATTATTTATTCGATGAATAAAATTATGAAAACATTGAAAATTTGAAAGTAATTTTTATTGATTAATTTAATTTTTTTTAATGTAATAGAAATATTTGAAATTTAGACTCACCGGATAAAAAATCGGAAATTGCAACGCCTCATCGTGTTCTTTTTCTAACTATAAAAAAAAGAAACAATTAGTAAAGAGTAAAACAATGAATAACGTGAATTTATTTTCAGCTCACCTTTTTCGAATTCTATGAAATTCTTCAAGAAGCAAAAATTGTTGAAAAAACAAAAATTTGAGAATTTCAAAAAACAAAAGAAAATTTAATTTCTGAAAAAGTTTTCAAAAAATATTTCGTTGTATATTTCATTTTACATGAAGAAAGAGAAACTTAACGTCAAAAAAAAAATCTTAAACCTTGTTTCATTAAAATTAATAATTAATAAAAATATTTGTTATGGTTTTCAAAGAATAAGAACTTTTTTTTCAAATTTGAAACGATGCAGAGTATTATATATTAATTATTTAGGAATTAACATTTTTCGTGATGACACATACGATACAATAATATAATAGTCTTTTTGAATTATCTACATTTATATATATATATAGGTACATAATTTTCTTTTTTTTTAAACAATGCAATATATAAACGACTAGCAACTATTAAGTTTTGAGCATCAAGCTATTTACAAACTTTTTACAAAAGTTTTAAGTATCATAATGCGAGTAATTAATCGATATACTTTTCTGTACAATCTATACATAATCTACAAACATTTTATACATTTTACAATTCCAACACTAAAAAAAAAAAAATAAATAAACGTACACAAGGTACGTTAAAAATAACAATTGAATTAAAAAAGAAACGACTATTAAATAAAACAATAACAAATTTATATAAAAGAAGCTTAAAATTAATTTTAAAAAATTAATTAATATTTAAAACTTCAGTTTGGTAATAAAAACATAATTGCTACAGGTACGATGTATTAAGAAAATAATAATGAAAAAAAAAAAGAAACCATTTTCAATTATTCAGCACAAGACCAACGATTAAAAAACCCGATTTGAAAATTACGTAATGACTATTATTTTCTTTTTCATGAATTTTATTTTTAAATTCAAAAATTTATTGGAAAAAAAAATTCCTGTTTTTAGTCTATACGTAATTTAAAAATCTATGCAATATTCAAACTTGTCGCAGCTAAAGATACTAAAGACGTAGAAAGTTTGTTCTTCATTGAAGCATTGCTTTTAATTATTAAAAAAAAAAAAAAAATTTTTTTTTTTTAAATTATAAACTCCTTTTTCTATTACTTTCCAATTTTACAATCATTTAGTAGAAAATTCGGTAGCGAGCGAATTTTCAAAATATTCTAGTTTGTCCTTATATTCAATATATTTGTTATGAAACGCTTTTTTTTCAAAAAATTTCTCTAGTTGATTCCCTTTGTTTAAAGATAGAAATTTTTTTTTTTACAATATTTCAAAGAAGCTTTGTTTTTCAGAGTATCAATCAAAGCAATTTGAAAAATATTGAAAAAAAATTCTAAATTTTACTAGAAAAAAAAAATTTTATACGAAGCTATTTATCAGTTCTCAAACTATAAAGAGCTTATTACTTACATTTTACATTTTTTTTTATAGAATATATATATATATATATTTTTTTTCGCTGAAAAATGTTACAAAGGCATCAAAAATATATTTATCTGAGTACTTTTCTGATAAGTACAATTTTTATTATTAGACTAATTCAATTAAGTACGATCATATAATGTATATTTATAGAAAGAAGGGAAAAAAATTGTGATTAATTTTTATAAGTACAAAGATTGCAGCATTATTTTTTGTTTTTTTTCATCATATACTAAAATTGTACTTTCTTTTCTTTGACGATTTTTTCTCATCTAAGCAAAAAGGCTTATAGTAAAAAAAAAAAGGTATTTACTTATGGCAATAAAAAAAATTCACTTTGAAATGTGTGTATAGAGTTAAAAATTCTAAAATTTGTTTTTTTTTGTTGAAAAAGCAGGAAAATCTAAACTGATTTTCTCGGTGAGAAGAGTCCTATTGCAACAGAAACAAATGACGTGATGAAAGGTCAGGATTCATAGACAAGACGCTCGTAATGTGGAATTATTTCACGATTTGGTAAATGCAAGCCGAATTCAAGTGTCACCAACACAGCAAATTCGGATGTTATTAATTCTTTCCGATTTAGACGAAATACATTTTCTATTCGCTAGAATAAGAAATTTTAATTTTCATCATTCTGAACTCATATTAAAATGACGCCACCGTTGGAAATAAAAAAAAAATAAAATTCTTTTTTTTTAAAATTGTGCTTTTTCAAAAAATTATTTTCTTTCTGTTTTTAATTTTTTAATATTTAGTGACGTCATTTTTTTTTTCAAAGAAATTTGATATTAATAAAAATTCATTCATACCTCAATTAATGATTTTAAAACTTCACCCTTCACATCATTTAGTTTTGCAGCAAGTAATAAACATGCACCAGCGCACAATTTTCGTGTTTGTTTTGTGACGACATTTCTCAAAATTAATTTCTCAAAATAAACATATGCCATTGCCACTGTTAATAGATCAATTCCATATTCCATTTTGGCGATTTTTCTCATTTCTCGCTTCAAACTGTAAAAAAGAAAGAAAGAGAAAATAAAACTCTATTTTGGTAAATGAAAAAAAAAACAAAAAATACATTACCTTCGCAATTTACTTAACGTGAGTTGAATATGGGGAAATTTTTCTCTAAATTTATCATTAAGTTCTTTCTTTAAATCTGAAGGTCTCACGTAATCAATAACAGATGCCTAAAAGAAAACAATTTTTTTTAAAGATAATTAAAATTTTCTTTTTTAAAGAAAACAATCTTACCATATATGAAGTAAACGTCAGAAGAGTACGATGTTTTCCGGCAATAAGTTCAGGATCATCGAGTAAATTTGGATTGTATTGTAAAATTTGCTCATCCCAATCAAAAGCTGCAATAAATTAATTTGCTGGTTATTTTTATAGAATTAAAGTAAAAAAGCAAATTTATTGTCATATTATCTTATCGTTAATTAAATATTGTTTACATTTAATTTTACCTTTCGAGTCGACTGTCAATGATAAAGGCGGAGATTCTGTTACATGTTGATTTCTGTGTGAAGTAGAATCATAAGAAAGATATCTGAAAATAAATTAATTTTTTACTTATTTCAATAAATATTAAATTTTTTTTTTATATTTGTTTGAAAATAGTATACCTAGAAACCAAGTGATGTTTTTGTGCTTGAAAACTAGCATCTACAACATCGTTATCGTTATTTAAAAGTTTTTTCTCCCTAACAAATTGTCGAGATGGTATAAGTAACTGGCCGTAAGATATTTCCTGTATTTAAAAAGAAAAAAAAAATTCACTTCTGAAATATTTAACAATAAAAAAATTTCATCAAGATTGAAAAACAGAAAAATTATTAATTACCTGTCCATCTTTTGCCCTTTCAATTCCCAATAAACCATAAGTATCTAGATTATCATTAATAGCCGATAAAGGCCTCGAGCCAATTGTATTTTTCCTTCTTCCTGCGTCTTTTCTCAATTCTGACCTGGAAAAAAGAAAAAAAAGAAAAATATAATAAACATTAAATTTAAAATTATAAAGCTAAATAAAATTATAAATTTTTTAATTTATTTTTCGCATAGAATTTTTTTTTTTTTTTTTAGTGAAAAATCCTAAAAAAAAAGAAATGTGATTTATCCAATAACGATGCGTGATTTGAAAAATTTTACAATTTAATACCTTTTTAAAATTGGATTATTCACTGCGAAGCTTTTGAAGACAGGCGAATTACCCCTTTCAATTTGCCAGCTAAATATAATATCAATGCCATTCAAAAATTGAACATTTTTTTTAATAGTATGAAAAAAAATCTACTTATTTAAAAAAAAAAAATTTATCTTTCACTTAAATAATTATATTTTTATACCATTTTTTTTGTCACTATCGAAATAATTAAAAATAAATATAGTAGTTAAAAAAAAAAGGTTTACACTTACCAACTGGTTCGTTGACCTTTATTGTAAGGTATTGCAGAAAATACAAGAAATGGAACTCTTTTTGCTGAAACGAGAATAAGACGATCATCACGAAATTTTTGATTCGAAATTGGACGTTGCATTAAACGTAATTCCTTTGTGACTTCCGGTATCATTTCACTATTTAAGCATCCTGATTGTAGACTATTGAAAGTTTTTGCTTTTGATTTAGTAACAAGAGAAGCTGATTTTGATCTAACTGAACCAATACTTTCGCTGCTGCTATTATAATGATGTTTAATATCCTCTGATAATGTGGATGTTTGATGTGTTATCCTTTTTTTATAATGCAACGATCCAACACGTCGTTCTGGTAGTGAATATTCACTGCCAGCAGTTCCAGCTCTGTAACATTAATTTTTTTTTTAAATTAAATATCTGTGTAAAAAAAATTTTTTTTCAAAAACAAATTTTATTATAAATTAAATAAATAATTATAAATTAATAAAAAATTACATATAATAATCGTGAATATCTTTCGTTCATTCTGTCCACACCTGAAGTTAGTATTTGTTATAGGTCTTTTGTTTTTTGCTTCCTCGTGGAGGAAGCTATGTAGTCCTTTCGTTTATAAACTTTTTAAAAATGGTGAAAACAAATTTTCCTCTATATAGAAACATGTTATATGAGATCCTGATCAATTGTCCGGATGTATGTATGTGTGTGTGTATGTGTGTGTGTGTGTGTGTATGTGTGTGTGGATCGTTTTTGTGAACACGATATCTTTAACAGGTTTTAATGGATTTGGATAAAATTTGGTAGGCTTATTTAACACATTAATCTCTCAAAAATGACGAGAGGATTTTTAAAAATACCCCAAAAAAAAAATTTTATCGTCTTTTTTCCAAAAATTTTTTTTTAATTGAAAAAATTTTTAAATCGAAAAATTTAAGGTAATATATAATATAATCGTCTTCTTTATGTCAAGATGAATCGATTGATATATATAAAGTTTATGTTACACTCAAAATTAATTAAAATTTTCTTTATTTTTCAAAAAATTTAATTAATTTAAAACATTTTTAACTCGAAATTTTTTAAATCAATCAATTGAATTGGACAAATTCATTGCTTCCTTCACGAGGAAGCGAATTTTTTGCTTCACACAATGAGGAAGCATAATGTTTATGAAATAAACATAAAGGACCCCCGCCTTGTTTTAAATGTATTGTTTGACATTATTTTGTGTTGGTTAAAATTTTTCAATGTTTTTTTGGCATTGTTTCGATAAATAATTTTGAATCGAAATTTTAAAAAATAATTGAATTTTATTTTATTTTAAATTGAAAACTTGGTAAATAATTGAATTTTAAATTGAAAATTTGAAAATAATTTAATTTTAGTTGATTGTTGATTGAAAATTTGAAAATAATTAATTTTAGTTGATTGCTGATTGAAAATTTTGATAATAATTAATTTTGACTCGAAATTTTGGAAAATAATAAAATTTTAATTGAAATTTTTGACAATAATTTAATTTAAGTTCATTTTTAATTGAAAATTTCGATAATTAATTTTGAATAGAAATTTTAAAAAATAATTGAATTTTATTTTATTTTAAATTGAAAACTTGGTAAATAATTGAATTTTAAATTGTAAATTTGAAAATAATTTAATTTTAGTTGATTGAAAATTTGAAAATAATTAATTTTAGTTGATTGCTGATTGAAAATTTTGATAATAATTAATTTTGACTCGAAATTTTGAAAAATAATAAAATTTTAATTGAAATTTTCGATAATAATTTAATTTAAGTTCATTTTTAATTGAAAATTTCGATAATTAATTTTGAATAAAAATTTTAAAAAATAATTGAATTTTATTTCATTTTAAATTGAAAACTTGGTAAATAATTGAATTTTAAATTGAAAATTTGAAAATAATTTAATTTTAGTTGATTGTTGATTGAAAATTTGAAAATAATTAATTTTAGTTGATTGCTGATTGAAAATTTTGATAATAATTAATTTTGACTCGAAATTTTGGAAAATAATAAAATTTTAATTGAAATTTTTGACAATAATTTAATTTAAGTTCATTTTTAATTGAAAATTTCGATAATTAATTTTGAATAGAAATTTTAAAAAATAATTGAATTTTATTTTATTTTAAATTGAAAACTTGGTAAATAATTGAATTTTAAATTGTAAATTTGAAAATAATTTAATTTTAGTTGATTGAAAATTTGAAAATAATTAATTTTAGTTGATTGCTGATTGAAAATTTTGATAATAATTAATTTTGACTCGAAATTTTGAAAAATAATAAAATTTTAATTGAAATTTTCGATAATAATTTAATTTAAGTTCATTTTTAATTGAAAATTTCGATAATTAATTTTGAATAAAAATTTTAAAAAATAATTGAATTTTATTTCATTTTAAATTGAAAACTTGGTAAATAATTGAATTTTAAATTGAAAATTTGAAAATAATTTAATTTTAGTTTATTGTTGATTGAAAATTTGAAAATAATTAATTTTAGTTGATTGCTGATTGAAAATTTTGATAATAATTAATTTTGACTCGAAATTTTGGAAAATAATAAAATTTTAATTGAAATTTTGGATAATAATTTAATTTAAGTTGATTTTGGATTAAAATTTCGGGTAATAATTGAATTTTAATTGAAATTTTCGATAATAATTTAATTTAAGTTCATTTTTAATTGAAAATTTCGATAATTAATTTTGAATAAAAATTTTAAAAAATAATTAAATTTTATTTCATTTTAAATTGAAAACTTGGTAAATAATTGAATTTTAAATTGAAAATTTTGAAAATAATTTAATCTTAGTTGATTGAAAATTTTGATAATAATTAATTTTAGTTGATTGTTGATTGAAAATTTTGATAATAATTAATTTTGACTCGAAATTTTGGAAAATAATTGAATTTTAATTGAAATTTTGGATAATAATTTAATTTAAGTTGATGTTGAATTAAAATTTCGGGTAATATTTGAATTTTATTTAATTTTAAATTGAAAACTTGGTAAATAATTGAATTTTAAATTGAAAATTTGAAAAATAATTCAATTTTATATATAATTTAATAACATATAATAATAATTTTCATTATTATCATTTAATATGAAATAATATTCTAATAAATTTAAATTATTATTGATAATATTAATCTTTAATTTCTTTATAACAAACAATTAAATACTCAATTTGGCGCGCTTGCGCGCGTTTAATATTGCTAGTAGAGAATAAGAAAATTGTAAACTAAGGTATATAATGAAAATAAATTATAATATAATAATGATAATTAAATAAATTAATTTTTGTATTCATATTTTATTATTCATTTTTCCGCATGTATACTTTAAAAAAGTGAAAATCACACTTATCGCGAAAATGAAATTTTATTATCTGACTTTATATCAGGCATAATAAAATTTTATCACTATTTATCAGCAGTAAAAAAAATTAGATTAATTATTATCTGTTAAAAGAAAGTAAACTATAATACAAAAAAAAAATGTTCTTTTTTGTACGTATAATAATAAAGTGTATAAAAGAAGATAATAAAGAAAATAAATCAATAAGTTTTAATATGCGCTTTTTTCTCTCACAAAGTAAATAAAAATTACAATTAAAAAAAAAGAAATGAAAAATAATTGAAAAAACGTTGCGCAATATGAAAAAAATATACAATTGACACTCTTACATCATGTGAACTTTTTGTTTTTAGTTCATGCATAACATTCAAGCTTCAAAACCAATTAACGTAATGTAATATGACTTCACTCTTCATTAGATTCTAACAGTATATATCAATTAGAAGATTTGACAAATAAAATAATATATATATTTTGAAAATATTATTAAAGAAAAATTAGAAACTAAAGAATAAAAGTAAGAAGAAATAATTTAAAATATATTTATTAATTTACATTTAATAATAAATGTAATGAAAATGAAAAATTAATATTTAAAAAAAAAATATTCTAATATATAAATTTATAATGGAATAATTGTATTTAATTGAATTAATAAAAATCAATAAATGAAAGTATTTTAATTACAAAAACCAAGTTTGTCTTAATAATTCTTGAAAACAAAAATAGTCAAGTGACCTTCTTATCAGATCTACGACAAACTGACCACTTTTAGTTGATATATACACACAAAATTATTGAAGGTCAAAAGACATTTAATTTCATTGTTAGAAATTAATGATGAACTTGTTTTTTTTTTATAATCAAAACGTTTTGTCAATTAAATTAAAAACTTTAATTTACTCTAAACTAAATTTATAATTTATAAATCATTTTTTTAATCCCATAAAATTTTACTCTATTTTTTTCAAAATTCTCTCGAGGTATTAAAACAAAAAAAAAAACATTGAAAATTTAGTCGAAAATCAAATAAATTTTTGGAATTAATTCAAATTTGTGACGTAAAATATGAATATCTAAATAATAATTGGAATTTAATAATTAAAATTTTTAATTGTAATTGATTTGTCACTGGTTTAAAAAATAAAAATCAATTCAAAAAATACTATATAGAAAATGATCTTACCGTTCTCTAAAGGAACAATAAGCTCCAGGTGATAATTGAGGATGATTTCTCTCATTTTCAATAAAACTATTGACAGCAATTTTTGCTGGTGTAAAAGATGTTGAATCGCCACTTATTTTTAACGGTGATTCAATTTGTTGTGCACCATTAGTTTTTGTATTATTTAAATTTTCCTTGGAATTAATTGAATAATTATTCGCTTCATTATTTGAATTTTCCTGTAGTGTTTTTTGATAAATAACTCCGTTACGTGGTAATAATGCTAACTTGGTGTCTCGATGGCTTCCATCCAATGAAATATTGGACAGAAATGTCACAGCGGCTAATCTTCTTCGAGAGTGATTCTTTTTTAGGGCTGCTGCCATTCCACGTAATAATAAACAGGACCGAGAATTTTTTTCTTTCTTTTCGTTTTCAAATATAATTAACAATAATAATAATAATAACAATATAACAATATATAGAAAACGAAAAACGGCACCAATATTTGATTTTGGAAAGAATAAAAATTAAATAAAATTCATCACAAACCCTTGTCACTTATTTTCACGTACTTAGTCCTAGTGAACGTCATCCTCGAACTTGGCAAGCCAAATGCAAAGCCTGCACAAGTCAGCATGTTTGACAATCTATTTACGCACTTGATTTTCGCAACAATTACCAGCACACAAGTTTCACGTAGAAAAATTTTTGTTATCACCTTCGCGGACGACGTCTTGTCTCTGCGTACACGTTTCTATATTTCACTGTGAAAATTCTCCCTCTTGATCAATTGTGTATATATATATATATATAATTACGAGACTAATACATGTCAATTGTATTGCACACATACGTAAATAATAAAAATACTTTTTTCAGTCTTTCAAATATCCATTAGTGGAAATAAAATAAAAATTATTAAACATAATTATTTAATTTAAACATCAAAAAATATAACAAATTTTCAATAATTATTATTAATGTAAATATTATGGATTATTTGTTTGGTTATAGGTTAGGTTAGAATCTGGAGATTTAAGTGTAGCCAAAGTATAAAAATTAAATTCCCTAAAAATTATTAATATTCTTTTTCTTCCAATTAATTATAAAACAATTTTTCTTCTTTTTTTTAATAATAGTTAATAATTTCCCCCTCAAAAAAAATTATAAAAAGAGTAAAAAATCAAAATTCTAATTTGAAAATTAGTGAAATTTCAAATTTTGGAGTATAAATGTCACGTGATTGTCACGTGTGCGGGAAATAGGCCAATTTGATTGGTGGACAAACTTAACCAGCGCGCTTTTTTAGTATTAAATTTAAAAAAAATATTTTAATGACAACGGAGAAGAATAAAAAAAAAAGGAAAAACAATTTTTTTTTAATGAAGAATAATAAAGTACAAATAAATTAATTATTAATTATTAAATTTAATCAAATAAAATTTGTATTTAATGGAATTGAAAAAAAATTATTATTCGCAAATAAATGGAATTTTTAATCCGAATTGAAGGAATTTCTATTTAATAAAATTTACATTTTTATAATAGACTTTATACACAATTTAAAATTATTATTTTCTAACAAATTTATATAAATCTGATGATATAAAAAATCGTTTATAAAAATTCTATTAAATTAAATGAAAATTCATGATATTATAAATATATCTTGCGCTATAATTATAAAAAATTTTCATTAATACAAATTCGATTAAATAAAAATTCGCGGTTATAAATATAAAAATTTTGTTAAATGAAAATTCGATTAAATAGAAATTCTCTTGAATGAAAATTCAGTAAAATATAGAAATTCTGTTAAATAAAAATCCTTTAAAATCAAAATTTATGCAATTTCTTGCACAAAATACACCCAAAAGTGTAGAAATTGAAATAAACATACAAAAATAATATAATAATAATATAAACATTTGAGTACATATAGATTTGAGTTAAATTTAAAGAATTAATGGAAGTTAAAAAAATCGAAAATTCACATTTTAGTTGAAATTTCTGAAAATTAATGAAAAATAATATAATTTATAATTGTTTACAATTATATTGGTTTTTTTCAATGCAAGGAACACAATTATTTTATATTTAAACTTGAATTTAAATAAATACAAAATTTTTCAGCTAAAATGGAAATTTCTTTTTTTTTTAACCCTTTGCGGCACAGTGGTAACCAAGATTACCATACCTATTTTATTTACAACTTTTCTTACTGTATTTTAAGTTTTTTAAGCAATATTCATTAATTTTTTTTAAAGGAATGAGAACATATATTATTGAATGAAACGAAAATAAAAGTAACAATATTTACGCAAAATTATAAACAATTATAAATAAATAATTGTCAAAAAAAACTCATTATATATATAGCAATCGATTCTTTTTTCATGCAAGGAATACAATTATTTTATATATAAACTTCAATTTTAAAAATCACAAAATTTTATTGCCAAAATGTGATTTTTTGATTTTTTAACTTTCATTAATTCTTTAAATTTAAATTGAAACTATATACTTTATATGTATATACCAATCGATTTGTCTTGACGTAAGGAATACGATTTTATTATATATATAACCTTAAATTTTTCTATTTAAAAATTTTTTCGATTAAAGAAAAATTTTGGAAAAAAGATTATAAAATTTTTTTGGGTATTTTTAAAAATTTTTTGGTCAGATTTGAGATATAAATATGATAAATGAGCCTACCAAATTTTAATCCACGAGGAAGCAAAATTTATTTTAATTCAAATAATTGGTTAGTTGAGTATAAATATTTATATTTTAACCAAATAATGTTTATTTGAATTAAATAAACTGTATTTGAACCAATAATTTTTGTATTTGTCAAATATAAAAAAAAAAGAAAAAAATATTTGTCAAATAATAATTATTTGATGCAAATAAAAATTTATTTAATAATATAGTCAAGTGGCTGCAAATTATTTGAATCAAATAATTTTTTTTTTAGTGTATTAATTCAATTGAATAAAATTGTTAAATAAAAATTCAATTAAATGAAAATTGTGTTAAATAGAAATTCTGTTAAATAAAATTTTTTGGATCACATAAAAAATATATATTAAATTAAATTACGAATAAAAATTCAATTAATTATTGCAAATTTTGTTAAATAATTATTCTCTTTATTAAATTAAATTTAATTTTCCTTTAATTCTATATTTAAATTAAATCGCATATTCCGGATAAATAAAATTCAATAAATTCAAAAATTTGAGTTTTTTTTTTTAAATATTCTTGTTTCGAGCATTATTAAATGATCAACAAGTTGACAATTGAATTATAAAATCTGTTAAATAAGGATATGAACTGATGAACTACTATCACACACGTGTTTGATATTCGTGACTGCAATGAACGTTAGTCGCGAGCCATTAAGCCGCTGCACGCCATATCCCCACAAAAGCTATATTCTGATATTCTCCTCCATCAGGATACATATATATATATATATATTTATATATATTTAAGCGCACACTTGGCAAACATTCACGCATGTCAATGTAGAATGGCGTTATATCGTTATATGCACGTTAACGTTCACGATTCACGTATATATATATATATATAAATTGCCAATGGCGAACATATGCCATACTTTCTTAAGTATAAAGGTGGACATATAAATAGCTATCTGGCAGCTTTATATTACGTGCTAAACGAAGCCTCGCCCTTCCCAACAATCCGCAAAACACCGCGCGGTAAAATGATCTCTCTCCAACAAGATTCATATCGCGAGCGCTAATTTAACGCGCCTTTTATTTCTTTTCAATTATTTTAAAAAATTTATATTCAAAATTTATTCCTTGGTATAAAAATTCAATTATTTTTTTATTTCTATTTTATATAAAAAAAAAATTTATATATTTCATTCAATTTAGAATTCGATTTTTTTCTCAAAATTTTCATTTCCTGCAAGAAGAAGGATGAAAAGTGAAAGCGCATATATGTATATATATATATTATATTATAATAATATGGTGGATCGCAGACGAAAATGCGTAAATTTAGAATTTGGGCTTAAAGCCAGATAATTCTCTGCTTCGTGGTGTGAAACGGCCTTTGCTCATTTCATACCCAATATCCCATAAACCACTTCTCACACGATCTACCTTCAATTACCTATCTGGCGTACATCTTCTAAAATGCGTGCTGAGAGGAGGTCTCTAGCTGAGTGAATATCAAATTTATGAGTTACAGTTCCGCAGCGCTTCAATTTTATATATACGCATATATTTCACGAAACGCTTTCTTCATTACAACAATCGCGTGCTTCGATTTGGCAAAAATTGCAATTTTATTTTGATATATCAAAAAAAATTTTTTATTGATCTCCATTTTAATTTAACGGAATTTCTATATGCGAATATTAAATTTATATTTTATCGCGAATTTCTATTTTCAAAAATTAAAATTCTACAAAATGAAAAATATTGTAAAAATTCGGAAAAAATAAAAAAATTTAGAAATTTTTATCCTAATGAATTTTTATTCAGCAAAATTTTTATTTTACCGAATTTATATTTATAGGATAATAGAAATTTTTATTTAACAGGATTTTTTGAATTTAATTCATTTTGAACGAATAATAAAAGTTCTTTTTGAAAATTCAATTATTGCGATATGATTAAAGAAAATCGTTTGCAGATCAAAAAAGAAGAAGAAGAAGAAGAAGAAGTTTGTTTGCAAAAAGAAGAGAATTTATATTTTACCGAATTTATATTTATAATGGAAATTTTTATTTAACAGAATTTTTTGAATTTAAGAATTCTTTTTGAACGAATAATAAAAGTTCTTTTTGAAAATTCAATTATTGCGATATGATTAAAGAAAATCGTTTGCAGATCAAAAAAGAAGAAGAAGAAGAAGAAGAAGAAGAAGAAGGCGAAATTTGTTTGCAAAAAGAAGAGAATTTATATATTTTACCGAATTTTTATTTAACAGAATTTTTTGAATTTAAGAATTCTTTTTGAACGAATAATAAAAGTTCTTTTTGAAAATTAAAGATCATTTATTGCAGATCAAAGAAGAAGAATAAGAAGAAATTTGTTTGCAAAAAAAAAAAGGGAAGGCGTGGTCCAAAAGTTAAAAGTTATAATGAATTAAGAAGGAAATTTGTCTTGTTGTGGAGAAGAGAGTATTAGAGCGATGAGGACTTCTAAAATTGAGCTTTTAGAGAATAAATGTCTTTGGGTAAGAGAGGAGAAAGGACACGGGCATGTGATTACAATGGAGAGGCGTAGACATACGATACTCACGGCTTTATGCTTTCGCCAATGGTCCATGCTTTGGTTCAGGAGAGCCACCCGTTTTACTGGCTCCGCCTACAATCTCCTCTTGCTCTCTTTCCTCTCTCTACCCTTTCATACGCACTAAAATTCATCTCATGATCCTCTCTTTTCTTCTGTGGAAGCTGTGCTCCGTCGAGCGTGGGTGATATGCTCTCTCTCTCTTTCTCTCACCAATACACAAACGTCTCTTGAAAACTAGAGTACTGCGCGCGATATTCATCCTAAAAAATGTTTATTCAATTAGTATTTAATATAATAATTATTATTAATCTTCTAATTATATTACTGTAATTTATATGGGTATATTGATATAATAATAAATTTAAAAATAGATTAATTAAATCATAAAAATCATTAAAAAGGAAACAAATATTTAAATGTTTTAAATTATTCTACATCCGAAATTTAAATATATTAATCTAGTGTATTAATTTTTTTTTATTTAAATTATTAATTTATAGAATTTTAATTTAACCGAATTTTTATTAAAGACAATTTCTATTTAATCGCAAAACTTTTAAATATCGAATATAGAATTTTTATTTTACACAGAATTTCGCCATAAAAAATTATAAATTTAATTTAACATATTTTTTTTAGAATTTCTAGTCGAAATTTAATTTAACGTAATTTTTTTAGAATTTCTAGTCGAAATTTAATTTAACATATAATTTTTTTAGAATTTCTAGTCGAAATTTAATTTAACATAATTTTTTTAGAATTTCTAGTCGAAATTTAATTTAACAGAATTTTGATTCATTGCAGCATTTACATTAAAAAAAATTTGTACTTACATTTAAAAATATCAAAAATATGTCAAAATCTATATAATATATTTGAATAATTAGAAATTTAATTTATGAAAATTCAGTTAAATAGAAATTCGGTTCTATAGAAAATTATAGGCACCATTTTTATTTTGACCCTTTTGAATAAATTTAATCGCACACGATGTTATATTATTGTTTTTGGATCCTAAAAACATAATATATACAAAAGAAAAATCTTAATCTTTGACCATTTTAGAATTTTGTATTTTTTAAAGAAATAAATAAACAAAATTGATGATGAAAAATAATCAAAATTGTAAAAGTATATAGTTAAATATATATATATTTAAGAGGAAAGATTAATGAAATTTAAACTTATTTTTTTCTTTTTGTTAAAAATTAAAATTTTTGAAAATCCATATGAGAAATTCTAAAAAAAATTATTAAAAAAAAAAGATTGTAAAAAAATTGTCGATAAAAAATAGTTCCATTTTGAAAAATCTTAATTTTTGATGTGTATTTAAAAAAAATTAATTTTTTTTTGTTTTTAGGACCCAAATGATACAATAAAAACAAAATATATGCGATCATATTTAAATTTAAAGTGTGTTAAAATAAAAATGGTGCCTCCCCTTAAATATATATATATATATATATATAAATTTTGTTAAATACGAATTTGGTTACAAAAAAATTCTTTAGAATTATAATTATTATATTATAATATCTATTATAAAAATAAAATTGATAAATAAAAAGAAATTGAAAAATAAATCTTCCAGAACATATTAAAAATTAGAAATTAATTAGAAAAAAAAATAACAAATAAATTATATATAATTTAAATATAAATTCTATTTTTTATAATTAGTAATGATTTTTTTTTTCTATACTTGATAAATATTGTCGCTCTTTTCACGGAAGGCGCGTCTAATCATAATATCGTGAATTCTATACTGGCTGACCATTCGTCGAGAGGTTTGCGCGAGATTGTAGACGCGACGCCTCTTGGTTTATATACACGCACATCTCTGCATCTTTAAAAGAGGATCACAAATCTTAAAAGCATATATATATATATATACATGTATAACTCACCCACACTAAAAAGCCTCACAAGAGTGAACTTTCTGTGAGATCGTGGGCCTGGGTCCATGAGTGAGCCCCGCGACGAGATGGAAGACTATAGCCGGAGATTTCTTATTTCTGCTCTGGTAAATCTGTCGTCCCAGTCAGTGAGGCAACGAAGAGCGAGCTGTGCACCAGTGACCGTGTCCACTTTGTTGTTGTCGTTGTTTTTCTTCATTTCTCTGCTTCGTTGCCAACGTCAATTTTATCAATCATCAAAATATATGTCTTCTACCCTTTGATATTTTCATATTTCCAAAAGTCCTGCAAAAGTGTTTTGATTTATTTTTCGTACTGTTATCTTGAATCTTTAATTTTATTAAAATAAAAAATTTTATAATTTATTTTCTTTTTATAATTGAAAAATTGAAATAATGGGACATTATTGTGTTTGAGAATAAAAAAAAAAAAAAAAAAAAAAAACTATATATCCAACGAGAATTAGAAATTTATAAGCAACAAGTGAAATTGAGTTCATGTATATGTAGCCGACGGATCATCTATTTACTTCCCCCATGGATCCTATTGTTTTAGGTGAGTTGTCATTTTTTTTCGATTTATTTTCATTATAATCTTTAATATCTTTTTTTTATTCCATAATTTTTTAAATAAAATTTCTAATTAAATTATATATTTGAATTAAAATATATAATTAAATTTATAAGTATAGGTAATTTTATTTTTATTTTAGCTTTTATTTATCACAATCCTAATTCTTTTTACGATCTTACCCGCACAGTAAAAATCGTATATATTTAATTTTACATTCCAATTGTGTATAAATTCGCGAAAATTTCCAATTAATCTTTGACCTATTAATCCGGGGTTGTCGCGCAAATCACAAAAACATTTATACATTGTATATATATTATTACACAAAATATGAATGCAATGTAATCGTATAATAAATTATTAACATTAATAATTTTTTTTTTTACACCCGCGGTCAATGAATTGGTCATGGATATAGAGAATTAATCAAACACTATCTATATATATATATATTTCGAAAGAATTTAAGCGGGAGTGTTGTGATAAAAGTCCATTCATACCAAAAAAAAAAGAAAAGAAAAAAAGTCGCACGGTCTCGCGCGTCTTTTATATATAATATAAGAACTCTCGCGATAAAGTGAATCAAATTTAACTTATTTTGATAAACAAAAAAAATAGTGACGATATTATGCGCGAGATTGAAATGGTTCATTGGTCCAATTAGTATTTTTTAAAGGTCACATCTGCTCTTTAGGAAAAGAAAAAAAATTTCCAAAAATTTGCTGTAAAAATTTATATAAAAGGAAAAATTAAAAAAAAATTTTTTTTTTTTAATTGTATAAATTAAAAAAAAGAAATTTATAAAATATATTACAGAATGTCAAATTAAAAAAATATTATTTAAAAATATTTAAAGAAAGAAATAAATTTATTCGAAATTGAAAACATTTGAATTATTGACAAAAATATAGAAAAAGAATATTTAAAAAATGAAATAATTTTCCATTTTGACAAAGCAGATGCTAAAATCCCATTGTCAGGCATATATATATATTCATTAGTGTTCAATTAGTAGTGTTTGTCATTTATAAACATTAAATACAGCTTTTAAAATATTCGTTGACAAAGGACTATTCAAATACACTCGGAATTAGCTACCGAAGGGATTTTTCCGTTGTTTCCAATGTCATTTTGCTTTTTTATATACCTTTCTGCTACCTTTTCTTTTCAGTTTGTATATAAGATTTGTTCTCTACCCAAAAGTTTCACATATACCCAAAGATTTTTCCCAACACAAACATTATGTCGAGGAATTTCGATTTTATTTTAATAAATATTTTCTTTTCAAATATTTTGATAAAAATTTACTTACAAAAACTAATTATTATACAAATTTTTCCCCAAAAATTATTAGAAATATTTTTTGAATTTTTTAAATTAAAAAAAAAAGAAGATTTTACGTTATAATTCAGAAAATTAATGAATTATTCTTGATAATCAGATAAAGCATTATTTTTGGCACAAGTATAGGAAAAAAAATTATACTTAATAGTCGAGTATTTTAATTATATATATATATATCAAAAACGATTCTACTCGAGACCTAAATTTCTAAATTAAATGAGGAGATATTCGCCATCATCAAAGGACCGACTGTTAATAAAGATGAACGAAGACGAGAGGATAATTAGTGTTTAGTGGATTATGCACAAGATAAACACTGAATGCATTATAGACATATTCACATTATAAAGCACATGTTCAACTTATATAGTGACTTTGACATCCATCATTCGAACGAAACACGCCCCCAAGTTCCTCATCTCTGCATCTTCAGTTTTTTTTTTTTGCTCTCTATAACTAATTTGAATATCTAGTTTTCCAATATATATTTTCTTTTTATAAAAAATTTATTTAAAATTAAAAATAAACCAAATTTTCCTGAAGCGAAATTTTATTGAACTTAATTATATAATTTTCAATAGAATTAAAATTTTTGTAAAGAAATAAAGTGCAATTTTCGGAAAAATTTTATAAATATAAAAAATAAACTAATAAATTATCTGTTTTGGAGTAATATTATATAGGTTTATTTGTCAGTAGAAATTGAAAGATGAATGATTGAAAGAAAAGAGGGTGAAAATTTTTAAACTTTCTGTGCGGTTAAAAACTATATGAAGCATTTATATATATATATATGTATATAAGGACGTTCGTCTCTTAAGAGTCAAGTTGAGTTGCTTTGGTTAAACACGTGTATTACACGCGTGTAAACTGACTGGCTGTGTCGGTTTCTTTGATCTCAGCCATTCATCACCCGTCGCGAGAAAAAGTCTAATAATATTACGTGCACCCGTTTATTTCTATATATGCAAGAAAACACTCAGGCCAAAGATGAAGAATTATATAGTTTTTCAGTGTAAAAAATCTCATGTAAATAAATTTATCGAACTAGAAAAATTTTACATGACACAAAATTAAATAAATTTTTAATCACGAAAATTTTATTAAATTAAACTAGAAAAAAAAAACTAAAATTCATTAAAATTTCGTTAATGTATTTTCGTAGGGCGATTTATTGTAATTATTATTATTTTTTTTGAAAAAAATTATGTACTCCTTTAAAAACCGCATTTTTTTTATTCGAAATGTCAACGAATCTAATGAGAAAAATTATGACTCTTGTGTGACATATACACGACAGTTAGACATCTAAACAGCTTATTTTTTTTTTGAGGATGATACACTCCATAAATAAAGAAGCTGTCTGAATGGAAGACATAAAAAAAAGACAAGAGAGGATGCACTACATCTTTTACCCTCTATATATGCAAAACGATTGCATATACCCGAAAATACATTAACGATAAATTTTTTTAAATTTTCTCTTATTTTATTCGGTAAAAAAAAATATATTTCCTCCCCAAAATAAAGAAATTAAATTTTTTTCTGATATATATCGAATCATATTTCAAAAAAAAAAAAAAAAACGAAACCCTTTTTTATATATGTCCGTGTTTGAAGAAATTCATAATGAGTTTCGGATTGCATCAAAGGAACGACGACGACGACGACCCTCATTACCATGACATGTGACAAAAAAAAAAATTATTTTTTTCCTCAGAAAAATGAATAGGAGATTATTATTTTACAAGAGACGAAAATTGCACTCTCTTTCTACCAGGAACTTGTTTTATTTCCAAGAATGATAAAAGTGATATAAATTTATTTTTTTGCTCGAAATATTAAATAAATCTTACCGCTTTAATAAGTTATGAAAATTCGGTTTATTTAATTTTTTTTTTTTTTAATTGTAAAAAAGCGAATTTCGAAAAATATGAATATATACGGCTAAAATCGCCATATTAAAAATCGTGGGAGGAAAAAAAAAAGAATTTCTTACCAAACGGCGGTGCGCGCCGTCAATGCAAAAACGCGTCTCCGTCGCTGTCGACGAGAAACACTTCCGAGAATCTCAGACTGCTGGGCTCGCTCTTCTATATGGTTCAATCCTCCTCCATCTCTATTCGACTTTTGGTTTTATCTTATTTGCCGCACGTATATCCGCGGAACGTAGGTATTTATTGCTCTGTTCGTACTTTGCTCAACCCTTGTGACAAATTGCCTTAAAACTTTTAAGCGCGGGTATATCCTATAAAAGAAAAAATAAAATGCAAAAAAAAAAGAATGATTTACTCACAGAAAAAAAAAAATATTCCTCTTACCTTTTTGCGCAAAGATATATATAAAAATAAGTCCGGAAATTTCAATCCAATTTGTGCATTTTCGCAAATTTTGACTCCGTTAATTTTTGAATTATTTCTAAAATATTTCGATTCAATATAATTTTGATATATATCTATATAAGAACTTCCACAATTTTCAAAGTGTATTAATTTCGATTCCGGAAATTTTAGAATTGTTTCCAATGTTATCAGTGAACTTCCACAAATTTTCAAAACGTTCGTAAATTTTTATTCCGTAAATTTTTGAATTGTTTCTAAAATATTACGATTCAAAAATTTGTTATTTGAATTTTCACAAATTTTCAAGGCGTTTGCAAATATTAATTCTGAAAATTTTAACTTTCCAAATATTTCGATTTAAAAATTTTATGCCAGGAAGATAGAAAAATTTTCATATTGTTGTGCGTTAAAATTTTGTTCCAAAAAATAGTTTCGAATATATAGAGCGTCCAAAAAATTCCATATTACCTGGAAAATAAAATTTTACCTTTTAATATATTTATTTTCCCTTAATTTTTGTTTCCTCTTTTACAATAATTAAAAAATAGAATTTATCATGGATTTCTTTAGAAATTATTTCCATTTAAAAAAAAATGCGTGAATTCAATTTAAATTCAAATTGAAATTTACCAAACGGATATATTACACTATTAGCATTCCGCACGTTTCGGCTTTCGAATCAAAAGTGGCAGGAGACCAAGAATTTCTGTTCCATGCACTTTAGCGCGACTCGCTCTTTCATATACTGGTTGCAATTTCCCTTGGAAAATTTATTGCGTGCAGAAATCGAGAACGAGAATGGAATGAAGTAGATTCTGCTATAAATATAAATTCATCAATATTAATCAAAAAAAAATTTTCCAACATTGTTTTACAAATTCAATGATGAAAATTGAAATTCGATTTTGAAAATCAAAAAAATTAATTAGTTTTTTCGAATGAATTTTGAAAAAAACAATTCCTATTATAATAGTTGTTGCGGCGAGTACAATTACAAATAGAAAGGGAAAAAGAGAGAGAGAGAGAGAATGAGACAGCGTAACAGACAGGCCAAGTGGTTCATGTTCGCAACTATAGAGAGATACGCTACACTTATTTGTCAGTTAGCGAAGAAGATGAGGGAAAAACTCCTCGAGAGTCTCAGCAAGACCGTATCTATGGCTACGCATTCCGCGATGAGAGCCTGCTAAATGATGCGTATTTGAAATCGCAATGACGTCGTGTCGGCCCTTTATACAATATCCATCTATTCTCCGCAATGTTTATAATTAAATTCATCAAAAGGAATTTCCAAAATTCATTTAAATATTTATTAAATTGTTTCTAATTTTCAGAAAACAATACAAGCGGAATTGGAGGCCAACAACAAAATCAACAACAACAACAACAATATGGAGAGGTAAATCAATTAGGCGGTGTATTTGTAAATGGACGACCATTACCAAATGCGGTACGATTAAGAATAGTTGAATTGGCACAACTTGGAATAAGACCATGTGATATATCAAGACAATTGCGAGTTAGTCATGGTTGTGTGAGTAAAATTCTTGCACGTTATCATGAAACTGGAAGTATATTACCAGGTGCAATTGGTGGCAGTAAACCACGTGTAACAACACCAAAAGTTGTTCAATATATAAAACAATTGAAATCAAAAGATCCAGGAATATTTGCATGGGAAATAAGAGATCGTTTACTATCGGATGGTATTTGTGACAAATATAATGTACCATCAGTATCAAGTATATCAAGAATATTGAGAAATAAAGTAGGCGCTGCTGCTGCTGTTGCTGCCGCCGCCGCCGCAATTCATCATCATCCAGCGCATCATCATCATCATCATCATCATCTTTATGCAGCGGCAGCCGCTGCTGGTGCTGCATTATGTCCTGTTCCATATCCAACTTCTTATCACACTGCATCGCCTTCGGTTACACATCATCATCATCATCATCCAGGTGAGTTAATTCTTTTTTTTCTAAATCTATTCTTAAAAATTATTTAATAAAAAATTTCAAATACCTTTTATTTTTCCCAAAGAAGTCCGAATAAATCAATTTACTTTTTTCTCCTCTGTGACAATTTTTCCCAATTCATTTCTAGTTGGACTTACAGCAACAGGAAATAAACTCTCAACACCTCCATCACCATCGACGACATCGTCAATTTCCAATCAAAATTACGGAGTCCATTGGCCAAGTTCACATTCTGTTCACGATATTCTCTCATCATCGGTTCCAATAATTTCCAATTCCACAGCATCATCATCTTCTTCTGCTCTTTGTCCTGTAAATAATAATAATAATAATAATCACCATAATAATAATAATAATAATCATCTTCATAATAATAACAGTAGTGGTAGCAGTAGCGTTGCGAGTAATAATGATGAATCTCCATCTAGTAATTATTATCATCATCATCATCAACAGTATTACGCGTCTGCACTTTATCATCATCATCATCATCGCGATCATGTCCCTTCAAATACTGCTCAATCAATGATACAGGCAACTAATTTAAGTCAACCCGCGAGTCCTTGTAATTAAAAAATTTTTTTTTTAATATTTCGATTATTTTGATAAATCGCAGTATTTTCATTTAGGAATTATTATTATTTTTTCCAATAGATTTTAACCAAAGATTAATTTTTAGTTAAAAGAAAAATAAAATTTTTTATTCTTTTTTATAATTTATTTTGTGTATGATCATAATATATGTAAATAAAGTTAATTTTCCTAACAATGTGGACGTTAATAAATATACATTGAAAAAGTTTATTTTATTAGAAATTATATATCTCTATCTCACTTCTAAATATCCCAAATAACTGATGAGAGAGAGAGAGAGCGCAGAAAATAATTCGTTTAAGCAATTTCAGCGCCAAGGTAGTTGGTCCAAATTCAAAATGCAATTTTCAGAAAATACGTTTTTCTTTGGCCAAATTTCAAAATTAAAGAATTGATGATGATATAGAAAGTGTGTGTGTGTGTTTTGTAACTTCACTCATGCATTAAATTGAAAACTTAAAACTCACTCATCGATCACATATATAATATATATATATTTATGAAACGGAAGTGTTTGACAAAAACCTAATTGCTTTTACGATGAAAAATTTTGTCATTAAAAATCTCTGTTTTCATCTCAAAACGTTATACAAAGTTTTCAATTTAACGTCAATCAAATTAAATAAATTTCTATTTTTATTCTATACTCGTGAAATGAAAAAATTCTATAATTGAAAAAAACAATTTGTTCGAAATAATTTTTAAGCATTGATATATAAAGAAAATTAAATTTGTAAATATTGATTATAAAATAAATGGAAATTATATAATTCAAATCCATTTTGCAAATAATTGAACGAATTATAAATTAAGAACTTATAATTATACTATAGTGATTTAAGAAAATTTCAATGTACGACAAAATGTATATATATATTATGTATATAAAATTATATATTACTAAATTTAAGAAAAAAAGTGCCTTTAAAGAAATAGTGATATTTATTTTGGCAGTGAGAGACACACTTTAAAATATAAATTGAATAAATGTTTTTTCACAATTTAAAATAAAAACTCTTGTTTATTTATACCTTTTGAAAAGAAAAGAATATAATTTTTATAGAAAAATCTATTTTTCCTCGTCTTTTTTAAAAAAGATAATTGAAATATTAATTAAATTTTTATTTGTTTGTTTCATTAACTATATTTAATTTCAAGTTAAACAGATGTACTAAAAAAGTGTTGTAAAAGCATATGTGGTTTGTAATAAGGACGTGGTTGCGGCGCGCCAAGCCGTCCCTTTGAAATACGAATATTCCTTCAAACTCCGCCCTAAGATTCTCTATCACATATTATATAGTTTTGCGCTCAAAGAAAAGGCAAAAGGCTATATACACTAGTAAAAGTGTATAACTCAGAAATTTATATATATATATACTTGTTTTCATTGAAACATCGTTTCGGCTTTCTTTAAAATACAATACTTGAGAAACAAATATAAAAAAAAAAAAAATTACTAAAACTTTCTATTACAATATATAATTACAAGAAAAAATAATTTGAAAAAATATTAAACAACTTACGTAAATAGAAAAAAAAAATATTCTTCTGGATTATATATTAATTTTCCAAATTTCATTTTGTTTATTTTGATTTTCATTATTTTTTGGTTCGTCCTTTTTTTCTATATAATTTCTGTTGATGATTTTTTTTTCTCAATCAATTTTTTTAAATTTCTATTTGATATTTTCCTCTCGGTCCTTCTCCAGTTATCCTGCGAAAATTTAGCTGAATTACTTTTTTGTTTTATAAAATATATATTTGTAAATTCGAACTGAAATTAATTGAAAAATTTTAATTTCTTTAAAATTACGAATATTTTAATTAATTTACTAACAAAATTAAACGCGCGTAAGCGCGCCAAATTGAGTATTTAATTGTTTGTTATAAAAAAATTAAAGATTAATATTATCAATAATAATTTAATTTATTTTAATTTAATAATGAATTTATCCCTTGGTGTAATGAATAGTAAGGAAAAAAATTTAACAATCCATCCAAGTCAAGTAGTCAATAATTTAATTTATTAGAATATTATTACATATTAAATAATAATAATGAAAATTATATGTTTACAGGCCTCGGATTATACGACTTTTTCCGACTTTTATCGACTTATTTTAATAAAATGCGATATTTTTTTTTTCCATTTGAAAAAAAATGTAAATAAAATACCTTTTTTTAGTATAAAATGTAGATCTTCTTCAGATCTTCTTCAATTCAATTATTTAACAAATTTTGAACTAAAATGATTCTTCACTAAATTAATTATTTTTAATAATTTTAATGAAATACATCACAAATTCAATTATATCAAAATTATTTTTCAATTAAAATTTTTATCAAATTTAACAATTGTTTATAATTTTAAAAAAAATATATCACAATAAAATGGAATTATTTTTTAAAAATTTCAATTCAAAATAAACATTATTACCCGAAATTTTAATTTAAAATCAATTAAAATCCAATAATTATCCAAAATTTTCAATTTAAAATTTAATTATTTACCAAGTTTTCAATTCAAAATGAAATAAAATTCAATTATTTTCTAAAATTTCTATATTCAAAATTAATTATTCAAATTTTCAATCAAAAATGAACTTAAATTAAATTATTATCCAAAATTTCAATTAAAATTCTATTATTTCCCAAAAATTTTCAATTTAAAATCAAATAAAATTTCATTATTCTCAAAAATTTGAATTCAAAATTAATTGAATTTTCAATAATTTGAATTTAAACTAAAATTTAATTATTTCTAAAATTTTTTTTTGAAATTTAATAATTTCAATTATAACTAAGGAAATTCAATTATTTTTAACTATTTTAATAATATTCTTTGAAAATTCAACTATCTGAAACCATTTTTCAATTAAAAATGATTTTCAAATTATTTTATTTTGTCCGCATTTTTTTAAAATTTTTTAGTGAAATCATCTAAAATTTTAATTACAAAACACTTAAAGTTTCAATTAATTTCAAAAATCTCAATTTTAAATCTTTGAAAATTCAATTAAATTTAAAAAATGTTTTCCAAAAATTGTTTGATAAATTATTTTTACTTCTGTAAAATTTAATAATTGTTTGAAAATTAACAATATCTTTTGAAATTTAATTATTTCTAAAAATTTCAACTTTAACCCTTCGAAAAGGATTAGTAAAAAAAAAAAAAAAATTTTATTTAAAAATCTGTAAAATATTTTTCTTAAAATAAAAAACAAATCCACTTTTTTTGGAATATAAATCGACTAAAACGACTTTTTTGTGTCTTTAAGTTGATTCGAGGCCTGTGTTTTTATAATTAATATTTAATAGATATTCGTTGGCCCCACCTTAAAAATTAATTTTTAAAAATAAATTTTTTTCAAATTACTATCTTGTACGAAATTTCCTCGCGCATCTTTTTTCTCATCATAAATTTTTTTTGTTTTTGTATACAATTTTTGATTCAATTTACAAATTTAAAAAAAATTTCGTTGGTAAACGTTGCGAGTACTTCAGCTTCGTGAATTGAATTTTCGAATTTGAAATTTTAAAGAAACTTATTCCGAAATTTGGAAACACAATTATAAAACTTTGCCAAAAATGAGAAAAAGAATTCTATTTTCCCTTATTGTTTTTAAATTACCAATTATTCTTTTGCAATAATGGTGGAAAATTTCCTCTAATTATTCACCGCAGGTAGATAAAAAAAAAAAAAAAAAAAGGAAAATTATTTTTCCCAAACGTTCTAGTCTGCTGGTAAGGCCTGTAAATTTATGTAATTTGTTAGACGCAGCACACGCGACGTTTGTTTTTGACCCGCGCGCACTTCGTTTCTGCGGATGTGCTCCGGTCAATTAGTTCGCGTGCAGTGATGAAGAAGTGGCAATAAATCAACGACTGAATAAACCCATTGCCGAAAATTTAAAACAAAGTCTTGATTATTGGAGAAAATTCCAAATATTTGTTTTATATAAAAAAAAAAGAAAAACAAATTTTCATCAAATAGCTACAATTTTTTTTTAATTTGTATTTTTTTCTAAATTGCGGTAAAAATATAAAAATTATAAAATTAATAAAATAATTGAAAACAGTATAAAAATTCAGAAAAATATAAAGAAAAAAAGAAAGTTTAAATTTTAAAATAATTTACACCTACCGTGAATTTTGCATCTTTCTTCTCTTTCTCTGGTATATATAATATCTAAATGTGACATTCGCGAACCGCGAGAGAATATGGACAGGGGCGTTCCGCCATGCAAACTTGGAATATACCTAATGTGTCTCTTCTTGGTCGTTTGGCTTCTCTCCGAAATCCCTTTTCTTAGTTTTGCGCTTCTTCTTCGTCGCTACGAAAAGAAAAGGAGGAAATAGATTAAAACCCAACCCTTTCATTGCGGTGGTGTAGTAAAGCATATAAAGAGCATCTGCTTTCAAAACTCTCTCTGGTGGATATACGCTATCTGACAAGAGAAAGAGAGACACGCCGACGTTGTGTCGACATGAATATATATACATTGCGGGGTCTCATGAAGCTATTTGTACCATTCGCAATACGAAAGGAGGAACATTATTTGAAATGTACAAGAGGTGAAGGCAAAAATAAAAAATTAAAATCCAGAAGCGTAATTATATATACACCTACTTCCTTTTTGCCAAATGTAATTAGTTTCATAGAATATCAAATTTTTTATAAACAAAAAATTATTTACACGAACATAACCTCACTCAAGAAAAAAAAAAAAATATTATCAAAATTGCCGAAGAAAAAAAAGAGTTAATTACCACGTTTCTGCGGAGACAATTAAATATTATAAAATATTACACTTCGTTGATAGAAACTTCTTTCTTCAATAAAATTCTTTTTATAACAATAGGGCAATATGGCGGTAAAATCTCGTTATTACAAAGTTAATATAGATTTCAAGGTTGTGTGAAAAATAAAGGAAATATTTTTCATTGGTTTAGTTAAAAAGTTGCAACCAATCAGAAATAGTTAATAAATTTTTGGACATTTTTTGTTAATGGCTCTATTTGGCGCTAAATTGGGTATTTTTCTACTTCCGGTTATAAACAGTCGTAGTGTATTTTTCTATAATAAAAGTAAATAAATAAATATTAAATGTGATTTAAGGAATATTTTAACAGTTTCTTGAGAGATTCTCGATTATATTCGCTTTATTCTACAAATGCAGAAGGTTTGTAAATCAATTTTAATATATTTGCAATAACATAACCAACAATATTTTTCTAAACTTTTACTTTTGTTTAATATTTTCTATAAAATATTCGATAAAAATGTTTTTTTTATTACTAATGTTAAAAATATTCAATTGAGAATTCCAAATTTGTAATTTTTGTTCCAAGAATTAGTGTCAATATTTTTTGCAGCTTTTTTTTTGGGGAAATTTTTACAAAGATGTGTAAGCCTTTGAAATCGCCGCAAGGTAATCAGTGAAGAATTTTGACAATACAAGGTAAGTTTTAATTTATTATATGTCTACTTTTTGATATCAAATATTTCCCTAGAATTTTTCTTCTTTTTAATTAAAATAAATAGAAACAAGTATTTTAAAATAGAAATTTTAAAAAAGCGACTTTTTTTTATCTAATTTACAAAATTTGGTTTTTTAATATATATAGATATATATGTATATATATCTATAGAAGAGAAATGTTTCTAATATTTTGAGAAAATGCAAGAGAGGCGCATCGAGGCGAAGCGATGCGCGATATCAGTTGCAAGGGGTCGCCGCCACTACAAGTGTATCCTACTCTTTCGTGCGATAACCCACAGATAACCCAATCTCCCTAAATATTTTACATATAGTACGTTTTTATTAACACTTGACACTCTTTTTAGACACTCCCTGTTTTATACTCTATAATTTATATTCTTCATTGAAAATTTTATTCAAAAAGTATGATATAAAAATTAATTTTTTTTTATAACAATTTACATTTTTACATATTATAATTACATTTTACAAAAAAGAATTTTCTTTTTAAATATTAACAAATAAATATATAAATTTTTATTTTGATGAAAAAAAAATTTAATATTTAATTAATTATATTTAAAAAAAAAAAAGAAAATATTCAAGGCTATTAAGAACGTGAATTTACGATCATTACTCTTTTTCTTTTTTTTAAAAAAAGCAAAGTTTTATTTATTTAGCTGTCGACCGATTTAATTAAAGATTCGTCGAATGGCGCCACTTCATTGGAGACCAGAATGTGTTGTAGTTTTATTACTTCGCATGACTCCTCCCAGAAGTTTGTATGTATTCACTTCTTACAAAATCGTCTATATAAACTCTTAAAAAAAAAAAAAACACTAAAATACCCTTTTTTAAAATAAAATTTTCCCCAAAAAGAATTATAATTTAAGAAAATAAAAAAAAAAAAAAAAAGTAATAAAATAAAAAAATTTTTTAAAATTATCAAATAACTTGGAAATTAATTTTAAATAAAAAAAAAATGAAAGGGAAATATTTAAAATAGAAAAAATTAAGGTTAAATGAATTTATTACGGAAGTTTGAGATTTACAATAAAATTTTTTATAAAATATCTAGATAACCTTGTCATAGTAACTAAAAAAACAGAATGTAAATGAGTATTATAAATTTAATTTTCGTTGATCCCAATTTTTTTTTTGAATTTAAATTAATCCTGCTTTTTTTAAAAAAAAGGGAAACTTAATTTTCATATTGATATTTAAATTATTCAGTAATTTGTAATACGTGTGTTATTCTATTTTCAACAAAAGCAGAAAATATTTCACAGTTATGGATTTTAGCTCCAATATACATTTTATATATCCCTCACAGGTACATAAATAATTTTTTTCAACTTTTTTTGTTTCTCTCAACTAGAAGAAACCAAGTTCTAATAAACATAATACAAAATTTTTTTTCCATTATTCTAATGAATTCAACATTAATAATTGTTTAAGAACTTTGGTTTGACTGGTTTCTCTAATTTCTCCAGCTAAAAACATTTCATCAACCACCGTATAAACCTAAAAAAACAAAATAATAATTAATATCTGTTAATTAAATTCACTAAAAATTGAAAAATTATGCTGAAAATTACCTTGTAAAAATTAAATACTAAATCCAATTCACAAACATTGTGAAAATATTCATTTAGGACTTCAACAAAATTATGAATTGCTTCTAAGTAACACAAATTATTGTCATTAACATCGACACATATACAAAAGTATAAGCCAGCATACCGTCTGTACACAATTTTAAAATTACGGAACTGAAAGAAAAAAAAAATAATATTTTGATTAATTTAAAAAAAAAATAATACAAAATCAATTATTCAAATAAACACTTAAAAAACAGAGAAACTAACCTCAACAAAATTTGTATGTTTTGCATCTCTAACTGTAACAACTGCATGAACTTCTTCTATTAATTTTTGTTTTTCATCATCATCGAAATTCATGTACCATTTTGCTAATCTTGTTTTTCCAGCTCTATTTTGAATAAGAATAAAACGAATCTGAAAGAATTTTTTTATTACTTTTAGATTTCACTATTTTTTTTTTTTTTTTTTTTTTAATTCAACATAAAAAGAAAGTAAAGATAGAGGAGAAAAAAATATAAATGATATTGAAAATACTTTCTTTTCTTAACTAACAATATTTAATTATAAATAATTAATTTATTATTGAGAAAATAAATGAGCATCAAAATGCATTATTTGGTCAAAAATCAATGTTAAGTGACATAGGTTTAAAATTTATATTTTTATCATAAAAAAAATTACTTACCATTATTTTTAATATTTGAATAACTGATTAATGTATAAATTATAATATTATTTTTATATTTGGAAAAATATTAAACACCAAAAGCGAAACGTCAAAAATCCGCCCACCCTCCATATGCTGTGAAGTGTGTTGTCAAACACAGTTTGTCAATTATCGATTATCGATACTATAATATCGAAAATTGCATATAGCCTACTTCACACCAAGCAAAAATTAGATTTCTACTTTTATTTTCTAATTGTTTTTTCTCTTTTATCGTTTATTTAATTTATTATTTTTCCTTATTTTTGCATATATTTTTGATATTTTCAACATTGCTTTTATTTAATTATAAAAAAAAGAAATTGTTTTTAACTTGAATTTTCCCGCAACATTGTGCTCGCAAGCCGTGGACAATTTTATCCATCCAATTGGATTTCGTGAAATTTTTTTTTTTGTTTTCACATTTTATCAAATATTAGAGAAATTATTAAGTAAAAGTGAAAAATATTTAGGAAAATTGTAATTTTCTTCTATATTGTAATGTTTTTTTTTATATTTGAAGTGACTTTTTTTTTGCGTGATTATCAAAAGTGAAAAAAAAAACAAGTTGGCAGCATTGTTTTCTGAACATCATGTTTCCGCTTTGTGTTGTCGCTCTTTCACAAGTCGAAAATGGCGGATCAGGTATGTTGCTTATAATATTCTTTAAAAAATAATTATTATTTAGAATTTTTATCTAAAATATAAATGCAATATAGTTAATTTAATAATGTCTAATGTTAATTAACATCAAGTGGTTTCTAAAAACATACTATTTTCCATGAAAGTCTCTTATTTTGTTGATATGCACATTGACGCTATCGTTTTAACACGTGTTACAAAGTTTCTTGTATAATAAAATAAGTGTTAATAATATAAAAATATTATCGAAAAATCATCTCCTGAAAGTGTTAGTGAAAATATTTTTTTTTTGACCTAGTGCTAAAATGATTTCAATCTAGAAAATTTTTTCTACCTTTGACGTCTTGTCTACCTAACCTCAAAAAATTTTTTTTCACATTTTATATCTAATAAAATTTTGGGTTCTTTACTGTAATTCATTTAAGTATTGAGAAAAAATGTTTGATTTGAAACTGAATTCTATTTCCGTTAGAAAAAAAAGAAAATAATTTTTTTTGCATTTTATTTTAATCATTTTTTTTTTTTTTAATTTGCAGAACGTAAAGTCGTTCCAGAAGCAACCAACTGTTTTCCTGAACCGAAAAAAAGGTCAGGGACAAAAAAGTCGCAAATCCTTGCGTTACACGAGAAATGTTGGTCTTGGATTCAAAACACCTCGTGATGTGAGTAAAATTATTATTATTATTTTGTTTTTAATATATATTTCTATTTCTTTTGAATGTTTTTAAAACAAATAATTTTGTGATGATATTGACGACGGTCTTCTGAAAATAATATGAAGTCTCTAATCGTCTACTGAAAGAATTGTTAATTAAATTATTTTTAATTAAATTTAAATCGTAAAATATAATTTTTTTGATGAATTTTAAATTACTTTTGTTTTTTTTTCAAGGCGATTGATGGAACCTACATTGACAAGAAATGTCCATTTACCGGAAATGTAGCGATTCGAGGACGCATTCTCACTGGAGTTGTTCAGAAAATGAAAATGCAGAGAACAATTGTCATTAGACGGGATTACTTACACTATGTAAGAAAATATAATCGTTTTGAGAAGCGTCACAGAAATATGAGTGTACATCTCAGTCCATGCTTTAGGTATGTGAATAATTAAACATTTTCTTTTTTTTTATTTTAAATATCAACAAAGAAGAATTTTTATTTTAATTTCAAAGAAGAATATATCATTTATTTTGTATGAAGAATTTTTTTTTTTCTTTTCTCACTTTTTTTGAATCAAGAATTTTGAAAAAGAAAATTTGTGATGATACTGACGACGGTCTTCTGAAAAATAATAATATGAAGTCTCTAATCGTCTACTGAATGAAATGTTAAGTATTTTTATTTTATTTTTATAAAGGAGAATTTTAATTAAATTTTTTTTTATATAAATTTGGTATTTTTGAATTATTTTTGAATTAAAAATTTTTCCAGAGATGTTGAAATTGGAGACATTGTGACTATTGGAGAATGCAGGCCTTTAAGTAAAACCGTAAGATTCAACGTTCTTAAGGTTTCAAAGGGAACTGGATCCAAGAAAAGCTTCAGAAAATTCTAGGTATATTAAATTTTTCATATAAATTTTAAAAAAATAATAATTTTATGGAAAAATCTTTTTTTTTTTAATTTTCATGATGAATTTGACGACGGTCTTCTGAATGTAAATTGAAGTCATCATTATCGTCTACTGAAATTTTTATTTAAATCTAAAATAAAATTATTGATATTTATATTGGTTATTAATAAATTAAATTTTTGTTGCAGATAAAAAGATGGATGCATCTTGAAAATTTCTAGGTAAGAATTTTGCTTTCTAATTTCAACAAGTTTTGTTATTTTTTAATATTTTAATAAAAATTTTGAATTAATTTTCATTTTTTTTATGATGAGATTGACGACGGTCTTCTGACAATAAAAATTGAAAGACAAATTCGTCGACTGATTTAAATATTTATTTTCTTTTTTTTTTATTAATAAAGTAAATTAATTTTTTTCAATTAAAAAATTTTTTATTTCATTTGTTACAGATATCAAGATCCTGAAAGGTTGGACGTTTATCGACTAAAATTATATTAAGTCAATGTTTTACCATCATTATATTGTAAAATGTTTTTAACGCAAAACTAAGATCAGATGCGTTTGAAAAATAAATTCATTTAAATAAAAAAAAAATTTAATCTGTTTTGTTAATTCAATTAGTTTATTTTGACATTCTTATACCCATTTTTTTTATGAAAGAATATTTAATAAAATAATATTAAAACATATATAAAATATACGTTTTTTAAAATAAATAATTTTTTTTTTTTCTGAATATAGTTTATTTTCATTGTCTAAAAAAAAGTTCAATTCACAAGTTTCTTTATTTTCTCATATTTTTGGAATTGTTTTTTCTTCGTTCTTAATGTTTATTATATTTTGTTTTTAGCATCAATATCTTTTTTATTTCGCTTTAAAATTTTTTGAGACAATGAATGTTTGTCTTTGTCGTAATTGTATTCTTTGCGATAAAGCCAGGGTCTGAAATTATAATTAAAAATATTGAATATTTTTTTTTGGTTTTTATATTACTTTATTAGAAATTATTTTCTAAATTTAAATACTTACGAATTTTCAATTAATTCGTTTTTATTAGAATTTGAAATTTTTGTTCTAGATAATGATTGATCGGGCAAGGAATTTTTATCCAATGGCAAATCTTCCCAATAATCTGGATCTACGCGCTTGTGAATTGAGTGAGTATATTTTTTTGGATACCAATTCTTCCCATAACTTTTTCCATCGGCCTTAAAATCGAAAAGAACAAAATAATAATTTTTTTAAAATTACATTTGACATAATTAAATCGAAAGAAAATGGAAATATCAAATATTTTTTCAAAGTGATTAAATTAATATTTATTTCATTTAATTTACAAATGTCAATTAAATTTCACAATGAGATAATTTCTATTGAAATATTTTTTGTAAGGAATTTTTTTTGCACATGAACTGTTTTTTTTTTGAATTAAAAAATGAATTTAATTATTATTTTAAAAATTTGTTGTATACTTACAAATACAAAAATAGCCGAGCACAGCAAAACTATTTTGACAGAGAACATTTCTCGAAGTGAACTCTGAATGTCGCACAAGTGTTCTGAATACTCCTTTTCTTTTTTTTTTTTTTTTTTCGCTTTATAGTCGTTTGTTCTTAAATTACAAACCGGTGACTAACAGCGTTTCAAATTAGAAAATTATTTATCAAATCTATTCACAATCGTTTATTTCCTTATGAAATAAAAACATAATCGAGAAAGTTTTGAAAAATAATGATTGAAAATGAATAGAAGCTTATCGTTTAGCGTTTGACTCATTGTCAAACAATAATGAATAAAAAGAAAACTAAAATTTTAATAATAATAATTATTATTAAGGAAATTTTTTAAATTCAAAAAGGCAATTAAAATTTTCTGAAAATATATTTTTTATTTTCACTCTTATCACTTTTTAATTATTTTAGTTTTTAACTGGACAATTTATATATATATATATATACTTTTTTTTTCATTTAAATAATTATTTTCAAACGTGCGTCAATTAACAAATTGAAACGATGATTATTTGAGATTCCTTAGAAAAATGATTATTTTATTTATTACAATTTTTTTCTGTTAACGAATTTGGCACTTATTATAATAATAATATTCGTTATAAACGTTTCTTAATTTCTATAAAAAAAAAAGAATAACAATTATCTATTAAAAAAATAATAAACATTGCATTAAATCTTAATTAATGGAAGCACTTTATGTTTCTAAAGGCATTTCTTTGTTTTAAACAAAATTGTTTTGCTATAACAATAAAATTAACGAATTATTATTTAAATGCGGTACAAAATTTTAAATATTAATTAATATTTAAACATTATTGGTTAATATTTAAAATAGAGTAACTAGTTTTATGGAATTAATATTAATATAAAAAAAAAAAATTTATATAACATAAAAACATCAAGTAATTTAAAATAATTTAATTCATTAACTTTGCGTAAAGAAAAACAAGAACAATAAAAACTGTCGAATTACTTTAAATTCAGGCACTTAAAGGCACGCAGATTAAATTTATTAATATCATTTTTTCTTTTTTTCCTCAATGGAAAAAATTGAGCTTAAAGTTACTCTTAATAAATCTTCCACTATCTTTATTATTTAAAAAAGTCAACGAGGCTAAAATTTAACTAATGAAAAATAAATCGATGTCAACTTTTTAAAAAAATGATAAAATATCATTTGCACGAAATTTTATCTGAAATTGCTATTTAAATAAGTTAAATAGACAAAAATTCGAATAAATTAATTTCTATATGTTAAATGTAAATAACATTTAATAAATTTGCTCCAAAAAAAAAATATCAATGCAAATCGAGACCAAATTACTACCGAGATTAATTATTATTATTATTATTATTATCATCGATGTTAAGACTTATTGGCTTTAGGTGTATTTTCTATAGTATGATGTTTCATTATATAAAATATATAAATTGGAACTCCAATCCAAATAAGAAGGGAAATTCCAATAACGTGAAACCATGTTAAACCCCAATCGGCGCCTGAACATGAGAAAAAAGTTCTATTCAAATTATTATCATGATTAATTTCACGTTCAGAAGAATTTAATAAAGTTGAATTGCTATTAGTGCTTTCTTCATTTATATCAGTTTGACTAATTGGTTCAATAATTGAATTTAATATAATATTATTAATTTCAGAATTTTTTACAACTTTCATAGGTGTTGTTATTAAATTTAAAATTTGTTCCTCCTTTAATGTTGATGATTTTTCTGTTTCAATAATATTATTGCTATCATTGTTTTGTATATTATTAATATTTTCTGTTAAAAAAGAAAATGGTTGAACTGGCACTTTTATCACTTGACGAGCAAATATTTCATTTTCCTTATGAATATTGTTCACTCGTTTTATTTCCGATATCTGTAAATTAAAAAATTTTGTTTAAAAAAAAAGAATTTAAGTTTTTGCAGAAAAACATATTTAATTACAAAAAAAAAATAAATAAATTGAATACTTACAGTACATCCGTATCTTAATGCAAGGGCTTGTAAAGTATCTTCAGATTGTATTTCAACTTTTATAACTTCCACTTTACGTGGTGCATGTGAATGATTTCGATTTTCTAATAGAATATTTTCCTCATCATCACTACATTCATCGTCGGAATATAAAAATACATAATGTGGAGATGCATCTCTTTGATTTCCTCGTTGATAAACTGACGTTCTATATTTTCAGGAAAATTATTATCAAATATTAAATAAAAAAAATTATAATTAAAGTATTCTGACAAAAAAAAAATGTATTTAGATGCGTTAATCTTTTTGCAAAAAGAAAAATTGAAACAATTATTTAGAAAAAAAAACAGATAAATAAATATAATTCGATAATAAAATCGAAAAAAAGTAAACAAAATTATAATATAGAATATTTCAATTAGAAATAACATATGGAAAACAATAATTCATTTTTAAGGAAAGTTCTTACTAAATAATTCTTATCATAATATAACAAAGAATTAAAATATGTTATTTTTTCTTAAAAGGTCAGAACTGTCAAAGAATGACACCTAACCTAATTTCATATAATTACCTTCCTGATTTATGTCGATCATTTATTGTTTTCTTAAACATTTTTTTAAATATAACATGGCAAAATTAAAACTCACTTTATAAAAGTTGTCATTTCACAATACACTGGATGGAATTTAATTATTAATAATCTACTATATTTATACGCATTAATTTTTATTATTTTGCCACGCTTGAATTAAATTCCCGGAAAACAGCTGCTGGCGTATGAAATTGCTTGCGCTTTGTGTCAAGTTAGGTTGGTACTAAAAATCGTTCCCTTTAAAACGAAAACACAACTTTTGTTATAAAATTGTTTCTTTATTATAGTGTAATATATAAATAATTATCAAAATGATGAAATATGAAGGAAACGAGAAATTAAAAGATCAAACAAAATGTTCTGTATTTCGAGCTAATTTAAAAATGTGTTTACTCGAAAGTGAATGCTGCAAAGTTGTAAGTTGACACATAACCTATATATTTTTTTTTTTTTACTATTAAATAACTATCAATTTTAATGTTTTTAAAATTATTTTATAATGACAAATCGAGAAATACTTTCGTTGTTCTATTTTGAATTATTATTTTAAAATTTTTCTATCGAAATAAATGATTGAAAGAAAGGAATATAAAAAATCAAATTTTTTCGTCATTGTTTTTAATTTAAAAAAAAAACATTAAGTTAACATTAGATTCTAAATTTAGGAAAAGAATTAAAAATATCAAATATTTTTTTTAGCACAAAATTACACCAAAAGAATGTCTTCGTTCTCATCCTGATCTCGTTCCAAATGAATGTTTTGCTTTTCGAAATGGTTTTTACGAATGCAAACGTAGTCTCGTAAGTTCGAATTTCTATATCGAATTTTCTTTATTTTCTTTTTAATGTAAGAAAATTCTGATTAAGGATCTATTTATTTTTGTAGATCGATAATAGGAGAAGATTCAGAGGAATTAAGGGACATGAGGATAAAATATCTTAAATTATATTTAGTAAAGGGTATATTCTTTTTTTTTTGAGAAATAAGTTAAATATTTTTAGAGTACTTTATTTTTTTTTTTAATTCGTATGTATATAAAAATGTAGAAATTTGTTGGAAAGAGAAAACGCAAATAATACATTGTCAGAATACTTTTATTATTGTTTTTTCTCTCATTCGTTGTACACATGACTTAATAAATTATCGAATCAAGTAAGTTTCTTCTATATTTTACATAGTTTTGTTCCTAGAATTCTTATGTAGAATTGTAAAATTTGCTTTTATTTTGCATTTGGAAATTTTAAGAAAAATTTTTTTTTCGTATTTTTCGTTTGAAGAATAAAAAGGCGAAGCAACAATTTCAAACGCCTAAGTTTTTTTTTTTTTTTGTGATAAAACTTTGAATGGAAATCACAGTTTTGGTTTTATATTGGAAATGTAAATGTGAAAGAATTGAATAAAAATATGTTTGTATTTCTTGTTTTTTAAAAAATAATATAGAAAATTAATATTTATTTTTAAGAAAATATATTTCAATTACAAGATAATGATTAAAATAATTTTTTTTTAGGTTTTCAACAGTTCCTTGGTAACTGGGAAATTGAGGAGAATAAATTATTATTGAGCAATAAATCGTAAATAATCAAATCGTAACACTAAAAATAGATTTATATTTTAAATAACAAGTTTTCTTTTTTTTGAAACTTATTGATATATTTTTTAATTTGATTTGAATTTTTTTATTATTCATGAATTATTTTCTTTATTTTTTTTTTTTTATATTAAATTCGTATTTTATTTTGTTTGAAAAATTTTTTTGCTGCAAAAGTTTTATTTTTTCACATTTACAAATTCGGAAATGAATCACAGTTCATTTACAAGTTTCTTGTCAGTGGAGCACTTGTTCCATGGTCGAATCTTGCTGTATAGAAATATGTTAGTGTGAGAAATTTCTTTTTTTTTCTATTTAATAAATCTATCATTTAGTAACAAACTGCGCCTGCGCAATATTTTCTAACTATTGTCTGTAGGCAATTAAGCTTATAAACTAATTTTCTCTTTTTTTGTACTAAAATGCCAAGTCACACTATAACTTCACTTTTCTTCTTTTTCTCTAAATAGATATTTCTTTTTCTTCTTCTGCAAAAACACCTTATAATAATAATAATTCGCTAACTTTTTGTCACTATGGAAATTTTTTATTTTCTAAAATCCTAGAATATTTTTCGAATAAAATCTTGACTGGATTGACAAAATTGTTTCAAGATAGATTTCACTACATGATAGAAATTTGTAATCTCAATTTTATTTCCTCTTTTTTAGAAATTGATTAGACTTAATAGAAATTATAGATATATTTTTCTTTTTATTATTAAGGCTGTGCAGCTGGGATTTTCTTTTTCAAAATGTGAAAAAATTTTAAATTAATTTAATATTTTATTTAAATTAATTAAAATTTGATTTTTAATCGATTATTATTATTATTGTTTATTTATTTAATTTAAAACTTAAATTTTTTTTGTTAAATTCAGTTTTATTTTTTCAGTGCAATGATTATTTTTTTCTTTTTTATTTGAATTAAATATATTTTGGCGAAATAAGAATTTTGGAAAAAACAAATTTCTTTTAAATTTCGTGTAAATAAAAAATTTTTCCTTGATATTTCTACGAATTTCCCGGATGTACGACCTTAATTTTTAAAATTCAATAATCTGAAAGCAATTTTTTTTTGCCTATCGAAATTTTTGTTACAAACTCGTGAGCTTTTTTTTTTAACAAGAAAAATTCACTAAATTTCTAAAATTTTCTATATAAACTAATAACAAAGTGAACAGTAACAGAGAATAAAGTTTTTCTATATAAAAATTTTCAAAGAATGAAAATTTTTCTTTTGTTTTAAAATCTATATTATTCATTGAAAGATTTAATATATATATATTAAATATTGAAGTACTTGTGATATATATATATGTATCATCGAATATCACAGTTTTTTCGAATGTATGATATGTTTGCAATTAATATTACGTATATTATAAGTGTGTAAAAATTTGTCGCCTATTTTTTTTAATAGTAAATCTTAATGCGATAGTAATTGGTTTTTTTGACATTGTTGCAATCGATAAAGCAAGGATTTTTAGGCATTTCTTCTCGAGTATAAAACTGATGAGAATTAAAATTTTTTCGAAGAGAATTATTTTTTTAAAAACAGACTGAAGGTCTATAAAGGCCAATGTAACCACATAAACGAGCTCTAAGTGCTGGCAATAAAATTGCAGCTGCTGAGAGATTATCTTGTAATTGTGAACATTCGCAGATTAATAAATACATTTTGTCACCCTGAGACATTGATTTGTGAAGTGTGATGCGTCTTAGACCGACTGATTTTGGCAGATATCGATACATCATTCGAGCTCCTGAAAATAATTTCATTTTTTTTTTTCGTATTTAAAATAATAATTTTTTTTTTTTACCTGTCCAGTAGAGCCAATTTTGTTCAAATTTAACTCCATCGTCACCTTCGAATACTTTGAATATTGAAACAATATAACCAGTGGACGGTATTGGTGGTCTTCCACCTGGTGGTTCTAATGGTGGTCTAGCAATTGTTGCAACTTCATTAAATAAATCCAAATTATGATTAGCTGCATATCGCAAATCTCTAGGATCAAATTTTCTTAACGCTGCACATTGAACTTCTTGATAAAATTCCAAAATATCAGTTGTCTGCTTATTTATTAGATAGTAACTGATAAATGGAAAGTCCGCTGTGAAAATTAATAAAATTAATTTCTATATAGAAAAAAAAATGTGATTTAAAATTAAAATAGAAAATATTTTTTTGTATAATAAAAATTGAATATTAATATTTTGTTACCATTTCTCTCCATGTTTGTGAGTAGAATACTTTGTGAGGCTGATGGGGCAATTTCGGCGACTAATTCTGCGGCAGTGTCACGTTGCAATACCAATGGCTTGGCTACCGGTGACTCGACAATTGGATCCAATGGTTCCAGAGGTGTCATAAAATGTGCCAAAACACATTGTTTTGGATCCTCAACTTCTAAAATTGATAGTGGACTTCCAGGCCTTTTTTTATCGGTGATAGGCGCATGCTAGGTAATTAATAATTAATAATTAATTTCAATATTTCTTTATATTTTATTGAAAAATTTTAACTGGATTAAAAATTAATTAATAAAAAAAAATTCAATTCAAATAATCGATTACTTTATTATCAAATAAATATTTAATTTTAAATACAGTTTATTTAATTTGGTTTAATTATTTTACTATAAACTATTAATTTATTTTTTATTATAAATTATTAATTTATTTTTTATTATAAATTATTCATTTATTTAATTATGCACGGAGAGAAATCTGGTGCGATTTACGCATGAGCATGTCCTTAGGAATATAGTAACAGACGCTTTCAAGCAAAAATCCTAAGTGAGCGAGGTATTATTGTATGAGTCTCACCTGATATTCAGATGGAATCTTATGGTTTTTGCTTGGAAGTGTCCATGCTATATTCCTATGGACATGCTCATGCGCAAATCGCAGCAGATTTCTCTCCGTGTGTGGTTTCAAAAAATTATTTGCCCAGGTAAATATTTATTTATTCAATATATTTTTTTTTATTTGATAATAGTCGATTATTTGAATTGAATAAATCTTTTTTCCAATGTAATTATTATTATTGACTTCAGCCAAAAAGTGGATTTGGTTTTATTATACGATTTTTTTAAAAATTAATTTTTAATTCTGATAATATAAGAAAGAGGTTTTTCTTTTTTTTTTTGCAGTAATAGACAAACTTTTCTAGATAACTTATATATAGCTGAAAAGTGATGGGGTTTAAATTGAATTTTAATTATTTAATATGCACATACCGGCACTCCTGCAGGCAGAAATCTTTCTAGGGCAGCAAGGGGAATGATGAAGCAATCTTTTTCCAATGTTGCTAAAGAAATTGGTTCACCTCGTGGTGGACTATTTCCCGAAACCACTAACGGTGTATATGTTCCCATTGTTCTATTACCAGTAAATGACACCTGTAAAATATCAGTTTTAGAATATTCAAAATTTATTTATTTTATTTTTAGTAATTATTCTTCTTTCAAAATTTGTATTTATTTTTTTTTTCTATTCTTTTTAGAAATATTTTTTTTTTTTATTTTAAAAGAGTTTTCTCTTGGTGTGGGATTTTTTTTCATCAAATTTTATAAACACCCACTAATTTATAGAAAATAATTTAAAAAAATGTAATTAATGAAGTAAAATAATTTATTGTCATAGTCGTAAAATGTCCTTTTTAAGTTTCGCCAAATACGAATTGCAATGAAATTTCTAGTATAGTAGTGAAGCATGCAGTTGCAATAAATATCAACATCGCGTGTGCGTTGCCCGTGCGGTAAATGCAAGTTCGTATATATATATATATATATATGGGACGTTCCATGTCAACCGGATCAGTGCTCTGTACATAATTGTATGGGATCAATTGAAACGTTTAAGGTCTTAAAATGTTCATCTCGAAGTACTTTAATAATTACAATATGGCCTTTTTAAAAATTCAAAAAGGCGGCCGAATTATGACACATTATATGGCTGAAATGTAGAAAATGTATAATTAAAACATTATTTAAGAAGCAAAAAATGTTCGAATTAAATTGATCACCAACAGTGCTAGGGGTTTACAGAATTAAAAAATGCTGACATTTTTCAAAATTTTCAATAATACAAAATTGCAGATCCAAAATGGAGGAATAGTTTTAAAAATATGACTCAATTTACTCGAAACTTAGGACTCGGGGGTTTTTGGGGTCGCTGATTACAAATCTGAACTCAGTTGTCAAAAATACAAAATGGCGGATCCAATATGGCAGGCTGTTTTTATAAAAAAATTACCCAATTCACTCAAAACTTATGACTCGGGGGTTTTTGGGGTCGCTGATTACGAATCCGATGATAGTTTTCAAATTCAAAATGGCGGATCTAATATGGCGACTAACTTTTATAAAATTAATTAAATTCACTTGAAAATTGCCACTCAAGAGTTTTTGGGGTCGCTGATTACGAATCCGATAATAGTTTTCAAAAATTCAAAATGGCGGATCCAATATGGCGAACTGTTTTTCAAAAAATAACCCAATTCACTCGAAACTTGTTTTACACTCCCGAGTCACAAGTTTGGAGTGAATTGGGTAATTTTTTTTAAAACAGCCCATCCATATTGGATCCGCCATGTTGTATTTTTAAAATTGAGTTCAGATTTGTAATCAGCGACCCCAAAAACCACCGAGTCACAAGTTTCGAGTGAATTGGATAATTTTTTTTAAAACAGTTCGCCATATTGGATCCGCCATTTTGTATTTTTGAAATCTTAGTTTAGATTTGTAATCAACGACCCCAAAAACCCCCGAGTGACAATCTTCAAGTGAATTTAATTAATTTTATAAAAGTTAGTCGCCATATTAGATCTGCCATTTTGAATTTGAAAACTATCATCGGATTCGTAATCAGCGACCCCAAAAACCCCCGAGTCACAAGTTTCGAATGATTTGGGTAATTTTTTTTTAAACAGCCCGCCATATTGGATCCGCCATTTTGTATTTTTGACAACTGAGTTCAGATTTGTAATCAGCGACCCCAAAAACCCCCGAGTCCTAAGTTTCGAGTAAATTGAGTCATATTTTTAAAACTATTCCTCCATTTTGGATCTGCAATTTTGTATTATTAAAAATTTTGAAAAATGTCAGCATTTTTTAATTCTGTAAACCCCTAGCACTGTTGGTGATCAATTTAATTCGAACATTTTTTGCTTCTTAAATAATGTTTTAATTATACATTTTCTACATTTCAGCCATATAATGTGTCATAATTCGGCCGCCTTTTTGAATTTTTAAAAAGGCCATATTGTAATTATTAAAGTACTTCGAGATGAACATTTTAAGACCTTAAACGTTTCAATTGATCCCATACAATTATGTACAGAGCACTGATCCGGTTGACATGGAACGTCCCATATATTAGAATTCTGCCATTTGGTATCTTCTCTATTTTCTGTTCTATTTAATTTCTATATAGCAAAAATTAGTATTTCTATGTTACAAAAGCCCTTTCTTTATTGTCGCGTCAATTTAAAATCACCTTCAATTAGTGACAAAAATAATTTCACTACAATTATCAGCATGAATATAATTTTCAACTTTCTTATGCGTCGTCCTTGACATTAAAATAAAGTTTAATTTTTCAATTCAAAAAGTTGGAGCAAAAAAAAGAAAAATCGAAATTTAGTTTTAGAAATTGTTTCAATCGATTTTTTATTTTTTCAATATTGTGCGAGAATATTAAAAAAAAATTTTTTTTTTTACATAATTTTCAGTAAAAATTGAAATTATTATTTCATTATGTCGACATTTTACTTCTCTTCATATAATAATAAAAATCGATTCCCATTTTATGAATAAAATACAATTATTATAATTTAAATATATTAACAACGAATTCAATATGCTTTTCAATCAAAAAAGGATTATGGATTACATTATATATAAATTTATATAATAGATATTTTTAATTTTCTTTATTCACGGAAAAAAAATCGAATTTTCATTTTGTAGTATTTTATCAGAAATAATTATTTTTTAGACGAATTTTCCTTTTTTTTTTTAATTAACATTTGACGGAATTTCTTTTTTTTTTACGAATTTTTATTTAACAAAATTTGTATATACCGAATTTTTATTTTACATTTATTTTATATGATTTTTAATTTAAAAGAATTTTTATTTAATCGAATTTTCATTCAATCGAATTTTTTTGTGATTCGAATTTTTAAATGACAAAAATTCCAATTCCCCGAATTTTAATTTGTCCAAAATTACAAATGACCAAAAATGCGAAAAATTTCGGATAAATGGAAATTTGTAGCAAAAATATAAATTCGTATGAATTTGAAATTTAAAAATTCTGCTCAATATTCGATTGAATTGAAATTTTTTTAAAATAAAAATTTGTTAATGAGAAATTCTATAAAATAAAAATTTTGTTAATTAAAAATTTGTTTTAAACAATTTTGTTAAAAATGATAATTGGAAAAATTGTATAAAAAATAATTATATCTAATTACAGTAAAAAGCTGGGCTTTTTTTTTGTTTTATTTTTTTTTTAAATAATAATGTTAATTTTATAATTATACAAAATTTTTTTTTTGAATTTCGAGCCAATATTGGTTTTCAGAAAAGTAGCGTCGTTAATTTTTTCGTAGGTTGGCATGTCTGTTGATTTACAAGTTCCTAACCTAAAAATCTGTTTACCAAAAAATCGGCATTATAAACATATATTCAAGTTTTTCCAAGTGCAATGAATAATAAATTCATATTTTTATGAATAATTTACTTGTTATTTGATAAAAATTGTCAATTTATCTTTGACTTAAATACAAATCAGGATCCATTTTGAATTAAATAAAATTCAGATAGCCGGATTATTGAGCTCAGATTTTTACTGTGATATAAAATTCGTTAAAATAATAATTCCGCAATTATTTTTACAGGTAAATATTTTTGTTTCGTGTTTTAAAATTTTATTTATTAATATTCGAATGTTTTATTTAAAACTAGGAAAGTTAAACGCGCTAAATTGAGTATGCAATTGTTATAAAGAAATTAAAATTAATATCAATAATAATTTAAATTTATTAGAAAATTATTACTTATTATTATTATTATTATTATTATTATTATTATATATTTAATGAAAATTATATGTTTATATAATTAATATTTAATAGAATTAAAACGAAGCTGAAGTACGCAATGTTTATCAACAAAAATATTTAAAAAATTACTATCTTGTACGAAATTTACTGGCGCATCTTTTTTCTTTTCATAAATTTTTTTGTATTTGTAACAGTTTTTAAGAAAAATGCAAAAAAATTAAATTTTTCTAAAAATCACTTTTGTCTTGAAGGAAAATTTCCTATACATAAACGAAGCGTTTGAAAAATATAAATCCCTATTCTAACACTGAGCAAGAAAAAAAAATAATAACTTTTTTTCTAATTAAAAAATGAAGAATTATTATTCAGAAATTTTCATTTTAGAACGAATTAAAGTAAAAATTTTAATTAAAAGTAATTTTATAAAAAATTTAGATTTTTTCTCAAAAACTGTTACAAATAAAATTTATGATGAGAATAAAGATGCGCCGGAAAATTTCCTACAAGATATATATATAGTAATTTGAAAAAATTTATTTTTAAAAAAATGATCTTTAAGGTACCAGGGGCCAACGAATACCGCTGTAGAAATTTTAATTATAATATCCGGGCGGCTTTAATTATTCCGCCTACAATAAATATATGTAATTTAGGGTCAATATATAAATTTAAAAAAAATGTCGTTGATACTTCAGCTTCGTGAATTGAATATTTGAATTTGGAATTTTAAAGAAACTAATTCCGAAATTTGGAAATAGAATTATACAACTTTGGCAAAAATGTGAAAAAGAATTTTCAAAATTTGACACAAATTACAATTCAAAAAACACGTGAAATCAGAAAATACAAACTTCAAGTTAGAACAGTAGAGCAAGCATTTTATTATTATTATATAATAATTATTATTGAAATTTTCAGAAATTGAATTTAATAATAATGATTTCACCTGTCTTGAGGCAGTTGGCATTGTGCATTCGTTGACATCCTTTTGATTAACACTTGGTTTCCGTTTATTTGGATTGGCACCGGCGCCACCGCCCCATTTAACAACATGTGGACCTGAATTGCGCCTTGGTCCTGGGCCGAATCTCTCAGTGTGTTCATCAATTGCACCACCTGCAGGAGGCGATAGGAATAAATGAGTGCGATATGTGTAACTCGAATGATCATTATCCATGGAATAGCCAAATTCACGACTACGAAGAATTGGACCACGATTAGCACCAACAGCGCCTGTACGTCCCAAACCTCTACCACCACCGGACCCAACGCTATCCCCTCCACCGCCTAATCCTGGCCCACATCCAGACCCACCTGTCCTCTCGCCAGAGCCAGGACCCCTTTCGCCCGCGAAATTCTTACGGAACATAAGATTCATGATTGAATCCAATTGATGATTTTTATATCACTCAAAAATTTTTTTTTTTTTTTTTTTTTTTATTGGATTTTCACACTTTTACGGTCCATTGACCGTTGTGAGGGGGGAGGGAGGGAGTCTGCTAGATCAGGCCTGTCCCAGAATAATTAAATTCCATCCGAGGCCATTCACTTTTGGATTAATTTTTTCTTTTTTCTTTTTTTTTTATGTTCTTGGACAGCCCTGTGCTAGATTTATATACACAGAGACATTTATAGCAGACACATTAACGTTGACATGGTTTTCAGTTTTTTTTTTCTTTTTTTTTTTTTTGTTTTGTAGATTAGCAGCAGTGCTTGTAAATATCACTGGGGAAATTTCACATATAGAGGATATTGAAAAAAAGCGCGTTAGTCATTTGTTAGGTGAATGTCATTGTTGTGCAATTTATTGAAAAATAGAGCATCGAATAATTTCCGAATTCATTTTTAATAAAAAAAAAGAAAGAAAATTTTTTTTTTAAGTAGGCCAATTAATTAATTTTAAAAAAATCTGATAATATATAAATATTTCAGAGATTTGAAAATTAAAATATTTTAATTTTTGTCACGTCGCTAATTCAAGCATTTTAAATAAAGAATATAATTTTTACATCTCATTTAGTCAATGAAACTTAAAAGAAAAGTAATAATCATAATAATAGTAATAATCTGAAATAAATTTTTTTTTTCGTTCTAATTTCAAAAAGTGTTTTAATTTCATATGTATAAAATAATAAAGAAAAGTATTTTTTTAAAATATTTTCAATAGTAGTAAAAACTTGAATTATTGATTAAAAGTGAGAATAACTATTAATTATCTGTTTGCGAAAAAAAAAATGTACAACTCGTATATTTATATATATGAGTAATACTTAATTGTATTGGATTTGTTTTTATCTTTTTTCTTGGCAACGCAATCAATAAGCTGCTGCTTTGTACATACGTTGTTGTCATTTAATTTTCACTAGTTGGTTTATATTTAAAAAAATATAATTACAATTAATATCTTATCATTTTTATTTAATTATAAAAAATGAAAAAAATTCTTATATTTAGTTTTTTTTTATTAAAAAAAAAATTATTTATGATATTTGTAACTTTGATATTATCATTGTTATGAAATAGAGAAATTGAATTAATTGAAAGATTCCTCGCTGGAATTCATTGAGTGACATCCTAGATTAACGATTATATATTCTGACCCTGATACACACACAGAGAAAACTCTTTTTTTTTTTTCTTTTCTTTTAATTAATCATAATTTCTTCTTTCATGAAATTAAAATTTCTTTTTTTAAACTAATTAATATTTCTCTATAATTGAAAAATTAAGAAAAAATAATATTTTACTTGAGAAATAAATATATTATAACTAATTATTGATAATAAATATTATTCTATTTACAGTAAATTTTGCAATAACAATTTATCAGTGCACTGACAATTATTTATATGACTTTTGTAATTATTTTGTTTTTTTTACATATTTTTCCCAATAATTTATTATTTAACCTAATTTTTATTCCAAATTTTAAAAACAAAAAACCGAATTTTTTATTACTAATTCATTTATTTTTCTAAATTTAAATATTTATTTCTCAATAAAAAATTATTTACTTTTTTATTACTATTAAATAGTTTTTAATTTCGGCAATAAGTGAAAATTATGTTAAATAAAAAATTTAGGGAAAAAATTTTTATAATTTAAAAATTTTAAATTAGTCAAATAAATAATAATCTTTAGTTAAAATTGTGGGTTAATTTTTCATTTTTTTGACTAATTCAAATTTTTGGCAACAATGAATAGAAATAATATAATCAAAGATAATTATACATTTATTATGTTATTTTCCAAAAAAAAAAAGTGAAAAATATTCGGTGCTCTATATTGATTTTTTTTTGTGAAAATGAAAAAAAAAACAAGGGTAAAAAAAATAAGTAGTGAAAGTGTTACATAGTGAGACGAGTAGTAAAGGTCGAGTACTAAGCGAACAGTAGTATAAATTGACGTTTGTTGGTTATAATCAGACGCACGCAGGGATAATGGTCAGTATATCAGTCAGCCGCTTTCTCCAGATCGAAATTAAAGAAAACATTTTTTTTCTTTTTCTTTTTTCTTTCTTTACACTAATTGGCCAATTAGAAAATAAGGGAAGTTTTTTTTTTCACCAAAATGCATTTTTTTTTATATGATTAAAATATCACAATATAATTTAAACTAGAAATGAATATAAAAAAAAAATATATACACGAAACGTGTTTTGTATATAATTTTTTGTATATATACAAAAGCTTCCTAGAGCTTTTACCGGGCACTACTGGCAAGAGCATGCTTTGCGTGCATTACACTAGCCTCGTTCGCGTCCTCGACTCTAGATATAGTTTTCTTTGCTACGCGCGAAATTCGTCGCAGTTGAACGATGCGCATGAATTGTATGAACACATTATATGAGTTACAATTATCAACAGTGTCACGGACAAATTTCTCAAATTCCAATGTATTCAAAAAAAAATTATGGTGTAAATTCAAAATAATGAAATTAATTTCCCATTAATTTGAATTTTGAAATATTTTATTAGAAATAATTATTTTTTTTAGACGAATTTTCATTTTCCGAATTAAAATTTCAAGTTTTTTTTTTTTTATATATGAATTTTTATGTAACAAAATTTTTAGTAACCGAATTTTTACTTTACATTATTTGACTTTTCTAAAAAGAATTTTAATTTAATCGAATTTTATGTAATTTGAATTTTTAATTGATAGATTTTTTTAAGGCGTCTAATTTTCCGAAATTACAAATATCCAAAGAAATAATCGACAGAAAAATTGCGGTGCAATTTAAAAAAAAATTGACCAATTAAAAATTATCAAAATTGTAATTGTTCAATTTTTAAAATTGCACTGAAATTTTTTTCTGTCGATTTTTTGTTTAGATAAATGAAAATTCGGCGAAAATTCTATCAATTAAAAATTTGTACAAATTAAAATTTGAGGAATATTATAAAAATTATTTTTAAAAGCACGAAAAATTAGAAAATTATTAATTATTATTTTTTTTGATAGGTAAATGGACCAAGAGGAAAGATTCGTTTTTTTTGGAGAAAAAAATTTCGTATTTCTACCAAGAAACCGAAATTCACAGTGAGTATTTTATTTTGTTTAATTAATAAATCTAAAATTTCGTATCGAATATAGAAATTACGTTAAATACTATTTAGTTAATTAAAAAAAAATGTTTTACTTTTTTTATTTGAAAAAAAAATTCTTTTTATAAACACTAAGAGTTAGAAAATTATTAATTATTATCTATTTTAAGGGCAATTGGAACAAGAGGAAAGATTCGCGTATTTTTGGAGCAAAAAAAATCCTAATGACATAGGAAATTCACAGTGAGTATTTTATTTTGGTTAATTAATAAATCTAAAATTTCATACCAAATATATAAATTACGTAAAATATTTATTTAAAACAAATTTTTTGAATGAAAATTAAAAAAAAAATCTATAAATAGCAAGAAACTATATTCCTCAATTATTTTCGTATAAAAGCTTTTATGAATTGATCATTTTTTGTTATTAAAAAAAAAAATAAATAAAATTGTCATGATGAAGTTTGAAATCAGGACAATTTTGAAGGGACAATTTCATGTTCTAATCGATGTATACATAAATTAATGTCTTTTGAATTGATCTGAAGATAACGGCTTTTATTCACGATATATTACTGCGTATGATAGGTCTCGTCCTCGTATATTTTACGTGTAAACTAAAATTAAAAAAAAAATTTAACCGTTTTTTTCAATTTTTTTTTAATTCATTTAAAATTTTCGAAAAAAAAGCCAAAAACACATTTCACTTTATTAAAACAGGAAGTTGATTGTCCGATATAATCAAGATAAACTCAAAAAAGTTAACAAATAAGGAAACAATTTTCTTTTAAAAGTTCTAATCTTAAAAAAAACAACTTTCCTTTCTCGACTTTTATTATTTATTATTAATCAACATTATAAAGGCGACCTTAAAGTTTATAAAAGCACTATTTTAGCCTGAAAACAGTTTACCGGAAATTACCAACTTTAGTTTCATAGATTTTTAAATTGATTTGCATTCAATTTTATTTTTTAAAAAAAGAAAATTAATTAATTTAAAAAATTTTAAAAGCTTTTTTAAAAAATGTTAGATGAAATTTATTTAAATTGAAAAGACAAATTATGAATAATTAGAAGGGATGCGTGACAATTAATATTTAGAATTTAAAAATATTTTACTTTAATTAATATTCATTTAATTATTCTATTTAATTAATATTTTGGGGATAATTTAAAGATTTAATATTAAAATATTTAACATATTAAATAAATATGAATGTATAAAAAAAAAATTTGGAAAAATTTAATTCAAAATTTAGAGATTAAAATAAAATTTTGATAAAAATTTATGAAAAAAGTATTGAATAAAAAATATAATATGACTTTATTTCTATATCACCTCGCGTATATCAACTATAAAATTAATATGAATATATACCTAGGGAAATCGATTTACATTTGTTTACTTAGAATAGTGTGTAACACGTGTTCGACCTTTGTTGTATTTTCTTTGAACAAAATGGATAATAGAGACTATCTTTTTACAACTCGTGACCGGAAATATGTGTACGCTGGAACAAAAAATTCTCCTATTCAAAGTTTTAATTTACTTTTAAATTTATTACATAACTTGATATTTAAAGAACAAACTTCCTTTTTTTTCGTTTAAAAGTATGAAAATATTTTTTAAACTTTATAATAATAATTTGTCCTTAAACTTCTTTTTTTTTTGTAAATATATTTACTGTCCAGACTATTTCCGCATCTAAAGATATAATAATTTATTCACTAATCTGTCTGTAAATTTTATAAAGCTCTTCGTTTTTATAGTTTTTAGTTTTCTTTTTAAAAATTCTTTTTTTCATTTTTTCAAATAAAAATTTTTTTTTTTATTTTATATTTTTGCATAATATTTTGAAATATTGGTTTTTAATGTTGGTGTACATATAAAGTGTCCTTCAGGATAAATGGTATTACATTTGAGAAACTTCATTTGAAAAATGGTTGGTAATTTCCGGCAGAACACGTACAAGAATGTATATTTATATCATACAGAGATTTATTAAATTTTAATGGAAATTTACATATACTAAGGGGGGAGGGGCCATTAGGGCTCCGTCATTTATAAAAAAAAAAATTCATTTTTCAATATTTATTATTTTTCTTCGAAAATCTATTTATATATTTTATATCACACATAACAACAATGTATTCTCTTAAATCGTAAATTGAAAAAAAAAAAAATATTTTTTTCTTAGTATAAAATAATATAAAAAATTTTGTTTTATTTTCTATTTCATTTTATTGGAATTGAATTATTCTAATTCATGTATGTTTTTTAAAAACAAAAATCTTTATTTATTGAACAATTTTTTTTGCCATAGAATTTTTCTTATATATGGTCTTTCTGTTTAAAAGAAAAATCAATAAAACAATTGATCGTTTCAAAGGTCCTTCGAGTGAAAAACGATACATTAAAATTTACATAAAAATAGAACAATGAAAATTTCATATACAATATTTTATTTTGTATTTGGGTCGTCGACACAGAGGCTATTTTAGTTAAAATTTTTTTTTTTTTTAATCAATAAAAATTGATGTAAATAATATTAAATTTTTTATTTCTTCAGAATATTATAACTTATTATTATTATTTTTATTCATATTTTTAATTAATTGTAAAAGTTTGTAACAATTTTGTTTTATTGATAAAAAATTATAATATAGAATATTAATTATTATAAATTTAATTCTAAAGAAATAGAGATTAAAATTATAGTTTTTAATAATTGAAGAAAATATTTGAAAATTAGTTAAATTAATAATATTCATTTCCCAAAATAACTAATTCAGCTTGATCTAGGCTCTGTTAACTGAATATAACTAGTTATTAATTTTTTGGCATACAATTTATAAAAAGAAAATTATAAATATATATTTAAGAAAAAAAAAATTATCACTTTAAAAAATGTTGGAGTAAATAATTTTATTTTTAATATTTTCAACCATTAAAAGTTGGGTTTCAATAATAATAATATTAATAATAATAATAATAATAATAAATAATAGTAAATAAAAATAATAATATAATTTCAAAGAATAAATTATTAATCTTTTTAAAAAATTAATACATTGTTGTATTTTATAGAAAAATATGAAATTTCCATATAAAATTCAAAGAATCTCATAATTGTTATTTTATTCTTTTTTTTTGACATATAATACAATTAATACACAAAATATAATAAAACAATTGACTAACACTATAAAAAAATCTGTTAAAACACATTAAAGGTGCAAATACATTGTACAATAAAACATGTATTAAAAAAAACGGGCAAAAATTCATACGTGGGAAAATGTGAGACCAATTTTTGAAGCGTGCCTTTCAAATCAAAAAATAAATTAATTTTTTTTGTTTCGTGTGACTATTTAATTGTATATATATATACATCAAGTGAAATGACTGTGACGTAGAATCAGTAAAAACGATCGAAATAATAATAATAATAAACGAATGAACATAAATACTAAGCACATATTGCACGTGTTTTTTTTTTTTTTTTTTTTATTATTTAAAACGTGGATCGATTCGATTTGAAATATTCACGGGCAACTCTGATGTCCCTGAGTAGGCTTTTTTTCCTTTTCGAAACGCGTTGAATAATAATTGTACACTCTTTGTATTATTATTTGAGGTCCCGGAAAATTCCCTTAGCTCACGATGAATTTTTTTCTCAAAGCTAACCATGAGTTTATATTTATAATAATCCTTTTTCTTGTGTTAGGGGAAAAAAAATATATATATATTTACAATATTACACTTAATATGGGAAATGATAAAAATTGATATAAACTTTGGGTAAAAGAGCTTTACGCGTAAAGTGCCGAGACATACTGGCCGCTCGAGGCGTCGCGTCGCTTCCAGGGTGGGTGGGTGGGGCGCACCGTTGCTCCGGATTTCTACTTATATAGCTTCAATTTATATTTATATTCCCAAAAAAATTTTATTCATAATTTAAAAAAATTTATTTAATTTATTAAAATGAAGAAAATATTTTTTTTTCACGTTAAAAAAAAATTTTTTTTTTTTATTATTATTTAAATAATTTTAATTATTCATTAAAATTTATTAATTACAATTTATTAATTATAATTATTAGCAACGGTTGCTATGGTAACAATCACTAAATTAAATGTTGCTATGACAATTGTTACCATAGCAACGGTTACGATATCAATCGTTGCCAAGGTAACAATTGTCATAGCAACTGTTGCCTTAAATTGAAAAATTAATAATCATATAACTATGAAATTAATTAAATTTATTTTAATTAAATTATGTCACTGAAAAAAAATTTATTTGATGCAAATAATTGGTTACTTGACAATTATCAAATAAATATTTACTTGAACCAAATAATTTTTATTTG